TTTAGCCTAGAATAACATCTTCCTGTTCGACAGTGTGAGTCAGGTCTAGGGGCTGTGAAATAATTTAGTAATCAATTAATTCCAGCCCCATCACGTCATCCACATTGTGTTTAGGCATCCCCTACAAAGCCCACGAAATCATAGAGAAAACAAGACAAAACAACAATGAGACAAACTAAACGTATATAGACTTGACAACCGATGCGGAGACTGGTCATTTGACGTGGTTATGATGTGGAGACTGATCATTTCACGTGGTTAGCATGAGGAGACTGATAATTTCACGTGGTGAGGATGCGGAGACTGATCATCTGACGTGGGGAGGATGCAATGACTGATCTTTGGGCATTGTGAGGATGCGGAGACTGATCATTTGACGTGGTTAACATGAGGAGACTGATCATTTGACGTGGTAAGGATGCGGAGACTGATCATTTGACATGGTGAGGATGCGGAGACTGATCATTTGACGTGGTTAACATGAGGAGACTGATCATTTCACGTGGTGAGGATGCAGAGACTGATCATTTCACGTGGTTAGCATGAGGAGACTGATCATTTCACGTGGTGAGGATGTAGAGACTGATCATCTGACGTGGTGAAGATGCAGAGACTGATCATTGGGCATTGTGAGGATGCGGAGACTGATCATTTGACTGATCATTTCACGTGGTGAGGATGCGGAGACTGATCATCTGACATGGTGAGGATGAGGAGACTGATCATTTCACGTGGTGAGGATGCGGAGACTGATCATTTCACGTGTTGAGGATTTTGAGACTGATCATTTCACATGGTGAGGATGAGGAGACTGATCATTAGACATGGTGAGGATGCGGAGACTGATCATTTCACATGGTGAGGATGCGGAGACTGATCATTTCACATGGTGAGGACGAGGAGACTGATCATTTCACGTGGTGAGGATGAGGAGACTGATCATTTCACGTGGTGAGGATGCGGAGACTGATCATTTCACGTGGTGAGGATGCGGAGACTGATCATTTCACGTGGTGAGGATGAGGAGACTGATCATTTCACGTGGTGAGGATGAGGAGACTGATCATTTCACGTGGTGAGGATGCGGAGACTGATCATTTCACGTGGTGAGGATGAGGAGACTGATCATTTGACGTGGTGAGGATGAGGAGACTGATCATTTGACGTGGTGAGGATGAGGAGACTGATCATTAGACGTGGTGAGGATGCGGAGACTGATCATTTGACGTGGTTAGGATGAGGAGACTGATCATTTCACATGGTGAGGATGCGGAGACTGATCATTTGACGTGGTGAGGATGAGGAGACTGATCATTTCACGTGGTGAGGATGCGGAGACTGATCATTTGACGTGGTAGGATGAGGAGACTGATCATTTCACGTGGTGAGGATGCGGAGACTGATCATTTGACGTGGTGAGGATGAGGAGACTGATCATTTCACGTGGTGAGGATGCGGAGACTGATCATTTGACGTGGTTAGGATGAGGAGACTGATCATTTGACGTGGTTAGGATGAGGAGACTGATCATTTCACGTGGTGAGGATGCGGAGACTGATCATTTGACGTGGTGAGGATGAGGAGACTGATCAGTGGGCGTGGTGAGGATGTTGGGTGCTGACAGCGGAAATGTGGCAAAGATGCTGTCGGTGCATGGGGACTCTGCTCTTTATAAAAGGGTGCTCATACGCTCACTGATGGTTGCTTTGTCGCTATTGTGTAGCGTTGGGGAGGGTATATAGGAGACAAATGTGCCGGGGAAAAGGGCTGGGTAATCGGAGATATAGGAGATCCATCCATCCATCCATCCATCCATCTATTGTTTGTAGACAATGACGGCCTCTCAAATTCGTTGAGAATGCCACTCTCTAACAAGCCCGATGCTTTCAGTTGTTTCCCCATTATATTTCATAAATAAATGGTCTATGGATTGTTTTAATCGACTCTACGTCTTCACTTAAATTCTTGAAAATACCATTTGGCCCAAAGGCCCGTACATGATTAGACTTTTAGGAAACTTTTGCAGTAATCTTCACGTGAAATGTTTTTTAATGCAATGGAATTGTTTCTTTTGTGAACAAGAAACTATGCACTATGCTTATAAGTTCCGTGCCATATTTAATAAATCATTATTTCCATTTACTTATCATTTTCAGAAAAGATTTGCCAATGGTATGAAGCTTTTAATGCGCTTATTTTTTTTATAGCCTTGTAGACCGTCTTTGCACAGCAGTGGTTTTATACGAATTTGCATCCCAAGTGACTCTCGTGAGATTTGCAAATAAAACGGAAACAAACATACATGAACTTGATATTTATGTCTTTGAAAACAAATTTTTACTTTGACATCGAACTGTTACAAAATGTCTTCTTTCTGAATTGTCAAAAGAAACGAGTGATATTCTGAGATTTTTCAAAATTTCAATTAAAGCGATAATATAATTATAAAAAAAGAAGAGTTATAATAATGCCAGGCCTAAATGGCTCATTCTGTGCTTTGTTATTATTACTGATGGCAGCTTGAGCAATGGGGGTCTGAACCCTTTTCTAAACTAAAACCACCAAAAACAAAGCAAAGAAGAAGAAATATGGATTGTCTACTATTTTTGTCTGAGCATGGGAAAACAATGAACACATTGAAGGTGTTCACTACATTTCGAATTAAAGTTTAATACGATACCGTTTAACTGTGGACGTGGAGCCGATTATTTGGTTTAAATGGTGATATAATTTAAACGGATTGAGCCATTGATTGTTTTTTTGTTTTTAGCTTACCAGTATTAATTATTGTGGTGCGACTTTTTAAATATGAAATATATTTCTTTTGTGTTTGGGTCTACTTTTTATATTTATTCTGTTTATGTAATAAGTTTCCGGTCTCCAAATGACAACAGTGGATCTAGGAGGATTGGCAAATAGGGGCCATGCTCCCACACCCCCCCCCCCAAAAAAAACCCCGAAATTTTTGTTGTTGTTGTTGAGTAGCCTAACGTCGCAAAAAGTTAGCCATTGCGTACACAATATTTTGGACAGAAAAATCTCCCCACCTCGAAAAAAAAATGCTGTCTGGATCCGGCCTTGCTAAATAATTACGTTTCTCCTTCTTTTGGTGTGGCGTTTAATGAGAGTAAAACAGCAGTCTAGTTAATCCGAAAACTTTTTGTAAAAAGACATCGTACACAAACAATTAATGTAATATTCAAATCAAGTAAATGAAAAATGACAAAAACCAAGAAGTTCAGTGTCAACTTTAAATCTCGACTAGTGCTTCTACAATTTCTTGCTTAATTTTCCTTTTTTTCATAATTTATAACCCAGATACATGTACACTCTCCACCGCCGCGCCATGGCAACCTCCATAATACTCAATAAGAAGTATCACGACTTGTCAATAGCGCCCTCTATATGTGAAAAGATGATCATGCCATGAGAATCTACTAGTACTGCATTTACTTGTTCATTATTGAACGACCCCCCCCCCCTCAAAAAAGGATAGAATCAAGCAACAAAGGCCCCCCTCCCCCAAAAACCCCAAACCAACCAAACAAACAAACAAAACTTTGCAACTGCTGTCCCTACAGTTTGTAGGCTTGTAAGACCTCTAGTGGTGTTTACAAATTGGTCGAGTCGACACAGTCCTGGGGGAGGATGGTCTTACGCAGTGCAGAAATCCGGATCTATACATACGCTGGAATCGGGGCTCGACCCATCCGCTCCCACTTTTTTTATTACGGTCAAATTATTTTGCAACTAGAAATCGTTGTTTGCAAAGTTTGGACACATTCACACAATATTTCACACCATCTTCATTACAAAAAAAAAACCCACCATGGATATGCCCCTGCCCTTCGAATACCCTTTAAGAGTGCATCTCTGCCACAGATAATTAAAAAAAAATTGTAAAGTGGAGATGAACATGATAGATAGACACAGAGGCAATATTGAGAAGTGTGTTTCCACAGAATTATTGTGCAATCTTCGTTTTAATAATCAAGTAAATACTAAAATAACAACATACATGTACATGTAGTATAAAATATTAACTAAATTACATACATTTCACGAAAACAAAGTATAACAAATTACGGTTTGTTATTGTTGTTTATCAAGAACTTAAATGCAACAGTTTGTTCAATGGAAACAAGTGACACAGTGTGAGACATATTACTAACATTATGTTTTAATTAGATTAGTTGATACAAAGTTGGAAATAACATACATCCCAAGATCAGTAACACCCCCCCCCCCCCCCCCATGAAACAAAGGTTTTGAGAGGAAGTTTAACATCAGGTTACAATTTACAAGTGAGGTTTTATGTGCGTGAACAGATGCGTGTCTCTAATGACCCACTGAAGATAATGTTCATTGTCTTAAAATCTAATAACTAATGTGATTTGGTTCTTCTCGTATACTTGAGTTATAACACCACATTGAGTAGTACAACAATCCCTGGTATACTAAATATATACATCAATCAAAGATTGTGTCATACTTGACAAATCACCTTTATGTTTGGATACAATGCTATTCTATCAATCAAACGAAATCATAGCTTTACGTGGTAGAAATGTACATGTACAATATAACGTTTGGAATGACACCATGTAATAATCTTTATTTGTAAATCAATCTGTCTTGCATCCAAATCCATTTGCTTTCATTCAAATTCAATCAATTATAACCATGGGAAAACTCAATAAAAATAATCATGCCTGTTTATGTGTACATGCATATTAATAAAGTTTTTAAAAATATTAATCAGAGCAAAGAGAATCTGGTGAGTGTTCTGCAAAAAAATACTCATACTATATTGGGAAATAATACAGAAAAAAAATACAGAGTTGCAGAGTCCAACAAATCCCTATTGCTACATGTATATGGGGTACATAAATTACTATACGTTCCATTATTTGCTGTTGTCAAGTAGCTGCAGCAAACTAGTTACTTGATGCTGGAGAAGTACCTACATCTTGAAGAATAAAATTCACTAAGTGAAATCTTTCATATTTTATTTTATTTAAACCTCATTACATGTTCACAAATCACATCACAATGATCTAAATGTGTGTGCTGGAAGAGAATAATACTTTATGGACAACAAGACAATAACAGTCCATGCTGTTCAAATATTGTATCAGACATTAACAGTGCATATTGTTCAAAAAAGGTCTGGTAAAACTTACAACTAATATCAAGAAAAATTATCCTGTCATACTCAAAATATGTTCTTCAAGGAATGAAAGGATTAGATGCCAAACCCAAGAACAACAGCAACTGTATCAAGCAGAGGGGCAACTGCCAGCCCCCACCCCAGACTGACCGTCAGATTTTTGATTTTCCTTTTTTTCACTTTCCATAAATGGCATGATACAGAGGTCTGACACAAACAAAAAATAAAGAAAACCACGCAAACAAAATGCATCACACCAAGCAATTTGATTTGGCGTCCCCCAAACATCAAATGCTAAAAAAAAAAAGTTTTGCGCAACCAACGACATGACTAGGGTTAAGCATAGGGAGGACCCGAGTGTGCATCATTTTTTTTTTTTTGAAGGGAGAATGTATACATTGTGAGTGTGCAATTCGATATTTCAAAGGGTTACGAGTGTAACACGTTTTAGTTGGGTGGCATAAGGTCGAAATCGTGTCAACTGGTTCAAACCACTAAAGTTGGCTATTCTTATAGCCCCAACATAAGATATTTAGAAGGGGTGACACCTGAAATTCTTTTGGGAATGGTGCTTAAATTGCATAAATCGCTAATGGTTAGTACCTGCAGTGTAATATATTCCCATATTTGGCAATGTTTGGGTATATAAATACACATATAGTGAAAAGTATGTTTTGGGGATTCCACTTACTGGTACATATCCTTACTTAAATAACGTTTTCTGCATCATACTACAGACTGGATGATACGAGGACATAATAAAGATCCCAAATGGCTAATATTATACCCTAAAGTTGTGCCCATTCACTTTTTCCTTGGATATCGTCAACAAGTCTCGCCAAAAGTTTGAATTTACAAGCTTCAAATTCACAAAGTCATTTACTGGCACTGTTACCCTCACAAAAATAAATCATATGATTGAGGACAGTATCATGATACTTAGCTACAAGAAAGGGGGAAAAATCAGGTGTCCGTAAATAGTGCTAAAATTAGGCGAAGGGTTGCCTGACGTGGGAGACCTGAACAAGTTCTAGGAAATCCGCAATATAAGACATTATTGTTGTTTTTAATAATTAGGTCTACGTCAAAACGTTTTCTTACCAATAATTTAGGGAATTTCCTTGAACTTGTTCAGGTTTCCCTTGTTAAGCAACCCTTCACCTACCTTTTTGCCTAATTTACGGACACATAGTTTTTTTCCCTGTTTCTGCTTTTTGGGCTATATATAACAATATTAGCATTGTTTACATGATTTCCCATAAAGTCTTAATAGGGTAACTGTGCCAGTAAGCGACTTGGTGAATTTGAAGCTCATAAACACTGAGATTTGGCAAGACTAATTGATGATCTCTGGAGACAACTGAGGTAAATGCAGCCAACTAGTATAATGGAAGTCATTTCAGATCTTTACCATGTTTACATTATCATTCAGTCACTTGTGGGCTTCATTACATGTAATTGAAGTAGGGTGTGTAAGGACGATCACCAAAATATACTTTTTAAAAAGTAAAAAAAAAAAATACAAATATGCCCAAACATGGCAAAAAAAACACATATTACATGGCAAGTGTTGATGATTTATGAACATCAGGCACCCTTCCCAAAAGATGTTCAGGTGCCACTTCTTAAAAATATCTTCTCTAGGGCTATAACAATCTATCTGCCACGTTGGTGCTTTGGACCAGTCGTTCACGATCTTGTAAAAAATGGGGTCTAAGCCATTCGACTATTTACACCTAATAAAAATACAATAGAACACAACAAACAAACAGCAATATAATAAACATTCTCCTATAGGTTTTATGACCACCCTTGGATTCTAAAACCACCAAGTAACATGTATACACTTAAGTGCAGATATGCTTCTCATATTCTAATGAACGCTTTGTTTTTTCATGTTCTTCCCCCACAAAAAAAATCTGCAGTGCCACAAAAAATTGTCTTGAGCCATATATGACAGCTGAACCTTGATGCGCTGGAGTGACGAGTTCATCTGTTCGGCAACTTGGCTGTTTATCGCCTTGTATTTTGAGTACCCATCTAGTTTGTACCCAACGGAACAGGCTGATGAAAGAATATGAAACAGAAATGTATTAATTCAAATTACTGAAAAGATATAGACAAATGAAATGCACTGATCAGGCACACAGACATGAAGTGGGTACTTGTGTATGTGATGAAGAGGTAACAAGAGGGAAATTATGGGACTTCATTCTTGAAGACCACATTGACAAGGTAAAGGGAAACCCTATGAAGAAAATTATGATTTCTATATTGCAATATTGCTATCAGCTTATGTAATGAAGTTTAATTGAACAAAATAAGGATGAATCCCTCAGGCAGGGCCACTTTCCAGCTTCAAAATAATTTTAAGATTAGTGCTGACAATAATCGTCATCTTCCAGGCTCTCTTGATGAAAAGGTTATTTTGCTATCCAAGTGACCCATAGGATTGCACCAGTTACTGTTAAAATCGTTGGTCTTGTTAATCAAGGGTGTGAGTGACCACTGATAAAATAGCTGAAAAAGGTGTAAAAAAAACTATACTTTTGTACACAGCAAGTGAGGGAAAAAAAGCTGAAATTCTTGAAAAAAAAGGCGAAATCAGCTCTAAAACTAAAATTTCACACCCGTGAAATTCTTCTCATATCTCATTTCAAATAACAAATAGCATTGTTTGAATATCTGCTGTCTGTCTTCACTCTATTTTGTGATTTACACTGTAGAACAGTGTACCTGTTGCACTACTGTAAGTATTAAGTTTAAGTATCGTTTTGGTTTGCGGTAACACCATGTCATAATAACTACTGCTAAGAAGATATTTAGTTCTGATAAGAACTTGTCCTGCTTATTATCAACGTTCACCAAGTAGTTGTACTTCTAATAGAACTTAAAGCAGGACTGTTCTTATCAGAACTAAAAGTACTTAGTGGAAGTTGATAACAAGCAGGACAAGTTCTTATCAGAACTAAATAATTGTCTTCTAAGCAGAATTTATTACCACAAAGTGTTACCGCAAACCGAAATGATACTGAAACTCCACCATGCAATGCCTAAAAGTATTAAGTATGACGTTAATTTGGCATTTTCTTCTTTTTTTCTCAGGCTTGTATTTTCATCATTCTTGTATTTTCTTGTTTTATATTACTCACATTCATGCGAGTAAGATGTGGCTTTAAGTGTCAGAAAGTGGACATTGATAATTATCCGTAAAAATATTTGATATGATTCCAACTGAATGGAATACACTTGTGTTACAGTCATCAAAAAAGAAATAAATAAATAAAAAAAATATACAATCAAGAATTACCAGTATGATTGGGCCAGTGTAGTCTGTCGATAAGAAACTTGGTCTTCTTAAACATGCCAGGCTCCCGATTTAGGCAGTAGGCATGAAGATGACAGGCGTTGTCATACACAATCATCTTTGGAGCTACGTAAAAAAAAAAAAACCAACATACATTTGATGAGAACAATAATGTAAATTTAAGGTTTATCAAAAGATCAGTTTGCTTCCATGGAATGTGTGTTCAGCGACCGCTTGTTGCAACTGAATTGGTAGTGTGCATTTGAGTTCATTCCCATACCAGGCATGAAGTGAGTAACATAAGAAAAAGTCTGAAGAAGCAGATTTGCTACCATATGCCTTCATTGAGTGTTATTCGCAAGTCACCCATGTTAACAAACAAATGCTTCCACAAAAATGCAACATGCTTAAACAATTTCACTTCAATATTTTTTTTTTAGTGTCATACATTCATCGTAATTAAGTGAAAATCATTATAAAGGCCAAGGAGGATTACCGGTGCATAACGATAGGGACTGTTTTCTTAAACCTTTGTTTAGGTGCTGCAAACAAATCGATGATCTTCAGTTGTGTGCAAATTTACAAATGTCAATGTAAGTTATAAATCATGACTGAATAAGCCTCTGTACTGATGACGTCACACTCCGTTTACGTGTGCGCTCTCCTATGGTGCTCAGTTGACCGTGGGCCCCCACTGGCTCCATAGGAAAGTGCACATGTAAACAAAGTGTGACGTCATCAGTACGGAGGCTTATTAAATCAACAGCTATGATTTGTTGAGGAAAACACTACTTACGTGTCTCAAATCGTGTGAGGAGCAAAGTGAAGGGCACATTCGGTGATTCAAACTGGTTCATAATTTCGAAACCATAACAGATTCCTGAACAAATACAAAATGAAAGACAGTCTTTAATAAAATAGATAGGATTATGTGTACATGTATACTTAAACAGCAAACAGAATGTTGTCACGTAATAATCGTTTCCTGAGGACTGCTATGAATTGTGGCATAATTTGGCCTTTGAGGGAAGCAAAACTTCATGAAAACCTTGCCAGAACAGAAAGTCTTCGAAATACAGGAAATGGGGAACATTGTTTATGCTTTGTAATAATAAGTGGAATCAAAGTTTCAAAAAAACAGGTAAAAATCTTGTGAGAGCCACACGAAACCAGAAACTATCGCATTTACATCACACTTTATATTCTCATTAAAGTATCAATCACAGTAATACTAAATTATCCCATTGCATTGTCATGGAGCCAGACATATTACTACTATTATTCAAACGACTGTAATTACCACTAGGGTAATCCAGTCGGCTTTGGTGTAGAGAAATTTGGTCTTTGGCAGATTGTACATTTTATGATTGCCCATTAAATTATTCTTAGAGAAACATACACATGGACAATACTTTTCAAATTATTGCCAGTGCTGTTAATACATGTTTTGGATTTCCCAATGTGTTCCTTGTGCTTGCAATGTGGTAGGTTGCATCATAATTGCTGGTTCAAATTGACTTTCAGGCTGTTTTTTTCCCCTACCCAGCATTACTTGTTCATTGACAATAAATTTGAGTGCAAGTATTACCATGGGGACAGAAAGCAGCAAATACTCCAGGTGTCATTCTCCCGTAATTTTTGGAATCCTTCCTGCAACTGGTCCTGGTGGTCTTCAAGCCATCCATTGCATATTTTGGCCTTAACCGTTGTTGGGGGAAATGGGGCCAAAAACACATGCCATCGAAGTCGTCTGGTGGTGGGTGGTCTGTGCTTCTCTCAGCCTGAACAGCAGCAGGAGATTGTGAAGAAGTTGACTGCTCAAATGGGGCTACTGCCAGACGAAGCAGCTCACAAAGGACAGGAAAGAGTACTTCAGGAAGAACTTGCTCCGATGCAATGAGGTCAGCTATTATAGGACACTATGAACAAAATATCAATTCAACAATATACAGGGTGAGTCAAAAAAAGATGAACCCAAACCCCTAAAAATGTATTTACATTTGTGTGAAGCTCCAAAATAACATCCACTTTTTTGGCGACAGGCCTTCAAAAGGACATTGTTCATCATTTTTAACTTTTAAACTGAGGTTTTACAATTGTATCTCAGGTGATGTTTGCAGACAAGAGTGATGAAGATTCTTGAAATTGCATTTTTGGGATGTGACAGGTTTTAGGGTCATTGTGCTTAAATGATGATATTCTTTTAATGCATTGAGCAATTTCAGTATTTTTTTTATCTAAACGTAGCTCTTGAAATTGGCAAAGACGAAATCGGCATTTTATCAGTTATCACATATTTTAGATAATATTGTGTGATAGAAAACTTTTAAGTTTTATAAGAATATTGAGTAACTATTGAGCACTTGGTAATTTCCTCTTCTGTTTTAACTACAAAGTTGAATGCTGGTAGCACGGGCAAGCCATTGAAAACTTCTTTAAGAGTGCTAGGTGTCAGCACTGACATCTGAGCAAAGAAACATGTACACATCAATTAAGGCCAAGTAAAAAAAAATGCTTAGCATCATGCCTTTTTGAAAAACAAGGGAGGATGCCCTTTTCCCCCCTCCAAAATGGCTGCCAGACCGGGCTATTTTTCAAGATGGCCGCCAGTTTTTGTTTTTAAATGACCATCACTTGAATTCAGGAAATGACAAACCAGCTTTATAAGGGCTAGATGCAACAAACAAGCCAAAATGATGTCATTGTTTAAAATGTATCATTTTTTACAATTAACAAAAAAGGAAAGAGGTGGCCTCCAAAATAGAAGCGGGCAGGAACGCAAAACATGTAAATTGTTTAATTTGGCCTACGACAGAATTCAATATCTCATCTTCTATTACCTACATGTACAAAGTACTTCTCCCACATAATCATTCCTCAATCTCTTCGATGTCATGTTTCAATAAAGTTCGATGATGTACGTTGACCACCTTCAACTCTTCTTTTTTCATTCATTAGCATCAGTTTTTTTTCACATAGCACAATGCGTTCATCCCATTATTTTGTAATGCATGTCACTGTTGCTGTTCACGTTTGTTTGAATATTACCGTTAATATAATTTTTAACAATCATTGTAAATATTAAGTTTTGCTGAAACCAAATATTTTTAGTCCTTGGATTTTTTAAACCATAAAACGGAAATGAATGAATGAATGAATCCCATGTTCTTGTATGGCCTTGTACTGTGTTTCCATTTATCCTTTCTGAAACTCTGTTATGACAACAATGTGAAGCCATATCTGAGTTATTAGGACTATTCTTCAGTTCTTCAATGAGTCCTAAATGCTCCCTAAAGTCCACTGCTATTTGCTCAAACTGCAAACCACCCTGGATATTCAATGCACTATTTGCTCTTATCCATTCACAAGAATACTGAAAACAGCCAAAAGGAAAATATGCACTCCACTATCAGTTTAAACTATCACGTGCATCTGAAAAGTGCCACCATCCAAGGTACATGTATGTGTGTAGGTTCCTATTCCATTTCTTTCCACCCTTTGAGATGGTTAACATAATTCTGTAGAGCTGTGCAATTGTTCTGTCTAGCATGTTGTCATTTTGAAGAAAGCAATAAAAGAATGACATTTCCAAGATAATTATAAGATGACACATTTTTGGAGATATCTGTAATAATATTTTTTTTTTTTATTCAGGAAAAACTTGTGATTGATTCAATGCACATCCAAGGATATTTGTTATTATTCCTTGCTTCAGAGCATGATTGCATAGTTGCAATCGGCTGCATTAAAAAACGTTTGAATTTTAAATCAGGAACATAGTATGCTTTTTGCTGAGTATTCATCATTCACAAGTTACATGTACATGTAGTTATTAAGCACCTTTCTTTAGATTTTGAGTACTGTAGTTACATCAAACGGAAAATATGCACACTAACAAATAATACACCATACTGTTATACCTCATTAATAAGTATCTCTCTGTACCTACGTAATCTAACTATTGCATGGGGATTTATGCTAATATTACAATGGAGCACTAACCTTGTTTGTGAGAATAGCCATAGCATTTAAGTCTTTTCTTGGGGAAAATCCATGAGCCATCTTCTCCAACAGTTCTAATAACTCTGCCTCTGGATGGAGCAGTCCACAAACTGGAGAAGTTGCAGACAAAGCTTGCAATAACGGTTTGTAAGTTGCAGGTGGGGCTGTTGCATGTCCAGTTGAACCCAGCTCATTCAGAAAAGGGAGTAGGCTGCCTTGATGTTCCTTGCATCCATCAATAAGCATCAGGAAGTCATTGGGAGGAAACGGATGTGCCTCTGACGATCGGGCAAACTTCTTTAACAACTTCCTTGTTTGGGTGTCAACCAGAAAGATGCTTTTTCTGTAAACAGTATAAAGAGAAAACAGTAAAAGTAATTCACATGAACATTAAATCATCTAGCTAAGCGTAATGTCAAATGAACAATTCATACAATTTCCAGTTGAGACACAATCCAAATGAGACAAAGCCTTCAAATGCATGAATCACTCTGTGTTAATTAATTGGCATTAAAAGAATCACAGGATTACCATGGAGTGCTGTTGCATCAAAGTTTGGAGCATTGAATTCATGATGTAATCCTACAGGTGGTGGGTTCAAGTCCAGCCTGGGGTTATCGTGTGTGTGCCCTTAGACAAGGCGCTTTGTCACACATTGCTTCTCCCCATTCCTATTTTAGCTGCTTTGCGCCTAAATTGCAACAAAGAGCTGTATACTATGCAGCGAAATGGGATGGTCTTTGGAATATGTTTCGTTGGCCGAATGAGAAGGGTAATATAATGATGCAATCAATAATGGTGAATACCTGCACTTTATAAATACCCCTAATTATTATTATTTGTTTTTATTATTACAACTAATATAAGCTGTATTGTAATGTAAGTGAACTCTTTTGTGGAATCATGATTCTTTACAACAAAACTACTGAATAAAGTAGCTGGAAAAATTAGAGTCCAGAACACAATTATAAGCCTTATCTGCTTGACGACTGTTTTGCTTCTTTGGTAGCCTTCGGCACATTGTCCTTCCACAGCGATAGGTCCTTGCGAAGGGAAAGGTGGGTAGCATCACAGATGATTATATCTGGCTGTGCGCCACACGTTTGTTCCCTGCAGATAAACTGCTCGTGGTAATCGATGTCCAGCAGACGCAGGAACCCATACCATGCCCATACAAACTTGTTGTAGTGCAGTTGTGATGCAAAAGAGCTATGTCCAGCATCATTCTGCATTTGCACCCAAACACTGTAAAATCCAAACATGGGTGATCTGAGGAGACAGATGAAATACATTGTATTCTTGCAATGTCAACTTACAGAAAGATGCCCATGTACAGTCAAGTTTCTATTAGCAATGAATACTACCAACTACAAGAAAATAATGAATAAATAATTCATTATTGTGCATAAATATTTCATTATTGTACATACATGCATGTTATACAGAAGGAATTTGATGATGGCTGTCATTGTGTTATATTGTAAACATGTTTTTGGGTTTTTTTTACATCCTGAGCCAAACGTGAGATCGTATATCACCCATGGCAAAATTCCCAGAGGTCCTAATCCTATAGTAACTTGTATTGCCATTCATGCTTTCATTGAACATTGCTCTGTGATGTGCTGCAATGATCCAGTTTTCAAATCTCTTTAAGGCCAAGAAAAATAAAACACCAGTTGATCGTCCCGGGAGGATGAGGGTCTTTATATAGCCCTTTCAAATAATTCTAGGAATGCACACCTTCCATACAGAAACTGGTACATGTACTGTCTCAGGACGGAGTGGTCAATCAAGTAGGTTGTCATGTTGAATAGGCAGTCAGACAAGCCATCATATTGAAGTTCAGAGTCACACATCTCATTGCTGCACTTCCTGAAGAAAACTAAATACAATATGGTTCCTCAAAATCAAAATTTGATGTACAACTAATGACATAAAATTGATCTACACACTTCGTACATGAAATGGTATAAGTTGAAAATTCACAATTAATTTTCTTTGGAATTGAACAGTGTAGTAGAATTTACATTGTGAACCAAAATTTTTACTGTAGGAGATGTACAGACCTGAAACGTTATGTCATTGAAGGTTTTGGATGTTGACAGATAGTGTGCCGAACGGTGTTACATAAAAACGTATTTAAAATGTTAAAATGTTTGACTAGATATGCATGATGCCCCTTTTGAAAACCATTTCGTCTTCCAATCTTTGACATTATTTCTGCATGCATACAGTATGAGTCAAAATGGAAGCTAAAATAAATGATTACTGTGGTGAAAATTATGAACACATATACAGGGTGAGTAAAACAAAAATAAAACAAAAATTTGGGACCATTTTTTTTAAAGTGAAGTTCTGCATATAGCGCCTTCTTTTTTTCCACACTGAAAAGGTTTATGTTGTACTCAGTCATTAAGAATTAAGCATCGTGCAGACAGGCAAGTCAACCGTTTATTCTGAAGTTTAAAGTTATAAAACTATGTTCTTTGTCAAAATCAACAAAACATGAGTAATTCATACTGGGTAGCAATCAGTAAACACCAAGCACGACTTGCTTTACTAAAATTGCTCTCACGTCGTTTGGCTTGATCAATGACAGATTATTACTTCTTTTCTCAATCCAACAAAATACTCCTTCAACCTGTTATTAAAATTTAAGATACATGTATGTGTTTGCAATATTCAACAACCAAAAAATCATTTATCTCGAGCCTGGTTTTTGACTTGCATTGTATGTACACCATTTATATTAAAATGCTGTCCAAAAGAATCAATCAATGTGTCCCCTGCAGGTCATCTATGTCTGAAGCTGGATTTATAGAGTTCTGAAGTGTGACGTCATTTAGAACTAGAGTAGTGCAATCGAATGGAGTACGCGCGTGTTGGTTCATGGGCTGAATCACGCGCTAATGCCTTTTACACACATTCTGTGCACGTGATGTATTCACTTCAATACCGTAATTCTATAGGAATGAAAGCATGGAACATTGTTGACCCTTTATACATAACGACATCAAGTAATTCTGACATCTAAAAAAAAATGTATTGTGATATACATACAACTTTTGGAGAGGGGAAGGACACAATTAATGTACATAATAACATGTTTTTCATACCTGATGCTCGATGAATTGACTGTAGAGTGAAAACAGGATATTCACCCTTCAGGTAGATGTCATTACTCCATGATGCGTGACAGCATGCGCACATACCACCTGGTGTGGGAATCAGGTGAAGATTGCCATTGACTGTACAACCCCGTTGCATAACAGGTTTGGCAACCATGTCTTGTAGATGAATGCTCTCAAGCTGAAAGGGAATGCGCTTCCAGGAAGCCACTGATCCTGCTCCTGCTTTCCTTTTAAGAGAAGTTGACTCCAAAAGAGCAGACATCTCCAATAAGAAGACCGGCAAATCTGTCACTTGCTCAAGAATATCCTTGATCTTACTGATGTGCTGACAATCGCCCCTCCTGCATGTCAAACACTTCAACCCATTGCCCACGATGTCAATGACGGCAAATGATTGATCCGTAACAATGACCGCAGCACGTGGATTTCCACACACAGGCCACACATCATTGAGATTGGGAGGAATTTGCTGTGGCATACGGGAAAAAAAACCCAACCTTTCTTTACCAATGCATAGGAATATATATATCTATATGTACACTTAAAAGGGTAAATATTAGGCCAAAAAAAATAATAGTTGTGTGTCCGATACCTTGGCATTTAAAAATAGGGTAGGAACCTTAGGTCGATAGGAAACTTCATATTTTGTTTTGGCATTTCTGGTGCGTACGATCATATGCAGGTGTCAGCGTGTAGTAAAGGGAGTAATTGAAAGTTTTCAAATTTTTCCCCTCATTCCCCCCCCCCCAAAAAAAAAATAAATCAGGACCAGAGCTGTAAAAATCAGGTAGCAAAAATATTTTGTTTGGCCTTATTAATGAGTTGGAATTGATGCATACCATCCAAAATGATTGAAGTTCAAAATTCAAGTTTATTATTCACACTAAAAGGTGAAGAGATTCAGCTTCCACTGGCATTTCTAAACAATGACATTACATAACACCATTAAACCAATGAATAGAACACTATAACTCACTCAGCTCTCTTCAGCTTAATAAACTCAAGAGACCTGAGAAATAGATTACAGGAATATTTCGTCGCACAGCTGACATACCGACAAATAAGCAAAATCCCTGTTTCAAGTAATTCGCGTTTGAAGTTGGGCATTTTTCTGGGCGTCCCTAATGTTTCGATAATAACCCTTTTGGTGTATATTCAAAATAAAATAGGAAATGTAGTATCCATCAGGTTAGTTGTCCCACATGTTTTCATTCGACCATAAATGTATTCCTCAGTTTGTCAAATTACAAAAATCTCAGTTTGTCAGATCGCACTCGCACTGCATATTAATTACGCATTCAACATGAAACATGCAATGTTATTTTGATCATAATACAGGAAGATAAGTGCACAATGAATTTAGTCTTAAAAAGTCACCGTTTTTGACAACCACAGTAGCACATCATTTGTTTGTACTTTGAACGCACTCCTTACATTAGCTGGTTACCAGGGACATTTTGTATTTGTCACTATGTCACATTAAGGATTTGTTACTTTGACTGATTGGCCTCAGGCCGGGCTCCGAATCTCAAAATCCAAATAAAAATTAAGAATTTTGGCATAAATACTTAAAAGAGCAACCTTTAAAACCACGAAAGTGACAAAATCTCAAAATTGCCAAAATGGTTGATTTGCTGGTTTGTCAGCTCTGCGACGATTTGGTCTCCAGCAGCAGCAGCAGCAGCAGCAGCAGCAGCAGCAGCATGGGGGACACCTCATCCCCAACAAACACCCCCTCTGCCCTTGAAATGCGCTAGGCACTTTTCACAAGAAACATAGAACCATGAGGGACCAACAAGAACTCCAAACACAGGAAACTAACATCACCACTTACCACATCCTCTTCAAGGCCAGATGCGTGTGCATAGCTGTGGTCTGAAAGAAAATATTGAAACAATTTTAGTTCACAATTTATCACATAACACTGGAAAACATTCTTGATACAAGTGCTCTAAGGTATATGCGTCTGTAACAAACAACATTCAGTTAATTGTTGAGAAAATATTTGATTCAAGAATAAAGCACTACAAATCAAGGTTAATACATGTACTCTTATTTGATCATTATACAGAACATACTTGGATGCAAGGACAAAAAAGATTATTTGTTTTGCAGAGGGACTTTTAGCGCATAAGGGACAGATATTGAAAAAACTGGAAGCCTCTATACATGTTCATGAATCTCAATATTTAAAGTTTTTTAACTGGAAACATAATTTAAAAACTTTTTTCAGATTTGAATGGTTTCCAGATAATGTGTATTACCAAAGATCCATTTACAATATTAACAAAACTGCTATTTATGGAAGCTATATTTAGTTCAAAATGCACCGTTATAGAAGATCAGTGCATCTACAAAGTTATATAATTGGTAGACATGGTAATTATTAGGAGCCGGATCAGTAATTTCCATGTATTTTCCCATCCCGAAATCAATAATTCTTGACTTATAATGTAGCTTTATTTCTTTAGCATTTCAGAGTCATTTGTATATATAAATAGTTAATATTAATGTTTGTCGCATATTTCACAAACACGATTGGGACCCAGTCTTTAGGTCTGCTTTAACCAGAGATTGTATTACAGTGGTTGTATTCATAATAACTGAAGTCAACTGTAAACTTGGAATGGCAGGTGATGTACCGGTAGGTTTACCTTGGCTTTGATGGTGAGCTGTTATCCCAACATTTTCGTCAAATCTAACCAGGATACCAGCAAGGCAGTCGATGTGCAGACATCCCGGTAAATCTATGAGAAGAATGTTCCGCATATTTAGCCACCCAAATGTAACACTAAGTCATAATTACAATAACATCTACACATCACATTTGGGCTATGAACCACAAAGTAATAATAAAAATAAAAAATTAATAAAAAAAGTAATAAAAATAAATAAACATTACAAAAAAAATCCCTTTGGGAGACATTTCCACAGGATTGTGCCAAAAAAACTAACAATCATTTGTCATTATCCTTCCCCCATGACAAGCAATGGATCAAGCCTTCATTGTATTGAATAACGTTAAAATTCACCCACAAATAAGAGTTATGATTTTTAGGGAGACATTAAAATGTATGGTGTCTCCATAAGGTATAAGAATAAAATTTTCTCATGAAGGGTACAATACCATGTTTAATATTAATAATAATAATAATAAAAAATAACTACTAAAAATGGTACCCTCAGGGAAACATTCCCATAAACATGTGATTTAATTTGTCTTCACTTTTCTTAACCCCAAAATGTGTATGATGACTTGACAAGAGAACTCTAGAAGTTGTGGAAGGTGAAGGTAAAAGGTGATTCTGGTCATTGTGGGACCCTCAGTACTATTCCTTGGTCCCAGAAACAAAAATCTCAATGAAATTGGTACAAAAGCGGCTCTTTGGGGAACAGGGATCTGAGGCATTCAGACACATGCACCGCCATGGTCCCCTTTTTGGTTTCAAACTGCACACCACCTTGCATGAGTCAACCACTGTAGCCATGTGGCCGTGGGGACACACAGTGATGAAATAAACACTGCATAAAAAGAAAACCCTCACTCATTGGAGGGGTCATCATTTTGAATCTGATAAACTTATGGTGACGTCAGTTTTATCTAAAAACCTTACGAAAATTTTGTTACATGTATGTACCTGCATTTTGCAACAAAGGACTGCAAATCATCAAAAAGTGACAATGGTTAAAAGTTGCAAGCTCAAAAATTATGCGAGGAGAGCATTACCACACATGCCCGTAATTGGCCACTATCAAATGCACAGTGCCCAAACAAAGCGCGGGTAATTCATGCAAGCAGCATATCATTCCATTTTACTTTTTCATTATCTTCAGCTTGTGTGCACTACTCACAGATTTACCAAATTACAAACCAACTACTGCCGGCAATTTCCAGAAATGTGTCATTTGACACATCTTTGGAATCTGCAATTTTTTTTTATTGTCTTTGTCAAAATGGCAGCAGATCATTTTCAGACGGAATTTAGTGCCACTAATATTTTTTAATCAGGTAAGCTTCTCAACAACAAACATTTTATAATTAGCTACATGTTAATAGCTACAAATGACAAACTCTGCCCCAAGGAAATACTTTTTTTAAAAACTCAACCTTGACTGCTCTGTTGGACATGTTCTGAGGCAGAGTGCAGCACTTGACTCCTTGCTGGATCACAGGAGCAGTAGAACGCCCACTTCCAGGTCCCACTGAAGCACATAGCTCTCCTGGTTACCATTACATATCTGCTGCCCTGCACATTTGAACAAGGACAATTTCAGAATGTTGCAGTACAATTTAATCATAATTCAATAAAACAACATTCAACATGTTAATGTTAACAGGAAGAACACTGTAGGGGCCAAATTGTACACTGTAGCACAGTGACATTTCTTATCACGTGAGACAGGGTGAGTTGAATGGCAGGATTTGCTTTTGCAGTGGAAACCAAAACGATCATCCTATGCCATACTTGTTGATGCATTTTGCATATTATAAAAGTACCAGGTACAAGATCTTCATTTCTTTAATTCAAATCATCTACACTTCAAAATACCCTTCATTAAACTTCTCTACCTGTTTTTGTTCTTCAGTGATTAATTGCACATTTGCTTTTTTGCTTACTTCCGATTGTCTTTTCAAAATTTGAGTTTCTGGGCAGATCCATTGGGGTAGAGGGACACGCATGGGGGTGCACAAACCCCACGCCATGGCTTTGTGAGGTGGTGTGTCATAACAAAACTTCACAAACAGGTTTGAAAAGTATCACACACCCCCCTTTTGGACCTGGATCCGCCCCTGCTTGTACTTCCTGAACTGTGGGTAATCAGATCAAAACCAATCAGTTATAATTTTTTTAATTCTTTTTTTTGTCACAATTATCCTATCGCGGTAGAAATTAATCGCGTCAACGCAGCTTGTGAAATATTGTCCAATTACATGATATACAAATGGACGCGGAACGCACAAAAACGTGAAAAAAAAAACTTAGTGTACAAAAACTCCATAGGGTTGTCTAAGGGGCGTGGCTACCTCGCAAACGGTGATAGGTCAATTCAGTCATTTGTGTATTGTTTTTTATTTGATTAAGTTTTACTTAATACAATCAGATCATGGGTAAGTTTCATTAAAAATGTTGTACTGTTATGCCATAATTGATTGAAGTCTGAACGTGCAAGCAAAAATGTTGTATTTTAGTGCATGTTTATAGGCAAAATGCCATAGGCTACGGTCGTGTCTCTGAAATTTTGTTATTTAAATCCTTGTGCTGTACATACAATGTACATGTACTTTCAGAACTGTAAGGTATGTAGAAAGACCACTTGAAGTTGTACTTGTAGTTTGGAGTTCGGAAAAAAATGAGAATTTTGTGCTACAGTAACTTCAATTGGTCTTTCTGTAAGGTTTGTAAAAACCTTACAATTCTGAAAGGACATACATTCTCTATCAACTTACCTCAATTGAGTGGTTTTCAGAATTGTATCTATTCAGTAGAAACTTTGTGAAGTGCTCATCACATGGGGAGATGGAGTTAGTTTCTAACAGCAACTGACGGTAGATTTCAGGTGCCTCAAGTACCTCTACTTCACCATGGCCATATTCTGAAATTTAAAAAGAACAAGTTCCAGTCTAATGGTAGTTAATACAGTCAAATGATGCAATGCTCGGTGCTTGTACGTGTGTGTGTGTGAAGCCTTGTGCATGGTTGTCCATTGCATTGCATTACTTGTACATGGTTGTGACACTACACATGTATGAAGCCTTGTGCATGGTTGTCCATTGCCTAGCATTACTTGTACATGGTTGTGACACTACACGTGTATGAAGCCTTGTGCATGGTTGTGAATTGCCTAGCATTACTTGTACATGGTTGTGACACTACACGTGTATGAAGCCTTGTGCATGGTTGTCCATTGCCTAGCATTACTTGTACATGGTTGTGACACTACACGTGTGTGAAGCCTTGTGCATGGTTGTCCATTGCCTAGCATTACTTGTACATGGTTGTGACGCTACACGTGTGTGAAGCCTTGTGCATGGTTGTCCATTGCCTTGCATTACTTGTACACATGGTTGTGACACTACACGTGTATGAAAACTTGTGCATGGTTGTCCATTGCCTAGCATTACTTGTTGTACATGGTTGTGACACTACACGTGTGTGAAGCCTTGTGTATGGTTGTGAATTGCCTAGCAGTACTTGTACATGGTTGTGACACTACACGTGTATGAAGCCTTGTGCATGGTTGTCCATTGCCTTGCATTACTTGTACATGGTTGTGACACTACACGTGTATGAAGCCTTGTGTATGGTTGTGAATTGCCTAGCATTACTTGTACATGGTTGTGACACTACACGTGTATGAAGCCTTGTGCATGGTTGTCCATTGCCTTGCACTACTTGTACATGGTTGTGACACTACACGTGTATGAAGCCTTGTGCATGGTTGTCCATTGCCTAGCATTACTTGTACATGGTTGTGACACTACACATGTATGAAGCCTTGTGCATGGTTGTCCATTGCCTAGCATTACTTGTACATGGTTGTGACACTACACGTGTATGAAGCCTTGTGCATGGTTGTCCATTGCCTAGCATTACTTGTACATGGTTGTGACAATACACGCATATGAAGCCTTGTGCATGGTTGTCCATTGCCTAGCATTACTTGTACATGGTTGTGACACTACACGTGTATGAAGCCTTGTGCATGGTTGTCCATTGCCTAGCATTACTTGTCCATGGTTGTGACACTACACGTGTGTGAAGCCTTGTGCATGGTTGTCCATTGCTTAGCATTACTTGTACATGGTTGTGACACTACACATGTATGAAGCCTTGTGCATAGTTGTCCTTGCTTAGCATTACTTGTATAATTATGGTTGTGACACTACACATGTACTTCTATGAAGCCTTGTGAATGGTTGTCAATTGCTTAGTCAGCAAAAAATCACAATTTTCTTTGGCGATAGTTCAAGGTGTAGAACATAAGCAGTGTTTAAGCACAAGCATTTGTATTTTTTTTGCAACAACAGATTAAGCTGAAATTCGGATTTACACTGAGATGATATAGTGTTCAACTACTTATGAAATATCCATTGAAAGGGATTCCTAGATATTGAAATGAATGCATTGATTTGGGGATGTTTTCAAAAAATTTCTTCCCGACTTTAAGGTCAGCTTTTACCACTAACAACAGTATTGACGTTTCGGCATCAATAATGATGGCAATTTTTTTCACTGACATGAAGTTTAGAATTTTTTTCTTCCATTATCAATATCATTGAACATTTCAATCATACTGAGCATATTTTCTGAGAAACACAATGTACAAAAAGCCATGTTTTTATGGGATGCATGAATTTCACTGCTTTGTACATGTAGTGTCCACAGAGTTCCCTGTAGTGGCCAAGTAGGCAGCAGATTACCTTTGTTTACACTAGCAATACACTGCATGCATTGTACCATGGAGCTATAAAACACAGCTCCATGATTGTACTAAGGTGTTCCCAAGCACACCACATGATGGATGGGTGGTTAAAACAAAAATCCAAGGCCACAGGATGTTTGGCTGCAGACACATTCCTGCAAACCATGCATGCACAGGGGATTAGGAATAAACAGAGGGGTGATATCAGATAAACTACTCCTGTGCAAGAGGTAATGAATAATAATGATGTAGTGCAAGTGGGCTAGAGGTAATTGCTTTAGCAGAGGACTGGAATGTGGACAGCCCCCCTGAGGGACAAAAGAACAGAAACTCCCACAGTGGTCTTCCAAAAACACAAAAATAAAATGGCAGGATGTACATAAAACAAAGAAAGAACAAGGACGATAAAATCTCCAAAAATCCCATGTTAGTTTTTAAGATTGTCTTTAAAGTTAATAAATTGTCATCATTATCTCCACTCACATGTACCCTACTTTAAGTGTGTTAGAAAATAATTATATATATTTTGCTGCATTTTAAATGTGGATTTGTTCACTTCAAAATATAATTGTAAAATCATGCCGAAACAAATTAATCTGGAACTTTGTAGCGGGTACATAAACTCAAGTTTTATAGATGTAGATAGCGTGATAAAATTTCACTTAGTAGTTATATAGTGTGAAATTTGGGCAAAGAGCTTTGAGGTATGGTAAAAATATTACTCTAGCAAGGCACTAGAGAAGAGACAAAAAAAATCAAAGTGTGCCATGTAGGCATGCAGTGCCAAGTTAGAGTACACTACAACAACATTCCAAAGGCTCCATTGTCATAATTTACTTGGTTGTATGGAGGTAGAATTAGATACATGGTTCATGGTTGCAACACTAGCTAGCTACTAGCTAGCAACAAGTTGTAGTGGTTTAGCTCTATGGTGTACAGTATGTGTGTATGATAATGCATGGTTATCCATTGCATTAGGTTTTTGCACATGCGCCAGTTTTTCCAGGCTGTGCCTAAAATTAATATCCATGAGCTCGTAATTCATAGAAATAAAACACTGAGAATGGCCTTCCAAAAAACTGCTCATGATGCGCGGAATATTTATTGAAGCCATAAGAAACGTCCCAAGTAGATTCAAAAATAAATATATTTAGCATCAACATCGAAAATTTTAAATGCAGAGATGCCAACTTTACAGACAACAAAATAGTAATGATTCTTCCTGCAAAGAGTAATGCTAATGTACATAGGACAACAGTCAAGTTTAAGAGTAACCACAGTACTTTTCAGAGTAACCACAATGTTGGCGTATAGGACAGTAACATGCCCAAGAGCAAACCCCTAAATTCACCTACAAATGGGGGATTCCATGGTGGTGGGATTTCTGAAAGTGAAACCGGAGTGTGGTTTTAGCACTCAACTGCAAAATTTAACGCAGTTCTCGGAGTTCGCAATTCAAACGACGCCGCCAATGCCCGATTGACTTAAAGGAATATACATCATTTGCTTTTGCTGTAATCATCAGAAATGGATGGAATTGGGGGGTTGGAAATATATAGCAAAAATACACACACTGACTTTTTTAAGGTTTTGGGTTCGAAAATGCTATAAAAACCAAGAAAAACAATCATTTACCTGTAGTCTGGTTCCCTGACTCCATATAAGAAGAAACAGAGCAGTTTACATACATTGGGGAATTGTAAAGTCAGGGAACCAGTCTAGCTGGCTCATACCCGTTCATAGGATTGTAATCGCTTGCAAACAAGTGCGATGGTCAATTGGGGCCAGTATTTGAAAAAAGCCAGTTTTTTCCAACGCTGATCGGCCGATCACCGTTGGAAATTGATACAAAAATACCACTTTTCTTGAAAATGACAGTATACCAGGTGCCATGATTTTACAGGATGCTTTACACTGTCATTCACTAACAGTCCAGCAAGGTATTTCAAAATGATTTGGGTAGTTTTATTTTTGGATGTTTGCAAATGTTGTATTTTCCCTTTAAGTGCCCCGCATGTATACATTTCACAGGAACAGCCAGGGATAGGCCTATTACGCGTAGCGCCTGCTAGATGGATTTGTGCACATATATGTACCGCGCCGTTTGTTTACATTCAGTGTATCGTATGTATTTTCTAGCTATGTACGTGGTTCCATCAGGGTTTGCTCTCAAAAGTCTTCCATAGTGGTATTCTCCTTTTACTAGTCTTTCCAATGATACTTTATTTGATTTCGAATTTACTTACCGTGACCACGAAAAATCCCACAAAACGTGAATGTTATTTTCGTTCCGATTGAGACATTTAAAAAGGTCCCAACCATGAATCAAACTTAAATTTTCAAAGGTATTTTCTAATAAAATGTCTTGCCAAAAATTAATAGTCTTTTTCTGTCCACTGAGTGTTATCAAAAAAGTATTTGTAATAAAAAAAAGCGAATTGAAAAGATGTCCTCTGGTGACCTTTTTTACGCAAAAGGGGACTGGACACAATTCAGTCACAAGAGGGTGTTCTATACAAGCTGAAGCACAGACACGCGCATAAGCCTAACGTCGCCCCCCCTCCCCCTGAAAACAGCGGTGAAGTGTATGAAGCCTTGTGCATGGTTGTCCATTTGTACTTGTACAGATATTGTACATGGTTGTTTTACTACACAAAAATGAATCCTTGTGGTTGTGAATTGCCTAGGATTACTTGTACATGGTTGTGACACTACACGCATATGAAGCCTTGTGCATGGTTGTCCACTGCCTAGCATTACTTGTACATGGTTGTGACACTACACGTGTATGAAGCCTTGTGCATGGTTGTCCATTGCCTAGCATTACTTGTACATGGTTGTGACACTACACGTGTATGAAGCCTTGTGCATGGTTGTCCATTGCCTAGCATTACTTGTACATGGTTGTGACGCTACACATGTATGAAGCCTTGTGCATGGTTCTCCATTGCCTAGCATTACTTGTGCATGGTTGTGACAATACACGCATATGAAGCCTTGTGCATGGTTGTCCATTGCCTAGCATTACTTGTACATGGTTGTGACGCTACACGTGTATGAAGCCTTGTGCATGGTTGTCCATTGCCTAGCATTACTTGTACATGGTTGTGACACTACACATGTATGAAGCCTTGTGCATGGTTGTCCATTGCCTAGCATTACTTGTTGTACATGGTTGTGACGCTACACGTGTGTGAAGCCTTGTGCATGGTTGTCCATTGCATTGCATTACTTGTACATGGTTGTGACACTACACGTGTATGAAGCCTTGTGCATGGTTGTCCATTGCCTAGCATTACTTGTACATGGTTGTGACACTACACGCATATGAAGCCTTGTGCATGGTTGTCCATTGCCTAGCATTACTTGTACATGGTTGTGACACTACACGTGTATGAAGCCTTGTGCATGGTTGTCCATTGCCTAGCATTACTTGTACATGGTTGTGACGCTACACATGTATGAAGCCTTGTGCATGGTTCTCCATTGCCTAGCATTACTTGTACATGGTTGTGACAATACACGCATATGAAGCCTTGTGCATGGTTGTCCATTGCCTAGCATTACTTGTACATGGTTGTGACACTACACATGTATGAAGCCTTGTGCATGGTTGTCCATTGCCTAGCATTACTTGTCCATGGTTGTGACACTACACGTGTGTGAAGCCTTGTGCATGGTTGTCCATTGCATTGCATTACTTGTACATGGTTGTGACGCTACACATGTATGAAGCCTTGTGCATGGTTGTCCATTGCCTAGCATTACTTGTTGTACATGGTTGTGACGCTACACTTGTGTGAAGCCTTGTGCATGGTTGTCCATTGCATTGCATTACTTGTACATGGTTGTGACACTACACGTGTGTGAAGCCTTGTGCATGGTTGTCCATTGCCTAGCATTACTTGTACATGGTTGTGACGCTACACATGTATGAAGCCTTGTGCATGGTTGTCCATTGCCTAGCATTACTTGTTGTACATGGTTGTGACGCTACACGTGTATGAAGCCTTGTGCATGGTTGTCCATTGCCTAGCATTACTTGTACATGGTTGTGACGCTACACATGTATGAAGCCTTGTGCATGGTTCTCCATTGCCTAGCATTACTTGTACATGGTTGTGACACTACACGTGTATGAAGCCTTGTGCATGGTTGTCCATTGCCTAGCATTACTTGTACATGGTTGTGACACTACACGTGTATGAAGCCTTGTGCATGGTTGTCCATTGCCTTGCAATACTTGTACATGGTTGTGACACTACACATGTATGAAGCCTTGTGCATGGTTGTCCATTGCCTAGCATTACTTGTACATGGTTGTGACACTACACGCATATGAAGCCTTGTGCATGGTTGTCCATTGCCTAGCATTACTTGTACATGGTTGTGACACTACACGTGTATGAAGCCTTGTGCATGGTTGCTAATTGCCTAGCATTACTTGTACATGGTTGTGACACTACACGTACCTGTACATGTACAATTGTATATCTGTATGAAGCCTTGTGCATGGTTGTCCATTGCCTTGTATTCATTGTACATGGTTTATTGCAACAGTCATGACAGTACACGACATACACGTGTGTAGCCTTGTGCATGTTTAAACTGCTCAGCAATAGCATGCATTACTCATTAGCTGATTAGGGGCTAGTTAAACGCATGCCAAACAACTACAGCTCCATGGTATTACAGCTATAGGTAGGGCTATTTATTAGTGTTTCATACTCACGACAACGAATTTCTTCCGAGCCGTCATGAAGCGGTACATCGTTGCCATCACCTTGATGGGTAGCTGCGTTCGTAGGCCTAGGCCTACTGGCAGTACTGCTGCTGCCGGTCATGCCGGTGTTGCTGCTACTAGTGCTAGTGCCGCTAGTTCTACTTGTGTATCTGTCGCTGCGCGACCGCTTTAACCTAGGTAATTTGCTGACATCAACTGGGGTCGACAATTCGTCCAAATATCGCGATCGTAAATTGTAGTCATGCCACTTTTCACGATATCTTTCGCGGTTCAAGGCATTGTTGACATCCTTCTCACTAGGCTCCGCCATCTTTCGCTGGCCAGACGCGCGGGCGGACTCCACTGGCTAGCTACACGTACGTGGGTACGGGTACGGTACCGATCTTGTACTGTATAAACGTACAGTCGTCATGTACCGCCGTTTGTTTATGTACATTAGGCTATGCTGTAGGTGACCAGATGAAAATCGCGAAATTCTGCCAGATGCATTTCAAAATTCTGCTAGATTAAACAAAATCTAAGAAATCAACCTGAATTACACTACACAAAACACAGTATAAACAATATGCTCACAATCTGATAAATACATGTTTTGACATATCCTTTGGAAAAACACGTTAAATTTCCTTAAAGATGCAATTTTGCTTCCATTTCTAGCCTGCAGTAATTGTACATTCTTCATCAACCGCTTAATATTGGAGCATATTGCTTAAATTAAGTAATGAACCCTTTAAAAAAAATCTGCTGATTGCTTTTTTTGGCTACAATTTTAAAGACTACTAAAGAAATCTGCAGAACTTTGCATTCTTTAACTGTTTTTTTTAATATTTGATCGGTTTTCCACCAAAATATATGTCAAATCTAGCCGAAAATCGGCTAAAACGGTCAATATTTATTGCAATGGACTGTAAGCTCCGCCTACATCTAGATGAGGACCGCCCATAGAGCTGTATACAGCCCTATGGGACCGCCCAATTTTAGCATATCCGCATGACTGTGGTGCAAAACGGCACGAATGAGAGACTATAACCCATCCGCTGGTTCCAACAACACGTATTCGTAAATAAACACCACGGGTAATAGGGAACCAGTGGCAAATATCATTGAACGTGCATGGTTGTGTTCGGTGGTTGAGTGTCATACGTCTGTTTGCTTATATATCTCACGGTTGCGTCAAGGCTATCTTCCGCCTCGACTTGCTGTACGTACGGCTGTTTGCGGAAGTGTGTGTGGGGCGTACGTATATGCACATAAAGCACACGCAAGGGTCGTTGAGGCTAACGGTATAGTACAACTAGTGATTGTGTCGCGGTGTGCGGTAGCGGGAACAAGTTCGTATGGGAACAAGCTGATAGCCTTGGTCAAGGCTAGTAACATCATTGCGGAAGGAATTCATTTAATACCCGATACGATGGGCCTGTTTCGGATAAACGTCTCCGCATCTGTCCCGGATACTTATTGAGATGACTCCTCACTTTATCTATCATTCTTATTTCAGACTGTCATGTAAACTATCCGGACTGCCCTAACGGAAAACCTTGCGTGAATGGTGTGTGCGACTGAGACACATGAACTCGCAATCAGAGTAAAGTGCGTCGATGGTTGCGACAAAAAAAACACGGTAAGTACCTTTCACGTAGTTATATCGTGATTTTTGCTGGTCCCAGAAGCTCAACCTGGGTAGTCTTCTGTCTACTTATCTTAATGACTGACTGACTGACTGACCCCGACTGACTGACCGACTCCCCCGACTGACCGACTGACTCCCTGACTGACTCCCCGACTGACTCCCCGACTCCCCGACTCCCCGACTGACCGACTGACTCCCCGACTCCCCGACTGACTGACCGACTGACTGACCGACTGACTCCCCGACTGACCGACTCCCCGACTGACCGACTCCCCGACCGACTGACCGACTGACTCCCCGACTCCCCGACTGACCGACTGACTGACCGACTGACCGACTGACTGACTGACTCCCCGACTGACTGTCACTTGCTAATTACACTTATTAAAACTCACCTTGGCCAAACATTTTGACTCAGACGACCACCTAGACCCTTTAAACCAAATGGATCAGGGACCCGCTTGGCGAGCCTTGTTTTCTGAAAACCGTCAGGAACGCCAAATTGCTCTCAAATTTTCTCGGATTTGAAAATCATTTTCAAAGAATATCACTCATCGACCAGCTATAAATGATTATGAACCGCTCGAAATCAGTTTCATACTGGTAGGCCTGCCATCCCTTGCATTGCTTCACTCTCCAAAACACTTCAATATTTGCAAAAAAAGGCCTGTAATTTGGCCGCGCATATTTTGTATATCATAATAATCATCGAATAATCTCAACAAAAATTGTTTTTTATTTTAATTAAAGGTGATTTTCTTATGTTTATGTTCACAGATACTGATGAGTCAGAGGCTGATCTGAATTTATGACCGACAGTATTTATTTGTTTCTGGTGGTGGGATGCATGTTACTCTCTTTATCGAACAATTTATTTGTTGTTTTCCACAAAAATATCAGATATGTCCCTCACAATTTCGGCAATAAAAGACAATTAAAAACGCGTCACTGACTGGATGTAACAACAGTGGGCATGAAATTTATATTCTCAACAGGATATGAATTTCATGGAATGAAACAAAACACTTCACGTTACACAATTATACCTGAAATGCTGATGAAAAAAATATCCAAACCAAAAAACCTTTTGGTAAACAACATCCATATTCTATAAGAGTCCAAAATTTGAACAAGTTATTTGTCAAGATATCTTTGATTTCCGCTTTAAATTGATTTCAAAATACAATGCATGAGCTCAGCAATGAATAAAATTGATCGGAAAACGTATAAGTTGTGTTGGATTTTGCTTCTTGAGTATGCGACTCATCTATCGATAGCTAGTTAATATATATGCAGAAGATGTTCTTTTTCAGTTCTCATGCACACACAACTTCTGCGCTAATCATCTAAGCCAATCCCGTATGCTATCTTTCAAAGTTTCAAAGTTGTAGGCAGTAAAATGACAATCCCATTTAGGTGAAGGGCCCATACAGTATAGAGATAATTTCTCAGACGGATTTCTCTTACGCCACAAAAACGTTTCCCCACCGCCACCCCACCCCCTCCTACTTTCGGGAAAAAATCCTGATATCGCCCATGTTGAAAGCTTGTTGGAAAGGGACGACCTTAGATAACGGTCATGTCCGTATAGGCCTATCATTAACGTATAGGCCTATCATTAATATTCATCTCGAGCTTCAATCCGAATGCTTAGGCCTTCTTTATTGGCGACATGTTGCTTTGTCATTGTCATTCTAAGGTTTTAACAAAGATTTGGTGAGAAATAGTTATTGTACAACTTAAAGATGTATATACTCCGTGCTCTTCAAAAAAAAAGCTCTTTGTTCTCCTAACAAATATTTAATTTGTATGTTTTGTTTCACGTGCAAACTACTGTTTTCCGAGTATTTGCAGAACACCCCCTCAACTCCAAAACCACCTACTAGAAATCAATGACTATGCAGTCAAAGGAGATTACAAAAAAAAAACCGAGGGTACACCCGGGATAAAAATTCCCATGGACACCAGTGCTTTGCCCATACCTCAAAATTCTTTTTAAAATACTCAAAACTCTAACAGGTATTCAGGTTACATAGGATAATGATGATCGACACGTCATCTTTCATCTTCTTTCCAATTTTTGGTGGGTCGACCATTGACTTTTCGAAAAATTCTAACCCGAAAAAGGCGACCCCTCAAACAAGTGATGTTTTCCAAAGTGGAAAGAAGCCATCTTGAACAAGGGCCCCGCCACAATATGGCTAAATAGTGTTTTCAATTCCCCAATTCCATGGCTGTCAGAACTCTCCAATATAGCAGATTTTGAGTGTATAACTTGTATTAATGAGCTCTGCGGACAGATTTTTGGCCTATTAGGTAGGACCCCTAAGTCCAATGTAGGGGATACGGAGTAGGAGCGAGTCGGGGAGGACCGAAAAGAGGGCGCTATTTTCCACTTGAGAAATCCTCCAAGCGAACGTTTCAGGGGTTCACCCCAGTATAAAAATTCCTCAAAAGTTCAAGCGCTCGATGAATGTTCAATGATTTATTAAAAATCATATTTCGAGAGCCACATTTTTCTGAAGTTTGTTATCCAAAAGCAAACAACCTTGAGAGTATACATTATTGAAATTCAATTTACAGAGATTCCTGATACGATTTAAAAAAAAAAATACATAGTGACGATCTGTGGAGCAGAAAAAAAAATTCTGACAGGGACATTAAAATAATGATTTTTTTCCGTGAATGACTGCAGAGAGTTAACCCCAGAAGTTTGGCAAAAATCATCTGCCACTTGCACAAAATTTGATGCAAACAGTCTGTCACTACCGGTATATATTTTAAATAATTAATTTGACTGCAAAGTATAATTTCCCAGATATGATAATACATGTATCCTCAAAAATAATTTCTGTGAAATAGGTTATTTTAAAGATTATAGAAAAGATAAGATTGACCACTTTTGGAATGAAAAACTGTATCATGTGGATATAGAAGTGAAAATATAATGCGTAACGTTGTACTTCCTCAAAAGGACAAAAAATGTTTCTCAAGTACGTATCTGGAATAAAAAATTCTGCATTTTGACCAAACCAAGTTCATTATTGTGGGCCTTGGATCTACAGCACAGAGATTCATCATCGACAGGATGAAACATTTTGCCTTGATGATCATCTGCATTGTTGGTTCTTGAGCAGTTGAGGATGTTGCTCATAATGTTCGTTTTTGGTCATTTCATTTCTTTGTTTGCAGTTTCTCCTTGAGGACTTGCATTCCTTTGGTGTTGATTTTGGAGAGATTCTTCAAGACTGGTTTCAAGGCGTTGATGGCGCGCTGTCTGGATTCGGCTCGACCACAGTCAAGAAGGCTACATGGGAAGGAAATGAGAAGAAAAAATAAAATATTCAGATGCAAGTTTCACTTTCAAATCATGAAATCCAAGCAATACAATGTGTCAAATAATTTCTAAGGGAACCAAAAGGTTATCTGCTTGTTCTGAAACAACAGAGGGCACCATTTTTTTTTAATGTGACGTCGCAATAAAGGCAGGCAATGAGTACACCACCATCTTTTCCCCAAAAAACATTGGTTAAAGTGGTCAGAAATTGCCTCAGATCGCACCACAGAGCATCAGAATCAACAAAAATTTCGGGGCCCTTAAGCGGGCCCCAAACCCCATGCCGTAATTTTTTATGGATACTGGCTTGGTTTGAGAAGATTTTGGAAGGAAGTTTTTTGTCTGACTGGACTGACCTTGCTAGGACCAAGGCTCCCCTGTTGGCCCTTGTCCAGGCCTGGAGACTGTGCTCTTCAACAGCATCCAGAAGAATGTCAGAAAACAGTTGCTCACTCTCATCAGTACCTGTTGAAGAAATAAATAATGTCTTGAAGTCCCTATTTGGGGGGGGGGGGGCCTTGGGGTGCTTGAGCCTCCCTCCCCCAAGAAGTTCTCAAATATTGGGGGGGGGGGCAATTTTTTTTTTAGTCCCACGATTTGACCGTGGTGATATATGTATGTGGCCTATTTTCGAGTAAAATTATTTTCTTCGGCCAAAAAATTTTTTTAAATGGAATTTTTTTTTTGAGCCCCCCCCTCATGTCAAATCCTGGGTGCACTACTGCCCTACCCAACTCAAACAATACTTGTTCTCATTTGTTAATGTGTTTTTATTTTCAAAAAAAACTACAAAGGGAAACTGACTAGGTTCGTTATTACAATAACGTAAACAGCAATCCGGAGGTTGCAGGTTCAAGCCCTGCTCCAGTCAATTTCTTTGTTCAACTTTGAAAATTATGTTTCTTATTCATAGTTCTAGTAGGTATTTGTGCAATATTGTAGTAAAAAAAACTGATAAAAATTGTTACCTTCTGTGGCATTTTCCAGCATCGTTTTCTGGTGTTGCAGGAGCTTTCTGATGACCAAATGACCCGCTGGATGCTCAATGATATGAACCTGTGAAATGATGGAAAGAGACTCACAAGAGTCAGTTAGTTGGTCCATGATTGAGTATTGAGTATTGAGTGTTGAGTGTTGTGGAATACATCCATGTCGCTTGATTGAGTCCTAATCCATGAGAAGAGTCACTTATTTGAGTTAATGTCATCAGCCTTTTACAAATTAGCCGAGACCGCGACTTCAGTTTAATTGAGTGTTGGGTCATGAGGCTCTAGTCCAAGTCTATGTTAGTTGGATAGCATTCTTATGAATCCTATCCAAGGATCCGAAATTTGTGATCAGTAGTTGTTTAGATTGAGTGCAAAGCATGACTTGAGGTGACGAGTCCTCAACTCACTCGATTAGTGTCTTGATCCAAAGTTACAGTCACTCAATCAACGTCTGAGTACACAGCTCAAGTGAGATTGAGTACAAAATGTGACTCGGCTGTGAGCAATTCTCTCAGATTCAGAGTCACAATTGAGTCTACGTCTAAGTCCAGAGTGCTTTTTGAGCGTGGCCTTACCTCATTTAGCTGGTCCTCGCCATCACCTGCCAGGGCTGGTATAAACTCTGCAGCAGCTAGCGAGGCAATTGCCTGGTATCCCTCTACCTTGTCACCTGTAAATATAACTCTTGTATTGGTGCTTGGACGAGAATCTTGAAATCTCCTTATAATAACTAGAAGCATATTCAGTTTTCAGTTTGAAGATGCACTGTCCATGTTTTGTTTTTAAATTGTCAACCCGAAAAAAAGATTCTGTTTTTAAATTGTTATTTTTCTGGCAATACAAACTTTTCTCTTTTCAATGAGGCATCCAATTATGAAAAGTTATCGAAATTGAATCTTGGAGTACCAAACTGTCTTGTGTAGTTGAAGGCAAAAAGGACTTACCTTTAGCATGTGTGAGTACTGCAATCATCAGAAGGCAGCTGGATTTACTGTAAGCCAATTCCTTGGCATTCTCGCTGACGTAGCTCAGCAATGGACCCGAGGCTGCTGCTAATAACTCCTGTCTTCTCAGCTGCGCATCTTTTTTGCTGCAACCAAAAAAATAACAAAATGTATTAGTTTTTTGCATTAAGCTTTCAATTGACTTCACAACTCGCATGCAAGAGTTTAAGGAAACACTTTCAACCAAAAATTCATGTAATTTAAACTACTGCTCTTGAAATTGTTATATTTGATGGTAATTTCATTTTGTAAAATGTATTTTTTTCCCTGGCCAATTCTCAATTATTTTACAAATTTCAGGCATTCTTGTCAGAAAGACCTTTTGGTGATTTGTTTTCCAGTAAGGACTTGTAAGTGCCGAGTCAACAAAATGTCAGTTTCACGGAGCTAGTAATAAAGAAGTCTTCATCAAAAGTAGACTAATCAATGAAGCTCAACTCCATAATGTTTCCTGAATTCATTTGTTCAGGGACTGGTACATGCAAAGTGGCGTTGGTGAAGTACACCTGTTGTTGCCTGTGTGTGCAGTGGGTGGGGCCTGGCATGCAGTGGGTGGGGCCTGGCGTGTAGTGGGTGGGGCCTGGCATGCAGTGGGTGGGGCCTGGCATATCGATAAATTTAATACCTTGTAGGATTGCCGTCTCCTTTCTGTAATATCTGCACCACCTGGGGATGAAAGTGAGTCGAATTCCTTGCCGATAGAAGATAGAGTAGCACCTTACGTCCGTACGGATCCTCTGCGATCTCCGAGATGGATTTCATCATTTCCTGTCAAATACACCATCCAAACTAGTCAGCCTAGTTATCAATTATCTAGTAACCCTACAATATCTAGTACTAAATAGTAAACAGCCCAGGAAGAACTACAGTTTAGTTTGATTATCTTTGCTCAAGCCCAAGCAAGTAAACTTTAGTTCGAATGGTCTAGTCAACAATCCATAACCAGGCCAGGGCAAGTTCACGCAACCAATGGTTGGTTAGTGTCAAACAGTGCATGTGCACTGTAACATTAAAGTGCGAACGCCTCTAGTCGAACCATTGTCAACATAAGGCGGTCACGAGTATGTTTGGATTGTTTACATTCTTTGACCTGTTGAATGAACCGGAAGATATCTCCGAGCTCCACCAGCGGGTAGTACAATTCACTACGTTTAACCTTTTGTCAATGGTTCCCTCTGCACTTAAGTAACAAAACGAGGCTATTGATAACCAGCGATGCCCAGTACGCTGGTTCCAAATAGACAACTAGTCCAACCATCGTCGACTAGACAGAGTTCAGGCTAACTTAGTCGAACTATGGTCAACAATAGTTCTTGCGCGAACTTGCCCCTATAGTGTAGTCGGTCACATCGCTGGTAACAACATCTGCACTCATCATAATGCACAGAAGGAAGCCGGCACCAAGACGTTTCGTGGTGACGTTTTGACCATGAGACTCGAGACGTTGCTTTTGATGAGTAGGTGTATAAGTAACGTCACGAATCTACCAGTACTCGACCATTGGGCCTCAATTGAACTTGATCACTGGCGCATAACGTTGCACATCTCTACCGATTTGGGAGAAAATTCTGCACAGAGTCCAAATACTCACGTCAATGATGACCTTTCGAACCAGTAACGTGTCGTCCACGCAGTCAAACATGGCCAGCAGCACTAGGTGACCGAACTCCTCTTTGCATATCTTCAGAACAAATGTCTTGAAAGATTTGATGATGGCTTTCCGATCCTGATAAAACCATTGGAAGAGCAAAATAATTGGTGTTCATGACTTTGGAACATTTCAGATAACTGAAAAATTTGACAATTTTTGTTGTGATAGCCAAACAAAATAACTTCATCTTTACTGGATCTTATAAAACCTAAAGAAAGCATGTTTGGATATAAACGTAAGGAATGAAAGGATTAAATCAATTGAAACAAGCTGGTAATTAGAAGGAAACTTTACATCAATAATTAATTGAAGAGCAATCAAGTTTTGACATGTGGACATGTGTGCTGGTGAATACCTCTGGGTATGAGTTGTGTTTTACCTACATGTAGTAGCATGACATCATCATCAATAGGGCGTTTTGATTGGCTGAATTTATAATTACCTTGGCTGTACCATACCACAGGCAATGCATTGCTGCCCTGGCCCCATCGTGAGTGTGTAAGATCTGAACCACGATGTCCCGCATGCCTTCTATCAATTCCTGACGAGAAAAATGAACGAGAAATCAAAATTCAGACTGACGTTCTAGGTTTGCACCATATCCAAATTGGATTAGGAGCAACTCAGATCCGTCCAAATAGATTTTGGATGCAGACCGGCGAGCTTTATAAAATTGACTAGACTGTTGGGTCTTTCTGAAACGCCGTAACAGTCAATCTTTCAAAGAAGTCGCTCCTAACTGTTTCAAATGCACTTTTAATTCAAATCTTTGGATTAACTTGGTTGGACGCGACTCCGGGAAGCCAGTTTGATACAGGGGGTGATACTTTAGAAAGGACACAAGTAGGACTTCATATACAGGTACAACACTTTTCTGTTATTTCTTATCATTAGGAAATTAACCTTAATCCAAACTTTTGCGCTTATGTTCAAATGAAGGATTCCCACTGCCTCAACCCTTCAAATCCTCTGACAGCCCTGCCTCTCAAAATGCATTCAGCCTCAATCCTCCAAAATCCTTCTTTAGTTCAAACACCATTCATCCTCAATCCTCCAAAATCGACCGATACTGAATGTCCATGTGCCCTCATTCCTCCACAATTCCTCCAAAATGGTATGTTACATTCATCCTCAATCCTCCAAAATCCTCAAAAACTGCCCCAATGACTTTGGAAGATTGAGACGGTTTAGGGTTAAGATGTGTTTTTCAGTTCGATGTAAAAATAAATCACTCAATAACCTAATATTACAGCTAGAGAAAAGAACGAGAAGTCGGTCGAGAAGTCAAAGATTCTTACTGTTTTCATCTTGGTTGGTGCGTGAACCAAGAAATCCAACAGCGCTTTGTGTATGATGGAATGCTTCACCACTGTCCTGCAAAGGAGATCAATTCAGAAAAAGATACAAAGTCTAGAAAACCTTCTTTCTTTTTTGTTAATATATCTCAATTTTAGGGTGTTGTATAATTATTTAAACTGAAAAACAAAGACCGAAATGAATGAGTAGACTGGTACTCATTCCCAAAGTATGAACGTTAGAAGATAATGAAGGGACCAGGGAAAGTTTTAGTGAGTGCACTTACATTTCGAAGTGAATATTTTAGATCACCGAATACAATTGAAATTCCTCTCTAAATAATGACATTACACATTTACACAGTTGAGTTGGGACACGCCAACAGCCCAAACCAAACAATTCTTTATTGGCGGGTGTTCATTTGTGTTTTACTCATACTGAAGTTCTATAACAGTTAGGGTTATCGTACTTTTCAACGACTTGACTGAGCATCTTCAGCATGTTTTCCATGATTCCTTGCTTCTTGTCCGGTTGTTTTTCCAAGATGTCTTCAAGTGTGTGGATGCCTTCCTCCTAAAAAAAAAAAAACTTGACTATCATCAAACTGCAAAAGAGTCAAGGCACTTTTAAAAATGGATCCAAATTTTGCTCTTCAATGGCACAGCACTGCATACTCGGAGCTTACAAGAAAACCGTGACAGCTTCAAAGAATACCATTCCAAGCCTGCCTTCGGAGGCGTTAACCCATCAACCACTGAGCTTGCGCCTGTATTATTTAATAACACAGGTGTCTAGGAAAACCGGCTTCAGCAAATCCCAATGACACATGTGCAATTACAAGTCTTGAGGCCAATTCATACTTGGCGCAAAAGGGAGCGTGAATTTGTGACGTCCAACAAGTATTCATGCTGCGAATTCACAAAAGTTAAACGCATTTCAACACCAGCGAATTTGGAGAGAATGTTCCTGATATCAATTTTGCTTCACATTTGTGTATAAAAATATGAAACGGCCTTTAGCCAGGTAAATCGGATGCTGACTCAGAGGAGACTGCATGGCCACTTTACCTGACATTGTGACTTGAATATAGTATGAATAAGAAGGTGCCATTGGTTTTTACACAGTGATTTTTTAAGATTCAGGAAAGTTTCGATCAAAAAATGCCAATGGAGTCATTATGATAACACACTATGGACATTCCAAAATTGCCAAGAATCAACACAAACCTTGAAGATAGCGAAGCGAGGGCCGTAAAACTCCTCCAGCATGGCCGATCGTTGCTTAGCATTAGCGTGGTTGTTGTAAGCCAACTCCAAGACTTCAGCCGCCTCCCGATGCCTGACGAGTTTACTGACCTGCCCATAGAAGCAGGTCATGATGTAGGAACGGTGCTCCTTGCTGCCGTAGCGCAGCATCTTCATGACAAAGTGCTTGGAGTACTTGCCTTTCACCAACTGCAGGATTTTCTCAGAATCTGTTTTTGGTAAAAATGCATGAGATAAGATAAGTGAGTTAAGCTGACTAAAAAGAATGTGACCTAAAATAAGAGGACAGGATGCAGCCGTCATTTTTCAGCATCCGTTTTCAAAATAAAAGAATGAGAAAAGTCGATGATTAAAAAGAAAGAAAACATGGTCACAAAAAGGAAAACATATTACAGCTGTTTATCTTTTATTCAAAAGTCACATCCAATTGAAAAAAAAAGTTACTCTGGCATTAATGTTTAAACTTTGTTCCTAATTCAGCATAGACTCGAGTCGTAAGTCCATGAATTTAATTGTCCAAAGATGAGTTACAACGGTCGAAACATTCACGCAGGATCTGTTGCTCGGATTTGTTTTTACACTGCGTTTTTGTCACAACTGTGCGCAGCGATGAAGAATGAATATATCTCTGGAAGTTTACTCAAGTCATCACAAATTTCTTTTACTTGATTCTGAATTACTTGACAATTTTAAACATCTGCAAATTTACTGAAAAATGTTAGGTTTTCCTGTTAGAATCCTGAATTTTTTTTTAGGGCAATAGAAGTGGAGGGATTCGCTACTCAATACCATTTTCCCTCTCCTGGCATGCCTGGGGAAATACAACAAAATATTTTAGTATTAAAACAAAAGATGCAACCGACCTTTGACCTCATCAAAGATTTCCTGTCTCTGTTTCTCGCTTCCAAACTGCAGACAGCACTGGATGACCCTGACTGTGTCATGAGCTGTCAACAGCTGTAAACAAAACAAATGCATACAGGTACACTGAGCTGCAAAAAAGGAAACATTATCGAAAAGAATCATGATTTAGTTTATAGAGCTTAATGGTCTCTGTATAAAAATGGAGACCTCAACTTTGGGTTATTACTATTTCACTGATGAATCTTAGCAAAGGTACAAATAAGCCTTTTGCGAGTTAAATTTGAATAAAATCTGGAACGCTTTTAACTTTGCATTCTCCCGACCAAGGAGGCTGTTACTATATCACGTGATTCGGGGCAAGCCTTATGCTAGCAACCCCCAGCTCCGGCATGGTCTGGTGTCTTTGTGCCATTCTCACCCATTGTGAACAATGTATTGGTGCTGAGCGTCTCTTACGTAACTATGCAAGAGCTTGCCCCGAATCATGTCATTAGCAACAACTGTGTCTTTGGTCTGGAGAATTCAAAGTTAAAATGTGCCAAGCATTCTGAGCAAGTCAGTGCACCAGATGTTTTTTCAAATGTATATCGAAAAGGGTATAGGTCACTCGCAAATGGCTTATTGCGCCATCTGCACTTATAAATATCAATCAGGGTCCTACATCTTTATGCAAAGTCCAATTTACCTCGAATACTTTGCCTTTGATCAGTCCACACAGCTCTGTGAGCAGCTTGCATCTCTTCTCATTGCTGCATTTTTTCCTGTGATTAGAAGAAAAAAATTATAAAGGTTTTGTGACATATTTGTTTTTGGAACACAATCAAGGTAGCAAGCCAGCAACTAAAATGACAGAAGGTTTCATTTTTAACCAAGTCCAGGCTTAAAGAAAAAATCAAATTTGGGAATTTTTCAACTGTTCTAGAATCAATCCTGAAATAAATTTAAATTCATTGAAATCACCAAAAGCAGCAAAAATCAAGGGTACTGCCCAATCTTGATGAGATTCACTCCAAATACCACAGACTTACACTCGGACAGTATTCCAGATGACTTTGGCTCGCTGCGTCAGCTCGTAATTGCTCTTCTGCTTTTGCCGTTCTATCTTCCTGTCTTTGAAACTCAACTCCTCCAGTTTTGGTTTCTTAGTACCTCCATCATCACCTGACCAGAATGGCAGAGAAAAACAAACAAACAAACAAATAAAACCAACAGAGCTTGTAAAACAACACAGGAACTCATCAAACAGTGCAACTACTTCCACTGCAGTAAAATTGCACAAAAGTCCAGATGGGGGTAAAATGACGAGGTCAGCTTTCCACCCCCCCCCCCCCCCACCCCTAGTTCAAACTCCTTATTAAAAAGTCTTACAACTTACAAATGACCGAAAAAAATTATACAATTATAAATATCATGCTTCACTTCATAGTTTCAATGGTGCAAATATGAGTGAAGGTCTTCATCAGAGTTTAAAATATTAAGAGTTTCTTGTAGTGGTGGGATTTAAGTCAGGATTTTCCACTATTCGGTTTCCATTTTAGAAACCGGATATTCGGAACAAATCTTTACAAAAATTAAGCCTTCCATTTTTTTGTGATGCAGGCTAAAGAAGAAAACTGGGACATCCACCAATTTGCTTTATGGTCTCTGATTGTAACTGCATTCATCCACAAGTGATCTTCTTGGTTGATGAATAGCCTGCCCACTCGACTTTATCAGAGAGTTTACATTCATTTGTTTACAACATTACAACTCTGGAGTGTTTGTGAAGGCCCAGTGGTCACTGAATGCTGCAGACTATACCCAGTCATTGGGAGGGCATTTCATGTGGCACCTCACTCATCACTTTTTGTTGGCATGACTGTGAGCTGAATGGGAACTTCCGGTGAAATCAGATTAACCATCATTCAGTTTGAAAAATAATTAAGAAACTGGATTTTGAAGTCTCTGATTTCTCCCACCACTAGATTCTTGTAATCTTTAAACTTTAAGTTGGTCACACCCACCTTTATTGTCACTATCACTTTTTCTCTTGACACCCCTGTTTACTGCCGTTTTCTTAACGCTGTGTGAGAATTTGGCCACCTTCTTCTCACTATTTTTACTTTTATCCAAGGAATTCTCTTTGTCAGTGGGAAGTTTCTGGGGCTTCTTAGCGTTCTTTGGGCCTCCGCTTTGCTTCTTCTGCAGTTTGGCGCCTTGTTTGCCGACAGGTTTTGATATTTTGCCAGCTTTCTTGGAGACGACTGTTTTTGGCGGGTAGGAAGCCACTTTCGGTGAAGAAACAGATTTCATCTTCGGTTTACCCATGCCTGTAAAATATATGTGAATAAAATTAAAACCAAGTTAACAACTTTTTTAAGACGGCAATACATATAGCCTAATTAAAAACGCTGTGGCTGTAGTTATAGCAGTCACACCGTCTGGTTCCCTGACCTGACAATATTTGACATTAGGCCTCAGAACCAGACTATTAATCGAATTGTTCTCGGACTTTATTTCCATTTTGATATTATTCCAATGCCACATATCACCAAGAAATAAATAAATACAATTCAATAAAAAAGGTAGGATTTGATTTAAAACACAAAACTAAAGAACGCTTTAGAAACTTTTTTTTACAAAAATCTCCAAAATCCTGAATTCGATTCAGGTACCTTCAGTATGGTACTTCAACATTTAATCATGTTAATCGATCAAGCTACCAAAGCGCACTGGTGGTAAGTGCAGTTGTACACGTGATACAGATTTTCATTTTCTTTTGCAATGCTGTACTGTATTGTTACCGTTGAAAATTGGATTTAATTTCTAGCTACTACAAATTAAAAAGGAAACTCAAATCCGAGTAGAAAATGTTTCCATCTGAAGTGTCGTTCCTCTATCCCTGGTTTTTTTTTTTTTTTATAAATACACAAAGCAAGACATGCAAGACGGGATTTGGGAATTGAACGCTAACAGGAGCAACAGGACACCCATGAAAAATTTGTATTTTATTCCAACACACAAATACAAAGCCGGGTCAAATAAAGACTGAGACTAGTGAGAGATGGAAACGTTTAATGTACATGTAGTGGCTATCATTATGGTAGCCCCATAAATGTGGCCTATTTACTGGACTGCCTCCGTAAACATAGGCCACAAATCCACATGTACAAAAACGTGTCGCACTTTGCCACATTTTGATTTTCACATTTAGGCTTAGTTTGTAGGGTTTTTTTGCTTTAAGAGCATACTCACCCTCTTTATAGGCTAATCAGAAAGTGCTGCCTTTTTCAGATGTCCATTTTTCGTGAAATTTCCAGATACATTTGCACACGTTTGCGTATCAAAATTTCAACATGAAATTTCACAAAAATTAGACATCTGAAAAAGGCAGCACTTTCTGATTAGCCTATAAAGAGGGTGAGAATGCTTCTAAAGCAAAATAAACCTACAAAGTAAGCCTAAATGTGAAAATCAAAATTTGGCAAAGTGCGACACGTTTTTGTACATATGGATGTGTGGCCTATGTTTACGGAGGCAGTCCAGTAAATACTAAAATAGGCCACATTTATGGGGCTATCATTATGGCAGCTGTAATGCGATTTTCATAGTGCTATCGTAATGGCATTGTAAAAACACCATTGCGAATCTACATACGTAGTGGCTATCATGGCTATCAGCTATCATTATGACAGCCCTAACGCAATTTTTAAATACTATCGTTACGGCATTATAAAAACACAATGCGAACGTGTAACTGCCCATCCAACCAGAGCGCTTCGGTAGCTCAATTGAATTGGTACAGATGCTAGCTCAATGAGCTCGTAACCCTGTCTTAGTTTTAGCATGGAGGTAGGAAACACCATGATTTTAGGTTTTTTAATCATATTCATAAATAAAAGGAAGTGTCCTCAACTACATAAACCCCCATTGCCCCAACGAATTTGTAAATACGGTAACTAAACTTAAAATTGGACGATAGAGGGCGTTTTTAAAATATAGTTTCGGCGGATTCCTAACATCTGCAACAGCCACAGCGAACATGATATTCTTTGTGTAAAACTAAAAGAAAAGTAAACTATTCAGTCTGTGTTCATATCTTACTTCTCTCTCTTTGAATTAAATGTTCTCCCTTCCAAAGTTCCAGAACAGCACCTGAACGTGAACAGGAGAACTCTCGTTTAGTACTATGATCAAAGATTTGCAGACAGAATCACGCACACATTCGTCACATGGCGCTGCGATGCACATTGTAAAGCGCCAGCGTGCGTAGATGTGCACCTGAATATTTTTCATGCGCGTTCATTCCACGCTGATGAACATAAGGTACAAGACAAAAACTGCACGCAAAAACAGCGCCACCAAGAGTGGTATTTTTGTCACGAGTTTAAAGGCCACAGCTAATGGGTTTACGAAACCTCGACTGGGTCTCCGGCTTTGGCTACGGTGAAATACTCGAAACTTTGGAATTATAGTTACATATTATAGGATTTGATGTTCCACAAGCACAACATAGAGGGAAACCTCCAGAAAAGGTCGAAAACCCTTTTAAGCCGAAGCCGGAGACGTGACAGATTTTTTTGGTATAAAACAGGCCCACAAACAGATGCGCACGAAAGGACATGATGGCATAAAAACTCAACTTCTTAGTGTGCATTTTACTAGCTAGCTACCTTGGCCATAAATATACATAATTTTTTCCATAGGTTTTCCTTACGACTGAGCTACGGAGGCAGGCTTCAGCTGTTACTATGGCAAAATGCTTCGCATAAAACTATTCATCTGTAGACAATATTTGTATGAATAAGTTCAAGCCAATGAAATTATTTATGCTCCATAGACGAATTTAGTTCAAGTTAGCATTGAAACCGAGGCTGTCGGTGCTAAGCCATTGCATGAATTGAGCACCTTTGCTTTTTTAATCCTCTCAACAAAAGACAGCAATGGGGCCCTCGGCTTCAGTGCCAATTTGAAATTGCTGTTTTGAATTGTCGAATGTCACAAAGACAATGGGTGTTGTTTAATGATAAATGTTATCTTCCGCGAAGACTGCGTGATATCAGTAAAGACTAGTGAGTGACGAATACAGTACGTTAAATCGTGATTCATTTATCAGCTATTATGATTAGTTTGTTTGAACACGGGAGAATATCTAGAGAGGTTTCATAATAAAACAGCTCCGGTCGTGATGATGTTTGCTCGATTTGCATATGTACACACGATGGCCACAATGTGTGTCTTTGTTACGATGCATGTGGGTGACCGATAACGTGTTCGTTGTGACCACTTGCTTAATGTTCAACCTTATTCCATTTCTGTACTTTGACCCAAAATAGTGACAATCGAGGTTAAAAATTGTTGGAATAATAATGACAATGCTTTCAGCACGTGGGCACTTCTTCGAATTAGGATTCTAAGAGTTTCACGCTGCACTATACCGTTTTGGGTAAAGCGTATAATAGTCCCGCTAGTGTTGCGCCAATTTGTCTTCTTGTGGTCATCACCTCGTCTGAGGATCCGTAGAGCTAGTAAGGAAGGGATAAAAGTGTTACCGCTTTCATCATCCGAACTGGTCGTCCTTCGTTGACCGATTCAAGGTTTGTCATTTTACATTTCTAGTTCAGGATGTTTTAATTTGTTGGTTAGTTCAATATACGCGCAGATTTTTGGAATATTTCTTCGAGAATTAAATGTATTGCTTGTCTTGTGGTTCTGGAAGGTGAGCAATTTTCGGTATTATATTATGAGAAATCAAACCTAGTAATTCAGTTCTGGTTTTTTTCTCGCAATTCAAAAAGGTTATTCGCTGTAAAAGTTTGCCGACAGTTTGTCCTGGAAGATTAACTTCGATTTTTTGTGGCCCGACAATAATGACAGAGAATCATATTTTTTGGCGTTATGGCTCAAAACTTACGACCCAAATTTTTTTTTACAAGGATTGCAGACCCCCAAAAATGGGGGGGGGGGGCCTGGAAGATTAACTTCGATTTTTTTTGCGGCCCGACAATAATGAAAGAGGATCATATTTTTTAGCGTTATGGCTCAATACTTACACCCCAAAGTTTTTTTTCCAAGGATTGTAGACCCCCAAAAATGGGGGGGGGGGGGGGGGGGGGGGGGAATTTTTGGCTTAAGAAACATACAAATCGAATTGTTATGAGAAAACAGTCCATAAAATGCGCTTAGGAAGATCAATTAACTATAAGTCCTTATAGAAAAACAAAAGTTGAAGTGATAATTCTCTGAAATTGTGCATTAATTTTATTATCACAAACCAGCATTATATAAAGGTCAGTGCACGGTTAAGTATGGACATTGCCTTAGAAAAAGAATGACGGTCGAACTCTTCTTTGCGCCTTAAGAATTTCGAGTGTTGTCGTGATGAAGTGCAAACAGTCACAACAATACCCCTGGCTTGCTTTGCAAACAGAATGTCGACCGCTTACATTCCAAATGCATTACTGCATTACACACACGCCTTTCTGACGTTGGCACTGTTGATACGACTGGGGGCGCCCCAGATAGCTGTCGACGAGTGCGGGGTCTCCAAAGGCTGCTTCAGGAGCCCCGTGGACTGCGACAGTTTGACGTCATGTGACGTCATCGTGACGTGGCAGGAGACACCAGATGGGGGGTCTCTGATATTTGAGTTGGCTGGAATGTCACCTGGCTATGTAGCTGTTGGATTTTCGGGCAATCAGCTTATGGTAAGATTGATCACTATTCTAAGATTTAAGTAAAACTTAATTAGTTTACAAATAGACAGAAACCACAAAGGGGAACTGACTAGGTGCAATAAAATAAGAAATGGGATGTAGCGGGGTCTGAACCTGCAACCTCCGGAGTGCCGACAGCCAAATAATGGCGGTTCCGGAAGTTAAAGTTATTTCAATGCACCTACTTTTGTAGTCATTTTCCCGTGTGTGTGTGTGTTTTTTTTGTAAAAAATTAGTGAACATTTTAGTTATCATTTTTGATAATTGTTACGGAAGAAATGCGTGAATCCCCAAAACAGTATTATTTTTCTCTTGTTTTTTTTTTATTTTAACAAATAAATTGTGAAGATCAGAGATGAAAACCATTAAATGTGAGAAAGAAAAAAATGAAATGTTTTAAAAGTTGCAAACATTAAGTGTTCTTCTCTTTCCATGTGTTCTTTGTTTTTCTTTGTAGTCGAGTACAGACGTTTTAGCTTGTGTTGACAACAACGGAGCTACACTCAAGCATTTCTACAATCCAGTCAGCCACGTCAATGAACCACGAACACAGGTCTGTATCATTATGCAGTACCCTCCTGGAATTGTATTTTAATTAAGCTGGATTACAGGCGCCGTTCTAGAGCCAATATTTTTTTTTGGGGGGGGGGGCCTAGCAGGGTGGATCTAGAATTGTTTTCAGGTAGGCGTGCTGAAATGTGGACCGGTTATTTTCTCCGGACACTTAGGCCTCCGAAAATCAATAGGGGGAGGGGGGGGGGGGGGCTCGTGCCATATTTTCAATGGGGAGCGCTGATAAAATCCTACAATCACGCACACTATTTATCAAGGGGGAGACCGTTCGCATGTACGTCACATTCTTACATTTTTCCCTTTGTAAAGGAGAAACATGAGAGACGAGATTCTAAAGGGAAGCAAAATTAGTAGGCTCATGAAAAAAATTGATAATAACTATATTAATTAGGCCATATTATACACCGACCACTCCGACCACACATGGATCTTATAATATGGGTATGGCCCCGTCCGCGCACAGGATTGCGAACTTCAATGCGTGTGGATTAGAGTTGATACAAGGTCGTATACATGCAATGTATGCCATTATCATGCAACTATTTGACTTTTGCCTCTTTAACAGTAACTGAGCAGACATTCTGAAATGTTATCTCCATTAATAACAATAATATGAAATCGGTAATTGTTTTATTTTATTTCAGATTGGAGTGACGGACGAGGCAGCATCGTCAGCCAATGGGATCATCCAGTGTAAATTCACACGCGTTAAGTTTCTCGATGGGCAACCAGAGTTTGCGGACCTCAGAGAAGACACTTATGTGTTACTTGCAAGAGGGCGTCAGAGTGGTGGTAAATAATTATTAATACTTAATAAAGGATGTGGTAATTTTGAAGTGCAAAGTTTGTTACTTGATTTGTTACATTATTTTAAAACCTATAATTAAAACTCAGCTCAACTTGTTCGTCCTCTGGAGGGTTAAAATAGTTACGCCAATGCCCATTACTTTTGTCTTTATTTATGTATGATTGACATTTTTTGTAATGTGCAGGTTTCTTGACCTACCATACCCTTGGGTATTCCATCAGCGGCAGCAAGCAGGATTTTTCAATTTACCGAGCCCCAGACGCCTTGCCGACGGTGCATCCTCCCGGGGAAGGCAACAGCACAGCGAGTACCCAAGTGCCAGCTGGCCCGACGGATCTCGACGCTACGGACGGTTCGCATGGCCTCACCTCACCAATTAGTGCGTATCACCTTGCTGTCGTAATCAAGATGATCATTCTTTAAAGTTGATCTCTCTAAGCAGATTTCAAGCTCAAAAGTTATTCACTTTTTGGTGTGCCATCTAACGAGAAACATCACCCACATTTAATCGAGGATTATTTTTTTACTTAGTTAGGCCTACCAATTTCTATTCTTTTTCTGTGGACCAAACCTATTTCGGGCTGCCGTTTTGGGGCCTTTGATGCGCAAAATTTAAAAGCAACCCACATAAAAAGCCTTACTCAGAGGGTTGCAGAAACCACAGAAAAGTGATTTTGTTTGTTTGCTTGTTTAAATAATAGACCTTTATCGTGCTGCCACCATTTCAGTCATCTTCCCTGTATCCAATAACAGTACTGAATGATAATGCTTTTTGTACAAAAAGGAACCAGACTATTTTTCATGCAATCCTCGCTTTGGTTACATTAATTTGAATGGGAAAAAAATGGAATGGCTGCAACATGATAATGGTCTATAGGGCCTACGTGAAAACTGGCCATTTGTTAGGAGAAAAAAAAATCCAATTTCTTACACAACACACGGATCGAGAGATCTTTAATTGTCAGGCCCGTGTAACGGGCTTCAGGGATCTTAGGCTCATACTTGTTATAAACCGCCCACTCGCACTTCCCTAAACAGGAAAACCAAGTTCCAGCAACCAATTGCGACTACGGGAAGTTACTTACTCAAAATGAACTTAATATAAACTGCTTGTGATGACTAGATTCCAGTTGATTTATTTTAGCAACTGTTTTTTTTGTGTTTAGCAACTCGATTAAAACGCGCTCCCTCATTTTGTGATGTCAATGAAATAGCCGTTTGGGAATATCGGGTATTCGGGGCAACGGCTTCGTTTTTTGCCGTTGCCGTGCTGTGGTGAATAGCCGTAGCCATTACATTCCCCAAGTCCCTTCCGTGTACTCACTCTGGCACATCAAAGATTCACCAAATCAAGGAACAAAACACTCGGCACATGACTATGTTAGAATAGTTTATTGGAGAGTTAGGGTCAGGTATTGACCTTTTTTACACAGAATTGAAATACCACTTATATTGCCATTTTCCCAATTGAAATAATACTGTTTTTTTTTTTTTTTTACTTTTTACATCTGAAATAATATGTTCTTGCTTTCTCTCTTTCTTACTGCAGGTAATGGGGCTGGAAGACAATATGGTTTCACGACAACCATTATTATGGTAACGCTCATCAGCATCTCGTGTCTACTAAGAGCAATTTGAGGTTTCTAAAACAATAATGACATTAATTTATTTTTTTTAATAATGAAAAATGAAACTACAATTTGTTTGGAATTATCCAAAATTTTTGAATGTGGAATTTAAATGAACGTGAATGAAACCAAATGTTTAAAAACGACTTATCACAGTGAAATGAGATTGGCATCCACTTTTTTGTTTTAAATTTAATGATAATAGCCATGTAAAATAATTATATTTATTATATTGCTATTTCTCACATGCATTTCCAATTCCATATATGTATTTCAAACATATATGGAACAACTGTTCTTAAGTGTAATTTATTTGTCATTTTCATATACAGTTCGAATGTAATACCCTTAATTTAATATATCATGTGAAAATAATGTATCAAGTTAATAAAATATTTTGTGAATAATTTATACTTTGATGCACCATATAAGGTGTACATTGCACTTGTAAAGCAAGTTTTCTCTCTTATCGTCAATTGTTAATCTTAATCGATCACATCGACAACGGAGTATCAAAAAGGCTTTAGCGAATCTCGGCTTCGTCTCACTGCAGGTTCGGCTCCATCTCCAGCCTTGAGATTCACTAAAGGTGTCTGTCACCTCATCCGAACTGGTAAGGTTGTAGCGATTAATGATCAATTTTGAACCAGAGTCTTCCGAGTTGGAAACCTGTAATCATGAAGCTGTATAGTGCCAGTAGGCAATAAGGCCAATACAAAAAAATCGGTCTCTGGTCAGACCAAAATTCCGGATTTAAAAAAAACAAATGTCAAGCTTGGATTGTACAGACAAGGAGGGGTATTTTGTTTTTTTGTGTCCTCATATGCATTGGTGTCCTCCATCATTTGCCTTGGTGCAATTTCCCCATTCCTTGGTACAAAAAATTGAGGAGGTGCGGCAATAGAGGGTGCTGTTGTGACTACCGCGGACAATTTGAAGAAAAAAAGGTTGACGCGCGCGCTGACCAGAGACCGACAAATTTTTGTTGGCCTAACCAGAGATGCAATCAAGTCAAATATAAGTCAAACACAAGTCGTCACAATTCATTAAATGTCACCATGAGTAACTCACATAATGCATATCAACACAATTCATCACAGCCTGAGGTATAACCTCGTCTAACGTATACGTCTAACGTCAATTGATCAGCCAAAACAAGGACAAAAACCTATATGGTTATTGTCCCCTTTTTGACCTTGTTTTTTTGTGATCTAATTGCCTTGCGATTGATGATAGTGATTGACTGGTAACTGATTTGTGACTAGCGTCTGATGAAGTAGCTGTTGCTACGACAACGGCGGATCCAGGTGGCCAACAGCCCCCCCCCCCCCCCCCAAATAAAATGAACCCGGTTTTTTTATAGTCAAGTCGCAAAATAAGGCAGCCACTGCGTACACCACCCACAAAACTCAACAAAAGCTCAAGTAAGTTTTCATTTTCAGTTGGTCATAAAAGTACGTACTTCACGCCTACGGCTGCTTTTCGCTTAGCTTATTTTACTTGACTGCAACTCTCTCTGGGGCGGAACCGGAGACGAGGCCGATGTTTGGCAATATGCCGATTTATTAGGCCCCGCCCACTGCGCACGTGGGCAACAACTTACGCGCCGGTCGGAATTTGTCGGGCCGTGATTGGTCAAAACTACATGATGGGGCGGGGCTTAATGGGTCGATCTATAATTGTCTGGGAAAAGCCCCTTCGTCAATCCAGGTACGGCATCCAGAGCCCACCGTGTAACAGCGGGTTAGCCCGGCTGTCCGTGGCCGGGAAGTTGGCAGGTACCGCCCCGGATTGGTAGAACTGCAGTCGCTGTAGAAGCTTCAGCACGAGCTCCTTGTGATCCCGGGCTACGTTGCAGGTTTCTCGCGGGTCGTACCTGATGTTGTACAGCTGGATGGCGTTTGAGGATGAGCCCGGGCAAGATTGGATGGGGATAAGGTCAGGAGACTCGGGCGGCCGACGCCAAAATGGACAACCTATTTAGGCGAAGAAAGAAATTTCAAAAAATGAAGTCATAGAAAGTACTTTATTCAATTTGTATGGGCTCACTGATAAACGAAAAAGTAGAACACATGTTTACAAGAATGCTCAACAACCATACGTGATCATTAAACATTAACGAGATACCGCAGATTTGCCGCAGCAAGTTTAATATCACACTATTGTGGCAATCTGAGATGTCCCATGTGTGTCCAAAAAAATGCAACCCTAAAACAATTGCCTTAAAAAAAAGGATCGGTGGATTTTTTGGTTTTGAATTTCCGGTTTTAAAGCGGAGAGCTTTTTCTTTCAAATACTGAAAAAATCCTGAAAATAGCACTTTCGGCTGCTGAGCTGAGAAAATGCCAGGTATGTAAAAGTAGTCATTTTTTTCATCGTGTTCACAAGTACTTCAAACAGTGAAACATTTTACTGTAAGCCCACTGGGCAATTATTCCTTTTTGGGTGCTATTTCTTAAGTATTTTGACATATTTGTGATGCTGAAAAGGCTTAAAATAGGACTAAAAAGGGTGATATACCTGTTCAGGTGGAAAGTCAAAGGCATTTCCATCAAATTCATTTGTACTCTTGTCATGTTATGTGCCATGTTGTTTGCAAGGGTTAGGACGTGCACAATAATTAGGTACAGTTTAAATCCCATAGTGTGGTAATATTTTGTGTACAGGATGAAAATGACCACTTTTTACATAATTGGCATTTTCTCAGCAACCCAAAGTGCTATTCTCGTGATTTTTTTTCAGTAGGCCTACTTGAAAGAAAAAGCGCTCAGCTTTAATCCAATACCCAAAACATAAAAATCCACCGACCCATTTTTATTAAAAGGCAAACGTTTTAGGGTTGTATTTTTCGGGTCAACCTGTAAAGTGGCAATCTGAGATGTCCCATGTACATGCATGATGAATTTCAATGACGTTCTCCTCATGCAGCCTTTAGCACCCGAAGGCATTTCTCTCAGAGCGCTCTCCGTCAACAGCTTTATCTTACTGGTTACATCGGACACAATTTGGCCCAGTGACACATTTTGCAAACGAATTTTCGTCTCTGTTTCCTAAGCAAAACAGGCAACACCTGTCAAAGTCACGTGATGTTTTCTCAACAAACAACTTACACGTTCTACAAAACAGTAGCACAGTAGCGCTGAATGCACAGTGTTTTTCAACTTATCTTGAATCACAGACTGCCTTCGGGCACGAGTATACATGTATATATCTTCATGGTGTTTCCTCGGTTCTGACAGAAATCCACTGGAACGGCAGGCGCCACTAAGATTTCCCGCCTGAATTTATAGTCAAATGGACAGACTTTGGACAGAGAATTGACGGCTGTTTCTTGACTTTTTTTTTCATGAGAGTCGATGATAACAAGCAGCAGGTGTTTTGAATGTTTGTTTACAATTGAAACGACATTATTTCGCTGTCAAGAAACAGTTGCCAGAACAGGCAACCGACAGGCAACTTAAACATGTAAAGCATCTTTTCCATGTGATTATGCCCAAATTAAACAGTTTATGTCAACACTGTTAAACCATTCATATTTCAAGAGATGTGCGTGCATGCGCAGAAGTGAACGGTTTGCTGAAAGATGGCATCACGCGACCATACGGTCCAATTTTGTGAGCAAATTGTGACATGGTCTGCAATAACAATTCTAATAGACGTCTTACATCACTTTATTTTTCTGGAGAAAAAATCATGTAGGCCTAACCCACGCCAAGAATATAGTCAGAAAACCTATAAATTCGGCTGCACGGTATACTAACCCTTTCTTCACTTCCGTAGCGCTCTTAACACTGAGATTATATCCAGCCCTAGTTTGGTCGACTCCAGAGTGTTTTTGTCTTTGTTCTTAAGTTTTGTCCGACTGTCAAGTCTGAACTTACAATGCCTCTCGTCCTAACTCAGTCCGGATGTTTCTATGATTGATGCGTACTGTGCATGAACGACACATCCGCATAACATTTGGTACCGATCTTAGATTTAGTCGGATCTCCGAACCTCGCCAACTTTCAACATTAATAAATGTCTAGGTTATCAATCATGAACGCAGTACACCCGTTATTAATTTAACTTGACGAAGACCATGGTCCAGTACAAAGAATAGGCTATTCTCATAACATTGAGAACGGAAAGAAGTAAGGAAGAAACAACTTAAAAAGAAGTTAATAATGAGAAGCACCAAACCCTTCTTTAGGTCAAAAAAGTCTCCTGTTTCTGGTCTGCGTGCGCAAATTAAAAAAAAATTTTGTTCAAAGTAAGATGATGTCTCAAAACCGCCAAACTCACTGGTTCGACTGGAATCTTGCTACTGCACAATGTTAACGTGTTTTAGATGGGGTAACGATCGAGTATAACTTTATGTGGCCTCCTGTGCTCCCATATATTTTGCAGTAAATTTAATCGGGCACCATTTGCAGACGGTATTGTAGTTTTGTAATTGTGCGTCTGAGGGAGCGATGGTCGTGTATTTAGAACCTGTAAACGTTTTTTAATTAGTGCAATATGTAATGGAGCAGACTAATGACCAGCCTGGCAGCTCATGCACGATGTCGATGTCGCTGTATGGTCTGACGATACCGTTTTCTCTGATTTTTGTCTTGACTGTCCAAATTTCCCGAAGAATGTTCGTGTCGGTCGAGATCGTAAGTGGGTGCAGAATTCTCAAGCCTTATGGCCTTACTGAGGTCACCTCAAGCTCCACTCTGAAGGATATTTTTGAGAGTTATAAGGGGATCGAAGCATCATCTGCAACATCAGCCGACTTTTGACGAAAAAAAAAGTAGGAAAAGAAACCCGCGACGCCGCACCACTTTTGGGGCAAGCTCCATACCAGAAACCGAAGGCCCCTCCTATGGAGAAACCATTGTGCATGCTATCGTACAAAGCAATTGCCCCGTCACGTATTACTTGGACAAAAGCTAGCACAATGCTTTCGCCATTGAAGGGGTCTACGTGATAGAAATGATAGCGTGCCCGAATTGGTCCATAGATCTGTACAGATTCATTTATGCCGAAATGTCCCATTCAAATTCGTTATGAAGTAAACATCGTTGTACCTGAGCTTCCAGTCAGTAACTTCCAATCACCGACCCTGATCGCTGCGCGGAAACCGGGGTCGAACCTTTGGTCTCCTGGTAAGGAGTCTAACAACGCCTGGTCCTCGTGGGTGATCTCGGCATAGTCGAACATGGGATCGATGTTGTGAAGAATCTCGGTACGAGGTGACACGGCCCCTTGACTACGCGAAGTGCAAAATAAAGATAAAAAAGTAAAAGGTAAAATGTTTATCAAAAAATTGAAAATGTTTTTAATTACAATCAACGGACAACTTTTAAAGTTGTTGGTATCTTATAAGGAAGGCACTCACCAGGGGCAACATTTCTTGGATTTTTAACACAGAAATTTGAAAAACACACAAAATTGTGCTTTGCAAAAATGGGTTACCAACCAAACTGCCATGCAGTGTATTGTGCTTGTGATTGGTCAGTGGTTCCCGTCCTATTTTTCCTCAGTACATCAACTTAATAAAATATAATGTTCTCTACAAAACAAGCTCATTGAAAATGTGACCTAGATACTAAGACTAGTCGGTGTTCTGTACCCAGACTTTAAAATAACATTGCAAGACGTGGACGCTAGATTTGATGTACTCATGATTTCAAGGTTGCAGCGTATATAAATTCCATCATTTGAAGCAAGCAAAATTTCAACAAGAAAGCCATTGTTTACCTACCTGATAGTCTGCCATACATCATACCCGTCCAATGGTTTAGTGCCGTTAGTCTGGCCCCCGGCAACACTCCGCACCAGCGTTGGTAACCAATCACTGACATGGATGAGCTGTGTGTTGATGGTGCCCCGCACGGCTTTAGGTAGAAGCGGACTGCTGACGAAGCCCACTGCGCGCACTCCGCCTTCATTCAAAAACGCCTTGCCGCCACGGAGCGGCCAGTTGTTTCCGAAGGTGTTTAAAGAACCTCCATTGTCTGTCAAATAAACACAAAAAATAGTCCTTCAAAAATTAATTGAAAATTGTTTAAGCCTCGGTATATTGATTTGGAATCTTTTGAAAGTTTTAGGGTTAAACAGTTACTTAACGAATTCCAAATTCATCAGCAATGACTAGTCCATGGAAAAAGTTCCATCAAAGCTGATGCCGATATCGGTCGACTGATGTTGCATGATGATTACGAGTACGATGAAGATATTTTGGGGCACATTTTTTTGCTGTTCTGTATAGATGAAACGAAGCTTTCCTCGCCCGACATTAATAATAATTGGTCACATTGAATTATTAAAAGTACCCCGTTTCGGTTTTCCCTGATTTATATTTTTTCAAAAACAAAATCATCAACATTATTGTCCAATTGATGCCTAAAAAACCTTTTTATAATTTCAGCAAATTAATTAATCAGCAAAATGTCATGCTGCCAAGGCATATGCTCAATTATTTAATACACGAGATATATGTACATATCATATTATAATCATTATCATAACTATATTATGCGTATACTGCTTACTTTAAATAATTGAGCATATGTCACATAAAACCTAATGCCGTGTCTAGACATTGTGATGCTATTTTCCAAGATGTGAGATAGAAAAATAACCCCGAAGGGTAAAATTTGATTAATTTATGCCGAAATATTTGCTAAAGTAGTTATTATTACGGAAAATGGTACCTTTAATAGGGAGACATTCCTATAGGGTTGTGCAAGTTCCCCCCCCCCCCCAATTTAAGGACCCCTTCCCTTATCCTACCCCACGAATTTTGGTATAATTGTGCTGGACCACGAGCAATCGATCTAGCCTATTTGCGACACGAACATTTTGCCTCTAAATGGGAGCTGTGACATTAGATAGACAAATTTTCATGTCTGGTGTCTCCATAAGGTATACCTAATCACGAAAAAAATGTCTCCAAAAGATACATTAACAGGAATTAAGCTACACACTGCTAAATGATGTTTTCAACAACATCCGTATATTATATGACGAACATTTTTAGATGCCTTAGGTATAACAATTTACAATCATATTTGTAGGTATATCGAGGACTAATCAGCGGATATTGTTTCCAGTTCCACCCACCTGACGAAAAGATGATGATGGTGTTATCCCAGACGCCCTCTTCCCAGAGCGTCTTCGTCAAGTTTCTCACACTTTCGTCCACGGCACTGACCATTCCCGCGTAGGTTTGTCTGTAAGCCGCATTATTGATGGAGTCACGGTATAGATTCTTGTAGCGTTCGGGAGCTTGTAATGGGAAATGGACATTTTTGTAGGCCAGATACAGGAAGAAAGGCTGGTGGGGAAAACGATAAACCATATACACTGTTATTTCGGTTGTGTAAAAATCAAACGGTTGTGTACTATATGAACCTAGCAACCCATTGTGTAAAATATTACACAACTTGTGTAAAATATTACACAACTTGTTCAATATTTTTACACAACTGGTTGCTAGGTTCATATAGTACACAACCGAAATAACAGTGTACAATCCCGGCCAAAATGGTTGGGACACTTGGAAATAACCTTAGCCTCCAACGGTCACCAACTCCCCCGCTCCCCCGGTCATTGTTGTTCTCTCCAGCGGATGGAGCACACACCGCGCAATGAGAGACAACATTGAGCGGGGGCTGGGGGGTCGGGGGCCCAGCGAGATTTGGCCAGGATTGTAGGTCAGGCGTAGTATTGTGCGTGCAAGTTTAGATATTTCAGAAGTTAAAACAAAACCTGCACAAATGGTAACAATAATATTTGGCTTTATCAAGACATTTATTTGAGAGTTGCCATTCAAACCTTTATATTGTACCTTCCTTAATATAATAATCTGCCCGAAATTGTGTAACGGACAAGTGACATAAATGTCTTAACCAAGCCACTCTCTTGCAATTTTTCTTTGAAACTGCAGCTTAGAATTTTTTTAAGAACAATGCGAACATCTCAACGAGCATTTTTACCACGCGTGATGTAAGAAATTACTGAAATTCCAAGTATTATATAGTCTTGGTCCCAGACTAGTCGGCCTGGCGAGCGCGGTCAAGACTATAGTGAGGTCGCTTAACCACAAGATGAATTTTAATCCAGACTTAGGAACTTCGGCACTCGGGCCCCAGAAATCTGAGTATCTCAGATCTGGGTGTCAAAGTTCTCAAGACTTGACATGATTCATCTTGTTGATAGCAACTTCTGCGGCAGCGGCTGGACCGCGCTGGACCGCGCTTGACAAGGACCCACATCATAATGGCGAACATATTAGACCAAGACCGGGGTTTACCCAAAGAGGCAAGAAACACAGTTCGTTTTGACCTGATCTTCCTGGCGTGTCTTGATGATTTCTTGCGCCCTCGATGTGAAGAGTTCGGCGCTGTAGATGCCGTCATATTGACGGACATTCCTCAACTCTTTCGCGGTGTCGTCGTGCAGATCGTGTCCCGAGAACTCTCGGTGGCCTTCCATAGAGCGATTGTAGTACCAATGGTCCCCTCCCCCTGTGTACAAACCTGAAAAAATGCAAACTATTTCGGATCAGTGGCAGATCCTCATGCCGCAAAAATAGGAAAATCATGCAGAAAAAATAGTCTGCTAACCATCCCGCCAACCTTTGAAAGCTAAACCTCCTGTCATGAAGCTGGATCCGCCCCTATTGATAAAAGTACAGTATCTGACAGATTAGTTTTTTTTCAGCGAATGTTTTATGTTTCTCTCAATACATACTGTTCTAATTATCTGTAAGTTTTCACGCTTAGGTTCCGTCTTGGTCCAACTGTCCGTGTGTGCTTGTTCTTGTTGCTGTTCTTTTTTAGTCCATCCAAGGCATCTCGCCACAAGCCTAGGCTTCGAGAAGATGCCTCCATGTTCGCTTCTTACACCTTTTTGACAATTCCACTTACTTAACTTCTTCATATATTCTCTGCTTATATTTCTCGTTTGGTATGAAATGAAATGTAAGTTTGAATAGGAATCGAATTAAAACTGATACTAGCCCATTAACTCTAGTTCCACTAGACTGAAAACGATTGTTAAACAAAGACATTATTGAAATGGCAAATTGTATTCGCTTGAAGAATACATTTAACTTTGGACATCTTTTTATTTTAGTTTCAGACGAATACAAGAACATCTCATGTTGCTTCACATCATTTATGAAAAATATTGGAACAATTTTCCATTTGTTTCCTGCTCACCAAAGAATGTGTCGAAACCTCTGCTAGTCGGCAGGCAAGCCTTATGGCAGAACCCGAGGTGCCATTTGCCGATGGCGTGAGTCGAGTAACCTGCCTCTTTCAACTTGGTCGGTAGGGTAACCTCGTCCAGCGGTAGGCAGTGCGGTCGGGCGTGCTCGAATAAATAGTGCTGAATTCCCATGTGGATCTGTCGGAATGGAAGGAGGTTATCACATGATTATACTGGGAATACTAAAGGCTCTGAGAGATGGTGGATTGCACTTGGCATTGTATGTACTTCAAAGGCATAAGTTAATTACGAAAAAAAATCAGAGGCCTTTTCCTCCATACTTTAAATGCAGTTAGGTAAATCCGTGTCGGCGATTGGGGGATGGGGGATGACCAACATCTACAGTTGCCCGGCCGTCGACATTCGAAAAGCAGGGTGGGGTGGGTGGGGTAGTGCTGGACACTACACGACACAAGGGGCGCTGTTCAAAATGTACATCTTATGCAAACTTGAGAGCTTACGTTTAACTTCGCTAGTTCTCCCGCCTCGCAAACAGGGCGCTGGGAAGGGCTGAAGCCGCTTTACAGAATCTTGTGAAGGAAGTACGGATGGCATTATGGGTATAGCATGACCTTCGCATGCAGCTAGCGCGCTACGTATGATAAACAGCAGCAGCGCTGCATGCTATACGTCACAGGTCACGCAAAATCTATCCAATGAGAGCTCGAAGAGATCAGCCCTTCCCAGCGTCCTGTTTACAGGGCGGGGGGGGGGGGGGGACGACCGAAACGTTTACCCTTATATCACACCTGTGCCTTTAAAGATTTTGTACTGCTTGTTATCAATTTTTCAGTTCTATTTAATACATGTGGGCTTTTGGAAAGTTAGAAAATAACCTTAAAATTGCCCATCCCCGTGGTCAAAAAGTGCGGGGATTTATCCGCCCCATCCCCGGGATATGGATTTAAGCCCTTGTTTAAATAATTATAAAGGCCTTGCTGGGATAATAATGAAACAAACGTTTATGCGAGTTTTAAGAAGATATATTTACAAAAGAATGTCCAATTTTTAAAATATTTTCCGAGTACCAATCAGGTTGAATATGTGGTTGAAAAGTATAGTTATTAAAGGTATGGTTCTACAGTGAACCTGCACACAATGCGTTTTTATAAAAGCTGAAGGATATGCTCAGGCATTTGGCAGTTGGCGCTAAATCATATTATTAGGGAAATATTGCAGAAGCTGCATAATGCGTAACCGATATTCATCCTAACCGACCGCGAGTCACACCACGTACATTGATATACCGAATGCTATTTGCCATAGGAGGTGTATATACAGTCCATGCTGTACGACAATTCAATTAAACTGTTTACAGGGTAGAATATATAGTTGCGGTGGAAATTGATATTAATTGATACCCAGCAATAATTCCCATAATTTATGATAATGCTGAGTGCAGTAGGACGACATATCGAATGTTATATCACAAGATATCGCCTTGGCTAGGTAGCTGCAGGTGCTGATTGTGGGCGAAGACAGTACTTGAAGAGGTAGAGGGAGTGTTGTTAAGAGGGAATTAGGGTGTCACATGTCGTCGACCTCGAAGTACATCTGTTCGTAGATCATCTTTGGTTATAATGACTTGAGAATGTAAGAAAGAGTCAAGTTAGCTTGGTCAAAATATAGCCCACCATACCAGACTTGTAGACTTGTAGGCTTTCTTACTCTGTTTGTTTGCACCGAAATGTTCTTGGTATAACAGGTTGTCAACTAAATGTAAGTTTCGAACTTTTTTTTGGGGGGGGGGGGGGTTCAAAAGCTGAATTCGTTTGTCAGTTATCACCATGTAAATATTTTGACTTAGACACTATGTGTGGTAGATACTTCGATCATTGTTCAAACGAATACAATTCTCAATAAGGACGTTATTTAAAGATCACCTTTTTTGTTACCCAAAATAAATTGTGGAAATTGCTTTTATCGCTTCATTTGCAAGAGGCAACCTTGATTGAAGGCTACATGGGCTCGATTTCAGGTTTTTAGATATAGTATATACTTTACCTATACAATACAGGGTGAGTAAAACAAAAAAAGGCGAAACCCAAATGTCGTCGGGACCATTGTTTTAGTGTAGTTCTGCATGTAGCACTTTCAAAATCTAGGATATGAAAGCCCATTTCATAAGCTTTCTTTTAGTACAAGAATCATTCAAATCACTCATGTACTAGTTTCGGAGTTTTAAACACAAGTTACACAACCACCGTTTTTAAAGTTCTATCCACGGATCACAAGAATGTAAGTATTCTTTCAGCAAAACGAAAACAAATCACATAGGGATGTGTGTAAAATTTTTTGGTCCCGACATTTGGGTTTCGCTACTTTTGACTCACCCTGTAAAGCATCTTAGAATGAGTCCATCCGGCCAGAATTGTGTGTTAATACCCTGGATCGCTCTTAACAAAACACAGCCCACTAACGCCATTTGGGGGAACGTCCGGCTCATACCCTAAACGGGTTAGGTATTCCCCAGACAGGAACATGATCGAGTTCCCCTTCCCCTCCCCTAAGAATTCCCGACTATTAATCAAAGTTTTGAGGTAAAAACAATATTTTGGGCAGACGACCCCTTAAAAGGAGGCCAATGAACACACACTTATAAATACGTAGTTTGGTAAACAGCTCTGTGCATAACGCCAGTGTTAGCTGAAAAATGGTTTAAAACAGAAGAGGAAATTGAATTTTGCCTCACGTTTGACTATAGTATCTCCCCGGAGCCTAAAAAATCAGAGCGTATAAACGCGGTCGGTTTTGTGGAGACTTGTTCGGACTGCATGCAAAATGTTGGACTGATAACGTTAATTCAGCTTTAAAAGCGTACTAAGAGTCTTATTTCCTTGGGCCACTTAGGGTGCCTCAGCTACTGGTAGGGGCACCCATTGGGTTTAGTCATGGTTGCAATAATTCATCAAAACCTGTGCGGAAAGGGGGCACGGAGACCTGGGGCACTGTCCGTCCGTGCCCCCTTGACCGACTTCATGACGCACTGTTATTTTTTCTCTATTGGACGGTTCCGGATTTGTCTCAAACCCCACCCACCTTGAGTTAGTGGACATCTTCTCTCAGTGCTTGTGATTGAGTTTGCCCGAGCTATATATGATGGTCACCTGACCAAGAGTCGTGAGCTTATTGGTCAGTGCGCACTGTTTGATTGAAAGGCAGGTAGAGGGTCACGTGTCAGCTACTTTAGTCCAACAATTATGAGATCATCTTGAGGCACCGCTCCTGTCCAACTGTTTTGAGCCTGTTACGAAATAAGTCAGGTATATTGGGCCTGCACAAAAATAACTCACAGAGCCGAGGCCTAAATACGCAAAAGAAACGTAGTCAGTCTCTTGAAAATGAATATTGCCGTAGAAAAGAAAGCTACGCAGAAAATACCAGACAAATCCTACTACACGGTAAGTTTAGAGTGCACAAAAGGGACTGTACATGTAACGTGACTGAGATAGCATGGGGAACGCCCCCCCCCCCCCCCCACCGCTTTGAATTTGGAATTAGACAAAAAGTTCTAATGTTAAAAACATGTCAAATGCCCACTTTAGAAAATGAGGCCCTTAAGTGCCTCGTGTTATTGGAAATGTTGCTTCAGGAAGCACTAAATGTCTAACTATTTTGCAGTATGACGACAAATCACGCTGGGTGAGTCAAATGATCTTCCTTTATCTTACGTGTTAATGAAGAGTTTCCTCGTCTATGGGTACAGACCTTGGAATGTGTTAGAGTAACACTGTTTTGATTAGAGACTGTTCATATAGGAACACGCTGATTAGGTGGAATAAGGCTGAGCTGGAAGGAACACTGAGAATTCATGTTTTGTTGCGAATTGGCTTCGTTCCCAATTGAGAATATATCCCGTTCAAACTCGGGTCCATCCGATGTTCCTATGTTCACAGTCCCTATGTTCCCCAGTCATTTTGTTCCACAATCCCTATGTTCCCCAGTCCTTATGGTAAGGGTTAGGGTTAGGGTTAGGGTTAGGGTTAGGGTTAGTGTTAGTGTTAGGGCTAGGGTTAGGGTTGGGGAACATAGGAACTGGGGAACATAGGGACTGGGGTACATAGGTATGCACCTGTTCAAAATCTACCATAAGGATTCTATGCACGAACAGCAACTGGCGCTTTTTGACCACTTTCGACAGCCCTAGCATGCAGGAGGGACACACCGCGTGCGCGTGTCTGTTCGTGCATTTGCCTCCCAATTGTCTCCCCATCTCTCCCTTTGTAACTGTTGAAGGCATACTTGTTCACGGAGTTTATGGACTTGTGAGTTGGTTATCAATTTGTAATTGGGCATTCATGGTTTTCCACTCGCACTTGAAACTGGCCTTAGGGTTTTTAGCTTCCTCTTTCATTCAGGGCCCTTAGCTATACACCATGCATTATGGTAAAAAAAACCCACATTAGCAGGACAGACATTTTGTTTTTTAATAAACAACTTACTTAAAGTTATATCTCATTCCTTTCCTTGAAGTACCCTTCTCAACCGTTTAAACCTTGGGGGTTATTACATGAGAAAGGGGAGTTTCAGGAAAATTGTAGTAGTGGTTTCAGAATGTGGCAAACTAGGGGTGAATCACTAACTTTGAAAGGCAGCAAAGTTCATTTATTGATAACCTTTGAACTTTGTGGCAAGTCACGGCGGGTCTTTGGGACACCCCGAAAAAAGATAACGTTTTGTAAAACAACCTTTCCAAAGGTTAATTAGAAATGAGGGGACGGAATACCAACAAAATAAGGGTGCACAGTAAAAGAAAAAATACTGTAATTTTCAGTTCCTGACCAAACTTTTGTAAGCTGCAATTTAAAGTGTTTAGTGTTGAAAACGTGTTGGGCAATCCTACCACACGCAGCAGTTGGTATAAATTACATGTACTTCAATCGTCAGCGAAACTGTTGGGAAGAATTGTCCCGACAGAACCAACAGTATATATTTCATAACGTTGACGTCCTGGGACGTTAAGCAACAATTTACCCTGTTTTTTTTAAGGATGTACGCTCTCTTTTTCATCCCGCCCCACCCATGTTACATAGTACCTGCCCTTACAGGGTGCACGCCCCTTGTTCAGCTAGCCACGCACATGTTACCTGGTACCTCCCCGTCATCAGCTGGCTCCTGGTCGGTGAGCACAGCGGCTGCACGTAGTAATTCTCCAGCTTGACTCCTTGCTCGGCGAGTTCATCAATGGCAGGCGTTCTGATGGCTGACCCGCCTTTCTTGGCGTGGTAACCGACATCGTTGTAACCCAAATCGTCCACCAGGAGAAACAAGATGTTGGGCTTTTGTGACGAGTCTCTCTGGGTCGACATGGCACGTCTTGGGGCATCAACGCGTCCGATGTAAGACAAGCTATGGTTCGTTTTGGTGTGCAGATAACGGCTGGTTTCGAACACAACAAGCAACGCTATCGCAGTGACGAACACGAGAACTGTAAACCTGGACGGCTGACAGCTGACCAGTAACCTAATCATCGCCATTCCGACTGTCCAATTCCAACTGGTCCTCGTACTTTTGAAATACAACCACCGATTACCTTCCTACCGATGTCATTACAAAGCACTGCTGTTGCGACTCGTCCGTCTGAAGTCTGAACTTCAAGTGGTATTTCCACATGCACGTTTATAGCACTACAACGTGTTGATCGTCAGCACGCGATCGCGACCTCGTGCCCAATCACAGACCGGTGACGCTGAATTGACGTATTGATTTGCGTTCATCAATACCAGTGTGGTGATTTGTAATATTCAAATGGCCACTCTTTCATTTGTTTTTCCTGCCATGTGCACCAAAAAACAAAGGCTGTACAGAACTATTCAACACCTTGTTTGTAACAGAAGGTAAATTTTGCAGTCAGGCTTACATGCTATTTCCTCGTATATGAGACAAGGTCCACAGTGACTCATGACGTTCCAAATTTACTTGAGCGGTGAAACCGACTACATGTACGGTTATTTTTAGATTGTTGGATGGAAAACAAGCGGTGCATGAATGACTCAAAATATATTACATGCCCATCAAAAAGACGCAACTTGGAGAAAAACAATTACCAAGGAGCTTGACAATTCAATTACAAATTCATATGATATGAAAAATGGTTCTCTACTTAATTGAATAATAATGACAACGATGAGTTTATCACCTGCCACGACGCATGAGCGCGCGCGCGCGTGTGTGTGTGTGTGTGGGGGGGGGGGGGAGGTCTTGAAAAAATTGCGGGACTAAAGGTGGTTAATTAAAAAGCCATCCATACACTGTGAACAGTTACACATTTTTATTAGAATAGAAATACAATAAGCGAACTTAATGAATTTTGCAAATGCCTACCTGCATATTTTTGCACGCTAGGTCCTCACGAAGTACATAATTATAATAATTATTTAAAGGGGTCATGACTAAACTTTTTCTTGCACGGGAACATGTTTTGTGCACCTTTCTACGCATCTTAAATGTATGGAAACTGTTTGACATCCTTTTTTTTGACATAATTTTATTCAAAATTGCACTTCATTGAAATATTTGAAAATGTCCATGTTTTTGGGGGCAACTGAGGGCGCTGTTGCTGTGTTGTCATTTCAGGAAGACACTGATCAGTTTAGGAGTTTTCTGTTCAAAAATATGAAACCAAAATTGTGCTTATTGAAAATATTTGTGAGAAACGTTTGCTCATGGCATTTACTGTTACAACAACGAATCACCAAAGAAAAGAGAATTTACGACAGTGCAAACATCCAAAATTCTGGCCACTTTTGTGTGCTGAAATAACTGTAACATTGAGGATTTCTACCTGAAATGACAAATCCAACAAGGCACCAAAATAGTCTTGCAAAAAAAGGCAAAACAAATTTGAAACTAGGTTAAATGTGACAAGCAGGTATATTTTCAAAGATATGTATTTAAAAATACAATTACATTGCACGGGCCCTTTAAAAACACAAATAATTGAATCCATGTACACGAGGGAAGCCACTGGGCAATGTCAAAGTGACGTTGAAATATTTGGCCCACAAATCAATCGGTTTGATCAAAAATTCCCTCCCAAATCCCATCGGTTAACACCTGTCCCTTGATTCGATCAAGAAGTCTGATTTTCAGACTCTAACGGTTCCCTCCTTTCTATATTATCATATAAAGCCCCTAATAATTATTGCATCATTGTCAGTCGGACGTCTGCGGTCCAGAGAAGACCTTTGAATAGTGCTCTCTCCTCCATTCGGTAAAAGATCTTCTGTCTTTGGAGTCGACTCTGTCAGCCATAATCATAATCCATATATCCTGTGCAAAGTACCTCAAGCCGGATGTGATTCATAAGACTCTGAAGGGCGCACTAGGTGCCGTTGAAGAAAGGATGTACAACGGGTTCAACAAAAGTCGGTCTTGCGTCCGGCTTCGGGTTCTCATAATTTTAAGCTGGAGTTTTGGGACGGACATGACGTGTGGTCTATAGCGGTGGAGCACAGGATTCATGATCGTGAGGTTGTGGGTTCAAGCCCCGCCGTGGCCATGCATGTTGTGCCCTTGAGTAAGGCGCTTTACCTCAACCACAGTGTTAAATTGGTACCGGCATTATTCAATGCTGGGAAGGTATAACAGACTCGCTGTGGAGGAGGTGTGGCGACCCCCCCCCCCCCCCCCCCCCCCACAGCAGCATATGAGTCTGGCCCAATCGCTAAAGAAAGAGAGATGGGTAATCCATTCCTGTGAGTGTGAACACATGTTTGTCCTCTTTACCTTTACCTTGGGGACCCCGGATCAGTACAGATCCTTTTTGTTTGCCACGGGAACAACCATTTCTAAATGTGCACCATGTTCATTTGGTTTGGGCATTGGATATGAGTTTAGAACCAGAAATGTGAAGCCGGAGCTGAGATAAAGCGGTAGTTTGGTAAACCCCGTGGTTCTGCTGTAGAGATTATATTTTATCAGTCTACTGCTACTTAACCGGGTCATCGTCCATGTAGACAAATCCAAAGAGGAAGGGTTATGGGATTATACACATCAATTGCGGTGATTTTCATTTGCAAAACAGGCAAAATCCTCTGAAGTGGTATATATATGCACATTTTTGTCATCTTTAGGTTGATGAAAGTGTAAAAGCGCTCGCATGCATATGCGTACGATTGTCAGTGAGGTCTTTATGTTTGGGTCGATGGGTCTACTTTTTTTTTTATCTTAGACAAAAATTGACAATAATGAATACATTCCAATAATCCAATAGTGATACTTAGTACTGACTAGTTTATTTCGGAACTCCAAACGGATTATTCGAATTCTCCTCTCAGTGTAAGAATCATTATTCGAAAATCAGTAAGAAGAAAATTAAGTAAATCAATGCCCTTTAATCAAGCTACAAACCACTGGCCAAGCTGAGGGGGTACAGGACACGCCACCCCTCCCTCCCCCCGCTTAAATCAAAAGTGTGCCCAATCCCCTTGCCAATACCGACATTCAGAATACTGATATTGGTAATGAGACAAAAAGGAACTTTTTATTGTTAAAAACCCCATTGAGTCCCCCCCCCCCCCCACACACACACCCAGACTTGTTTCACATACCTAGTGTGGACTTTCCTTTCTTTTCGTGTAGTTAAGGAACACCAGTGGAAAAACTCATTTTTCTCAAACTGTGAAAACTCTTACAACCCAATTTTTTTTCAATGATTCCCTTTAGTGTTTCTCTTCATTCTGCTACAGATAAACCTAACCCAAAAATGCCTCTAAACCTGTTTTCCAGAAATGAGGAAACACTGTGTGGACGTGGGCAAGTCCACACTTCGTCGCTGCTACCTACATTATGTGGACGTCTTTTGTTCGGAAGTCCACACTGCGTATGTAAGACAAGCTCAACATGGTTTGTTTATGGCGTAAATCGAGGATTTTCTATTGTTCCTCTTCCCTTTTCCTTGTTTATACTCTAACTGTTTTGCAACAGCTCCCATTGGTTTTGTACACGTTTTCTAATCGAGGTCATCCTCGATTTGACTCCTGTCCTCAATTACTCGATGATGCTTCACATGGGTGTCCTCAATTTACACCACGTACATGCGCTGATACACACACCAAATATTTTCCGTCTTAGAAATCCATGGATGTTTTCTGGGAGGATAAAACTTCAATTGAATTTCCTTAATTGATTTCGGTATTTTTTTAAAGATTTTAAAATATATAATTGGGGCGCTAAACATTTCATATTATCTTCTAAGCATCTCCTAAGATTAGCGCCTGGAATACCCGATATACTTTGTTCAATTGTAATTCTTGAAGACAGCAAGGCACAGAGCAAGAACCACGCTCATCATCATAGCAATGCCAGACACGCCTGGAGGAAAAAAACACACAAAATAATCGATAACTCAATAGACTTGTTTTTTTTTTTAACGTATTCATCAGAGTTCTCAGTTAATTTGAACTTGAGTGTGATATGAATTTTGATGACTAGATTTCCTATTATTTTTGTCATGGTGCAATGTAACTGGCTTACTCCATTAAATCCTGAGAGTCATAGTCATTAAAAACGAACCACAACAAAGTATGAACTAAAAACTACAAAATTCGTGTTCTGTTCAACAAATACATGTAGTAAAGTCTTTTATTGTTATTTTCAAGGTGAAATCTGGATGTGTCTGATAATCCACATATAATAATAATTATACGGAATTTGTCGTGTCATAATTGAGTACAGGATAGTATGAAAACGGTGTCCATTAGTGCGTAGGTGTAATTTTACGAATCAACCACTGCATGTACATTTTGTATAGTCAACAAAATTTAATGATCAACCAATCCTCGGTCAAACTTGCTTTAATCCACAAATGATTCTGTTGTGTTTTTTCGCATGACAACTTGTCACGATTGTGCGACTCTCTATCACGCCATCAGAGTTTTAGGGACATTCTGATCACTGAGTGTGTTTTGTATAATCTTTTAACCATTGGTCCAAACCAGCAAGCGATTACGAGTGTATAAGACGCGACTTACTTGCTGAGGTGGGTGCCGCACTACACTCGGCTCCCTCGGTACCACTGAAGGTCAATTCGGTGGACAAAACCCCGGTCCAGTACATTTCCTTCGGACCTTTCACGATCGTAGCCCTTAAAACAGAAAAAAAGAAGCCAAATTGGACCACCTTAGGATTTGAACCCAAATGCCGCCGGGCATAGCCCCGCTGCAGTTAGGCTACATCCAGGATTTTTTCTTTGGGCCGGCTGACCAACATTTTTGACAGCAGTTGAGTTTTTCGGGGGTGGGGGTGGTGGCAACATTACTACAGTTTCTACATCTCTTGCATTCCAACCTACCCCTAAAAAGAAGGCATGGAAGGAGGTGGTAAATTACATTTTTTTTTGTTGCACTATCACGTGTTTCCTCAACATGTCTTCCTGTACATGATGATGAAACACATTAGTGAGTGGGTGTTTCACCCGACGACTTACATGAAAACGAGCGGTCCCTCGTCACAAGGGGGCGCTTTCCAGGTCACCTCTGCAGCAGTTGCCTCCAGTTCGGCTGAGTGAGCCCAAGCACTCTGCGTAGGGTATAAAACATGGTACATAATTCTATAGTCACTGTCTGCAGACAACATGAACTCTTTGAACATTTCGTCATATTTAATGTCTTTTTAAGGGATTTTAGGGATTTTTTTCCCAGGCTAAAATGTGAGGGTTAAAAGGCCAAATAATTATGCATTTTTTTTCATTACCAATAATAACAGTAAAAATACAAAGGATATTGTTCCTATAACCAGACACCCCTTTCCCCCAAAAAACATCATTTAATCGACTGATCGTTGCGAAATCACCTAAATTTTACAGACTGATAAGACCCTGGTACAGACTGAATGACCTTACATTTGCATGGCCGCACTTGAGCAGTTTGGTTTTGGTCGGTGGCTCGGCGAACTCGCCGATTGCCTTGTTCTTGTCTTTACCCTGCCCGCTACGGCGAGCCTGCACGAACAAACCCTCGATCTCAGTGGTCCCATCGATCGCTTCAACGATAACTGCATTAAAAGACACAAAATACGCAATATTACACATAATGTTAGGATCATTTGCACTTGTATTTGTATGAGGATGATTTGCATATATCCCTAATGTAACCTAACGAAAAGCCTACTTAGGCCAAAAATAAAAGTCTCCGCTTTCTGGTATGGAGCTTGCCCAAAAAAGTGGTGCGGCGACGCGGCTTTTTTTTTTTTACCTGATTTTTTTGCCTCAAATGTCGGCTGATGACAGCAAATGGTGCCCGACTAAACTTTAGTGCAAATATATGGGAGTCCAGAGAGGCCACATAAAGCTTAGTCTCGATCATAACCCCATCCAAAAACACGTTAAAATTGTGCAGCAGCAGGATTCCAGTCAAACCAGTGAGATTGGCGGTTTTTAGATATCATCTTTCATTGAAAAAAAAAACGTTTTCATTTTGCCGACGCGCATGGCTACGGCGACGCGCGCGCATACCAGAAACCGGAGACCTTTTTTTTTTGGCCTTAGATTAGAAACGTATTGTAGCTAAGCACCCATACATTATTCATCTATTACTGGCTGTCGCGTCATCGAGAAAAAAAAATAAAGAAATGTGCCTATTCTCAACGATCAGCCAAATAATTGACTGATTTTTTATTTTTGCAATATTAAGATGGCGAGCAAAAGATTGTAGTATTCCACGGTTCTCTCGATAATATCCAGATACTTTCGACCTTGCCCCCGCACTTTCGGGATCAATCTGCCTTGTCATGCTCCACGGCATATTGCGCTGTCCCGTTTCCAAATATGGAAAATGCTTAGTTGTTTGGCCTCGGGTACTGTCCTTTGTCCACAATGGGTAGCTGTATACATGATGGTGTTGTTTTTCTATGGTTCTCATATTATTTGTTTGGCTTCAAGTAGGGTTGGTCGGTCGAGAAAACAACCTGAAGAAAAAAATGTAGTTGCAACCGTTTAGTTAAATTAAATAATGCCACAAAATGCCAAGTGCGTATTTGCTCATTTTTTCCCTCTTTTTTTTTTTTTGGCAATGAGTTATATCACTGAATAACATAATAAAACCATATTTGACAAGATGTAGGCTAGTTGACTTACATTATATCTGCACCAAGCAGATTACGAACATGTAACATTGTGGCTGTAGTGGCAGCCATGACATACCAGTGAAGGAACACTAAAGACACCCAAATTAATATGATGAGAGGCAACATCCTCTCATCTGCTGTGATTTCACTGATTGCTATACGCCGTGCTTTGCTTAAAAATATGGTATTCATTTTCAACAGCTTTTCAATGACACAGAACGTGATTGCCTGAATTTTGTTTTAAAATATTCATTTGCTATTTTTTTAAATTGTTTTAATGGAGTTCCAGACCGGGTCGGCGGTAATAAACGGGTTTTTTTTTCTTGGGTCGGGAGCCCAAAATAGGTCGGTCGGAATTAAGAACCAACTTAAAAAGATTTTTAAAAAAAAGTCCTACTTATAGAGTGAAACAAAGTGACAAGGCAAAGACCGCAAATCGTCACCGACACCACGAAGTATTACCGCTACATCACAAATTTTGGTTCAACGAAGAAACACCCATGCATGCGTTCGCACATCAGACACTTGCGCGAATGAATTTCGTTTTCACGAAGTTACAAGCTGTTACGGAAGTACTATTTGGATAGAAACGTTTTAAAACGTTTGACAGGAATGTCATTAATCCGTATTCTTACAGAATAAAGTTTAAAGCCTTTAAACTGGTGAGATACAGATGAGTGTTACTTCGTGATAACGAAAATGTACCGATTGAGTGCACAGTGTACATGAGTGTTACTTCGTGAAAACGAAAATCACTCGGTTCTGTAAAAATACGCGCGCGTGCCGGATGCCGCCCACTCAAGTCCACTTGGGTGTTGCTTCGCGGTGTCGTTGATGAAATATGACATGAACCGATATCAAGAACGTGAAGAGGTGATGGTATCTTACCCTTGAGAGACTTCCCGGGGGAGTAGGTCGAATTGGCTGAAGTGACCCTGTACGGGGAGGCTCCCGTTGCGTTACGGGGCTGGTGGCCCGTCGGTACCATGTCCCTACACAGATTAGGGAACTGGTCTATGGGCGGACCGGTTTCGAACCCCCAAACTCCACAGATGGTGCAGAGTACCACAAGCAGATATCGCACGGCCATCCTCTTTCCTTCAAAATATTCTCCTCTTTAAAAGTAAAAGTCCTGCAAGACAATCAGCAGATTTCGGTTAATGGTTAAGAGGATCAACATAACTCAAACCAATATTGGGTGTGAAATCTTAAAATCGTGTGTGAAACTTGCAACCAAAGAATCATAGTGATGTTGTTCTGCAACAGAAATCTGTACTGTTTTTTTTTTAATATAGGCCTACAATATCAGATCTGACATTTTCAAAGTGTCTACTTTTATCAAACTAGTAATAAAGAGCCATATCCCTTCTGAGTGATACCAGTTTGCTTCTTCCCCGGGTTTTGCTTGGCATCGTGACCTTGGTCGTGATCCCTGGCTACATGGCAAACATGGCTTCTGACTAGCGCCCCTTCAACATAGATGCTGACAAAAATAGGGAACTGCCTACATAGGGCTGGATAGCTCAGTTGGTGGAGCACCGAAACGGCAATCCGGAGGTCGCAGGGTCAAACCCCGTTTGTCCAACCTTAAAACAAGGTCTACTCTTACCTACCTTACGGGAAAGATGTTTGTCCAGATTCCCAGATCCAAACTGTGTGGGTTCCCGTCTATGTTTGCTGGTTTTTGTTCAATTGAAATCAGTCACTCAGGGCCATGATCAAAATAAGTTCAGTTTACTGTCTTGCGTGCTGGGGAAAAAAAATTAGTAGCTGGTCCCGCAATTTGGAAAATTTTCAAGGAATTCTACCATCCAATTTCCGACATTTCGAGAAACAATCAGGTCTGCTTCAATCGTGCAGCAACAAGAAAGTTAACGAAGAGACAAAAATCTGATCTCATTTTTATTAGAGAACGGTTGGCAGGAGAGAAACTAGAACCTTTTCAAATGGCCCAGAGATGACGGCGCACAAAACACCAACAATATTGAATGGTAAGGCCTTGAAGCAAAAAAAGCACGTCACGTCGTCCACGTAGCTTCATCGCTTCGTTGACTCTCTCACGTCCAAACTTGGTGTCAAGAAAAATATCGGCATACCTGAACTACACGCCCAAACGGTGTTGTCTTTGCTGTACTGTGACAAGTCCAAAAGCTAGGACAAAAGCAGGCAGTTGAATAGGCGTGCCAAACGTTTATGTCAATGGCTTGGGAAATGGTCAAAAGAGAGGTGAAGGTCGCTTGCTCCCCCCCCCCCCCCGCCCCTCCTTCACCCCCATACTAAAGTGTGAGAGAAAAAAGGGTAGACACTTATCTCCAAGAGGTTTTTTTCATGATATGAGTTTGACATGTTACTGACATACTTTCACAGCTGTCATGTTTAATGTATATCATTATTTCTGGCTCGGCAGCAAACGGCCATTTTGCATATATGAAGCTGCAAGCATTAACAATAATATCAGTGTCTTTTGTCTTGAAAGTTTATTTCGTGATATATTTTTGCCAGTGTTTTACCTGCAAGTGTCTTTAAAAAACCAACAAGAACATTTCAACTGTAAAACAGGTTTCAAAAGACAATGATACACATTGTTTTCCTTCCAAATTTGGGACACCGTGCTCATGTATAGTCCAATGGTGCCTGCAATGTCTACAGTGGGCAGAACATTAAGTTTTCGGAGCCTTCTTTAAAGCACCTGTAACTGACTATAACTTTCTCTGAGCACAACCACGCCATTTGCATCAAATCTGGTTTACTGCATGTCATGTTTTATTCCATAAAGGTACGCACCTAATTGAGGAAGTGTCATGACGGTGCAATTCTTAACGAAATCTCGAACAGCAAGCAAAAGTTACTGTGATCTGTATTTTGTAGTTCTCGTTTGCGAACTTATATTTTCTGCCTACCCACCATGAACTTGAGAGGCTCACGCTTAATGGAAGTGAGGTAGTTAGATTTAATTAGAAAAAAAACCAAATAATTAATAGCAGTTAATCGCAGGTGCTTATACTATGGCTTTCCTGAACAAAAAAATGAAGAAAGTGGAAGATTAGATCGCACACACTAAGGCTAAAACTGAAACCAGGAAACGTACACCGGTTTATTCCCACGTACAAGTAGGGCCTAATCGTAAATAAACAGTTACCTGACAGAAAACTTAATATTTACTACCGAAAAAACTTCAATAAAACTGTTTTTGTAACCTTCTATATTATGTCATACGGAGCCATCATTGTTTAGCCGCAAGGCCATGGAATTTGGAGGAAGAATTTTTGTTATATTGATCGTAATCTCCCAAAGTTATTCTTTATTATACACAATGCCTTAATAAATCCCTTTCATCTGATCAGGGCCGTCGATCGCCGCAAAAATAGAAGTTCCATTCCAAGGTTTGATAAAATTTCCATTTCACAGTCACACGGGGATTCCTTCAGGTGTTGTTTTTCATTCAGTGACAAGTGGAATGGAACATTCCATTAATTATGGTTATATGGACAAACTGATTTGTACAAGTCTGTGGCTTTGACCATTGCTTACCACGCGCCATTTCGGGCATGTTCATACACGAGTGAATGTAAGATAGTGTATAAGAATTGCCTCATGGGCAAGTAGACTTCGACGATGTGATATTATTACATTTCGAATACAAGGGCATTTTGATCTATTATACTAGGATATAATAATTATTGTTAGGTTAAAACTAAACGACATATATTTTAACAGAAAAAGTCAAACTTTCAACCCATCACCTAAAGGTTATTTATACCTCCCTGCATAATAGGACTCCCATTATTATGAAGGCAATATGTACATATATACATTCTAAAAAGTCCCGAGTCAGTATGCGCCAGAATCCAGGTCAAATTGACCTGGAACTTTCCAAGGTCAGAATGTCACTTTTTCTGGGCCAAAAATGAAACTTTTGCCAATTAGGTTTGGGGTCGATATGACCCGGAAAACGATCCACAAAAGTGTCATCTGACCTAGAAAAGTGGCATTTGACCCAGAAAAGAGACATTTGACACCGAAAAGTGACATTTAACCCAGAAAAGTAACATTTGACCAAGAAAAGTGACATTTTGACCCTGACCAGTTTATCGGATCAAATGACCCGGATTGGACTTCTCAGAATGTACTTTTTATTAACAGATATCACTCAACATTGCATTAAGTCAAGTTCTTGGTAATATGAACTTTAACATTCTTCGTTGTTAATGTGAAGGGTAATAGGTGCTTGATTTAATTACATATGGAATAGTCTAAAATGCCATGAGAAAATATTATATAATCGTAGGATTTTGGTAAATTCAGATTATTTTACAACAGTGACTAGCAAATTCAAAGTTGAAGACAAAGTTATTCACAAATCCTGTGAACTTTTCCATGGAAGACCTCGATTTCATGAAACACCGATTCACTTCCGCACCACGTATGCCAACAAGACCATCGCAGATAGAAGCATGCCTTGACTTCTAACACCATTCGCTGAAATCAGAGAGAAACAAAACTATGGCCATGATTCAAATAAAAAAAACACAGATTTAGGCCCAAAAAAAAGTCTCCGGTTTCTGGTATGGAGCTTGCCCCAAAAGTGGTGCGGCGACGCGGCTTTTTTTTTTTTACCTGTTTTTTTTTTTTTTTTTTTTTGGCTTCAAATGTCGGCTGATGACTGCAAATGGTGCCCGACTAAACTTAGTGCAAATATATGGGAGTCCAGAGAGGCCACATAAATCTTATTCTCGATCATAACCCCATCTAAAAACACGTTAAAATTGTGCAGCAGCAGAATTCCAGTCAAACCAGTGAGTTTGGCGGTTTTGAAACATCATCTGGTATTGAAAAAAAAACTTTTTCATTTTGCCGACGCACATGGCTACGGCGACGCGCGCGCATACCAGAAACCGGAGACTTTTTTTTTGGCCTTATCAAAGGTGTTTTTTTCTAAACCTTCCCTCCTTTGCTTCTAGTCTTGCCAAAACCCGGATATAGTTGAAACTGTGCCCGAGTTAAGTGCCCAAACTCCCGCAGAACCTCTTTATAAAAAAAAATTGCTTTCATTATTATTTGCCCAATTCAATAATTCCCTATACAAGCACAACAGGAACAAAAGCACGCAAGGTCGTCTGGGGTCACTTGTTCTCAGCAATAGATGATGGTTATATTTGCTGTGTCATCACTTTTACCATTGTATTTGCACGTAGCCCACGTAAAACATATCCAGGTGAATTTACCACGTAAGTCATAACATCAAAAGAGTCAAATACAGTTAGCAACTTTAAATTCGGTTCAATTTCAGTCACGTGACAGTCACGTGACAATTAATTTGCAAAACTGGCGAGAAACATATACGCACCACTTCCAAATGTGATCTCCGCTGACAAGACTTCCGTCCAGTATTCTTCCTTACTTAGGCCAACAACTGTTGCGCTGTAAACAATCATTACATTGAAGAACAAAAATTAGCCAGTGTTTTTGAAGTAGAGAATTTGCTTAATTGTAGCTATCTGTGCGGAGATTGTGAGTTTGACGACTTCAAACATGGGAGGATTATGAACAACCATACAAACATGGGAGGATTATGAACAACCATAGAAACACCAAGGGCACAGGTTTTTGTAAAGATTTTATTGCTGGGTCACGATGATTCAAACGAATTTTCAGGTTTTTTGAAATCTAGGCTTCTTTTGCAGCTTCGGTTTCATCTCTAACTCCACAATCACTCCGAAGCCAGTTCTACACAGAATAAGCTATAAAGACTAATTCCGGATTCGCGAGAGAGGGCAGTATATTAAAATGTGATATGCACACACTGTGTCAATTGTATCTACTCTTTGGGCCTACACACGTATGAAGGGTTGACCTTTTTTTATAATGTCGTCAAGTACTGAAATAAAATAACATTGGGCACCAAGATGAGCAGAACTACTGAGCTCATTTTAATCTCGGTGCCAAGAAGAAATGAACTTGAAGTGAAATGAAATATCAGTGTTTTACTTGAATAAGAGGGGGCCGATGTCAGTGCTTGGACCCATCCATGTCGCTGTGACTCTAGTCTTCTTGTTCCTGTCTGCATGTCCCCAAGCACTCTGAAATATTACAACAAAACCAACATTAGAATTCTAACCTTTTTAAGCTGGTGTTTAAGACATTTTGGTCATTATCTAACAATATGCGGAGTTGGTTTCCATGACAATTTCAAAGGCTGGTGATGCACATGTAGGCCTACACACAAGTCTTGTTGGACGACTTTATCTTAACTTTGGTATAGACAATCACTTGAAGTACAGTATGTTGCTTAAGAACACTGACAGTACGGCGCCCTTGATGGGTTATAAAAGAAACGGACCATTTCTCAAACCATGACCTCGTCTGTTGTTCGGCTTCGTCTCAGGCCGTACCAGGACCATTTTGTAGCATTTATGTGGAAATCAAGTGGAATGACTCCAAATTCTAATAGACTTTGATGTTCTAGTGTATATATAAGAGACAGTTTCGCTGGAATCACCGAAGTTAAGGGGCCTAATAATATGAGACTGGAGCCTTGTGCCGAGGTCCGAACAAATCCATGGTATCAGAAATGATGGCCTTACATTATGCGTTCCGCATTCGATGAACTGCGTTCCATCGGCCGGTTCGGAGATGAAGCTGCCTACAGCGTCATAAGTCGGGCCCCCGACTCGTCGAGCTTGCACGAAGAATCCACGGAATGGCGCGGCTGCGTCCTTAGCGTATACACTCACTGTAAGTAGAAATACAACTCTTCATGAGACAAGGTGAGAGTTAAAGTAGCAAACACCGTGCTCTTAAAACATTATTTTTTCCTGATGAAGATTCAATTTGTATATTTTGTTTTAACGAATAAAAAGCTACTTTATTCCGAATTGGGGCGTCCACAACCACATGGAAAATTGCTTTCATTTTGCGCCGCCCTCAGAGAGCCGATTTATTGTCTGACAGCTAACCATTCTTTGTTTGTTGAAGAAATAATTCAATAACTAAACGTCGGTCATTTTTTTTTCGTTCGACGTTTCTTTCATTCAAAACTGAATAACTTTTATGTTGCTACAAAAATAGCAATTGAAAAAAAATCTATTTTTCGAGGTGAAACTCGAAAATTACGCGGGAACTCATCTTCAACATTGCCTCTGAAAGCCGCCCCCCGCGAAGACAAGTGGGAAGTTGACAAAAGTTTGATATTTATTATCTCATAATCGTGTAATACGTCAAAATGCTGAGAAATAATTCCGCTGAACATGCTGTCTTTTTAAAGGAACATTACAGTCGCAAAAGATAAGAAAGGTGTAACAACTTTGTTTGTTTTAGGTCTGAGCACCTTCCTTTAACCAACTAAAACCCATTCATTGTTTCTACTCTCCGTCCACCACCCGCTCCATACACTTAAGGAGAAAGACATAAGAAACCCATAATTCCCCGATTCATTGGCACAAGAAATAATGCACTGTAAAAAGAAATTCAAAGTAACTTTAAAAAGTATGATATGAAAAGAGTAAGGCTTTGAATCCAGCTGGGGTCAAAGTTTTATTGTTAAAACGATAAGCTAGAAAGCTAACGAAAAAAGGCAAAGTCCGATCGTGCACGGCCGGTGTTGTTTTTGTGGCAACTGTTTTATTGACACACTGATTAATGCACAGATATGCATCATAATTAGCCTTTGTCCCATTCCTATGTAATGCAGTGAGGACGGCTTAACCCTCGTAAATTCCCCCCCCCCCTCGAAAAATAGGGGGGGGGGGTCCTCTGTTGCGTAGTCCAAAACATATCAAAGCAACAAACTCGAAAATAATTTCGTCAAAATAATTGCATGCGTTCGTTCTCTGTCATGTTATACCGATATAAGTCTTTGTCATAAATTCAAACTTCAACTGGAGCAAATAATATGATCAGCAGCAGAATTGGAAAGTTGTACATATATTATTTCATATAAATGTGTTTTCAAAGAACCAAAAGTTCTTCACATACATGAAGAACGACTAGTGGTAACTGGTATATTTTTGTGTGACGTGTGCCGGACAACAATCAGCATTTTCAACAGTAAATGTTGTTAACATAAGAAAACCTGTGTAAAAATGGCGATGATTTTAGATATGGCGATAAGAATGTAGCCTAACCGAAGCTCGATAGAGCTCGCAGCAATCAGGACAATGAACATGTAACAACAACTTCGTTGACAACAATAAATAAAGCAATTCTGATGAGTTTGATGGCAATGGTGTGACGATGGCAACTGTAATTGACAACGACAACAGCGACAATGACATTAGCGACGATGCATGGATGACGGTTAAGGTGATGATGATGATGACGATGACGTTCAATGGCGATGGCAATGATGACCAATTAACACGACAGCCACGAGCTAATGATTTATAGTGACAATGATAATCGATGACGAATTGACAGACGTTTATGACGCTTTCGACAATGACGTTACGGTGGCAAAGCCAGCAAATGACAGCAGCATTAACATGGCGACATTCACGATGACGATGGCCGTGGTCACTTACCATCAATCGACTTCGCCTTCTCGTACTTATCAGCATTCAAACTGATGGCAAACGGCACTTTTCCCGATGCGGTGGTTGCTCCGTGTCCTGGCAACATGGTTTCACACAGTTGTGGATTTGCCCCTGTTGGTGGTCCGTCGGGGTTAGCCAATGCCACCGCCACAACCATCACCAACAACCATACTGACTTATACATGGTGAAGCTGTAAGCGTGAGTTCCTAAGGTAAAAATCAACCAAGGATCACATGTGAACAAAAAATAACGGACTATGGATTATACTTCTGATGATTATTTAATCGTTATTGCGGTTGCATTAGATTTTGGAACCAAAACGCTATACGGAAAATAAAGAACAGGGGACATAACACACCTGTCACAAATCAGTTTCAATTTATACTTACATAGACTCATTGCATAACGCAGCCATCGTGCTGTTTCATGCAGATGTCGTTTTGTTATTTGAATTCATTAACAATGATTGTACAAGCGGTCTAAAACATCCCTGTTAAACAAAAGCGCACACCTCAAATGTGGCTGCCGTACAGACAACTTAAATGCAAACATGGAACATATACGATGCTGTAATTTTTTTTTTACAGGTTTACAGACTTACGTTTCGGCTGAGAAAAATCCTAAATGATTTGAAGAAAAACCAGAACTACCACAGAGCAACGGGTTATATGTTCCTTGATGTCCTGTGTTTTGGCAGTGCACTTGTATCGAACTGTGGTAATAGCGTTACAAGTGGTTAAATTGGTGTGGACTATTCGAGTGCAAAGTCCACGGATAGCATAACGCACACCCATAATGAATGGCCATATCGTCATGGAGAGATAAGATAAAATATTCTGGACAAATTATGATAAAAGGGAGTGGAAAAGTACCGTAGTGCGTATAAGTCGTGGCCGCATTATGCAAAGGTGTGTAAAAGAAAGTTGACCCCCCCCCCAATAAAAGTGTTTTAGTTTAAACATTAAGACAAGATAATCTGTCATCGACCACTATACGGGCCGATTTGTTTGATCGCATAAAATTGATTTTTAATTATAATCTTATTTCAATTTAAGTATTGAAAACAAAGAAAGGAGTGGTCTTTTCTTTGATACGTGAGCAGTGCGCATTCATTTCTTTCTTTCTTTTATATTTTTTTCAGATTTTGGGGTATTTTTTACTGACAGCATTTGAAGATTTGCGTTGCAACGTTTTTCATCTGCCGAGTCACTTGGAAAGTTCAACTGTTTGACATATGGGGGCGCTCTTCACTATTACCGTGAAGACATTAATACCGTTGGGGTGCACACCGGTAATTAGGCTGAAACCCATCCGCCGAGGTAATGAATAAAAGTTATACCCTCAAAATTTTCTATATAAGAGAGTTCTGAGAGCCATAAAAGTGGGGAATTGAAGAGATATGGTAATGAACCTCTGGCCCGGACTTGGGGCTTCCAATTCTGAGCATTTTGGATGAAATTGGGCTCGAAAGTGGCGCTTTTTTGCCATGTTTTTGAAGATCGCTACTTTTCCGCTTTGGGGAAAATAGGGGTCGTCTTCTTTGGGTGAGAAAATATCGAAAAGTCAATGGTCAACCCACCAAAAAAAAATGAAAAGAAAATGAAAGATGACATGTTGATCCTTATTTTTTCTGTGCAGCTTGAATACCTGTGAGAGTTCTGAGTATTTTTAAAAGAATTTGGGAAGTATGGGCACTTCGCACTAGTGTCTATGGGAATTTTATTGCAGGGTTGCACCCCTTAGGGATTCAGCTATGAAGTGTGCACATTATTGGCCATAAAGCGCAATTCCATTGCCATCAGGGTTTTTTTACTTCGAGATTTATGCTAGGAATTTTTCACAGCTGCACGCATGGGCTTTTGGCCTATCGAAAATCACAAGACATAATGGTTAGATTTAATGCAACAATATTGTGTGTGCTGAAAAAAAGGTCTAAAGCATTTACGCCTTAATAGGGGGCGCTGTTTATCTATAAACTAATTACTGTAGTATGTATCGTTTATAAAATCGCGTTATGTATATTGATAACAATAAGGTGAAGAGGCTGATGGATTGAAATGAAGCAATGTCCTTTTAAATAAGTTGCCCTCTTTGTGCATTTTGAGTTTCACCGCTAAAAAAAAAATACAAAAGTAGTTTGAACGGAAACATCGCACGAAAAATTTCCGCCATCGTGTATTTATGGAATAATAGTTGTTTCAGAAATTCGAAATTTATGCATTCCAACAATAAATCAGCAAAGGCGGATGGGGGGGGGGGGCAACGGAGCCATGGTCCCCCCAAAAAACTAACCCATTTTTGTTTTGTTTTAAGTGACGTCGCAAAAAAGGAGGCAATGCATATACCACCATCTTTTCCTCAAAATAAAGTTGTCAGAAATTGCCTCAGATCGCACCCCATAGCATCTAGAATCCCAAAACAATTCGGGGCCCTTTAGCGGGCCCCAAACCCCATGTCGTAATATTTGGGACCACTTTTTGGGGGACCAACATTTTTTTTGGCCGCCCCCCCCCCAAAAAAAATTGTGTTCTGGATCCGCCCTTGTAAATCAGGCGGATTGTATTTATGCGTTAAGGGCTCAAAGCCTATCCCAAATTAACGCCCTTTTCAGAGGGCTATTGACGCCAAAAAAGTCACGATAAAACATAACAATTGAAATTTCGTTAGGAGAAAAATTCAACTTGGAGCTCGGGGAGATCATATCTTTAATGCCATGTAGGATCATTTTCAAGTACCTGGAAAAGTACCTTCTATTTTCACGACAGAAATCTTGCTCAAACTGAAGTTAGGATTTGGATAAAATGCTTTTTGAAATAATTCCGCCTTAAATATCGTTTGGAGGACAATCATTAAAATGTGGTTCAAAATAGGTTGCCAGCGGACACACTTTTTACTTGCATTTAGCAACAGAATCTATACGAGACACAATGAATCGTGTTTTCTCTTTTTTCAATTATAAAGCCACTCAGTGAGCTAAAACAATAACAGATCAGTTGTAATTGTGTACGCTCCCTTAATTTTATTAAGCCTTTTTGTTGCTTATGAGCAATATGATCTTACCTTTAGTTATTGATTGATGGTGTAATTATAAAGAAATAGGCACGAATATACTGTGCGAGTTCCGCACGGTCTAGTGACTTTGAAGTCGACCGTGCATTTCCCTGGGGCCAACCGTATTATTTACGCCTCGACCCCGACAAAGTGGCATGGGGGAAGGCCAACTCCCTCCTCACGCACCAATCAACTTGGATAAAGGGTTTAATGTTCATAATAAGGTGACGTCACGACCAGACAATATCAGAAGAAAGAGAGTCGTGTGTAGTGTGTAGTATTAACATACTCGACCTTGATCACATTCATTGTGCGCTTTATTGTCGTTGGCCTGTTTTACAAAGAGGTCGTGAATTCTGCACGCGCTACAGCTGTCAGTGGTAGACTGTCTGGGAGATTGATCAGATTTGTGGAGTGCTTGTGGTGCCTTCGGTCATGCACATCAGAGGCTGAATAGTGTTTATAGTTAGCCCAATAGTACCCAGCAAGATCCAGCATTATTTCACTCTGAAGGAGTCTTGAGCTCTTAGGCCGAGCTCACACTGCCCCCGGATCAACATGGCTGCCGGCTTCAAGATTTTCACTTTAGGAGCGTTTCTGCTGCATCTGTTCTTCCTGGGATGTGCTCAAGGTAAGAAGTGCATCGCAGGCAAAACAAAATCTTCATCATGTTCAAATTCAACTGATATGCCATACCTGGGCCTAGGGCGTGTCCATTCCCATTACTTCGTCCGAGTCAAAAAAATTCATCATGTCAGCGCCGTAACGTCGTTTCTCAGTTTTGACAATTTGAGAATAACGCACATAGAGGTTCGCGTCCTGCTCTGTTAAGTCAGTGAAGTATAATCAAGACAAAAAAAAAGAAGTGTAGGCATGAAGGCCTATTCAAAACCATTTTCAGATACTTGTTTTTTTTTAAATGAGATGAACATACAGCGATCATCTCTGAGCAATAATGCAAGTGGAGTTATTTTTTGAGGGGTGGGGAGGGAAGTATCAAGCAAAAATAATATCGCTATAATTAAATTCAAATGTCTTGACAACAATATAGCTCTAAACAAGCCTCAGGGTTTTCTGCTGAAACTGCCCCATCTGCATATTGTTTGTATTTTCCCACGTACTTTATTTCTTTTATTACAAAAAAGGGTGTGTTTCCTTCACATTTTTATTCCTTTAATTTTCCATTGTGCAATAACCCAAAACGCACGAATAAATTGAGACACCGACGCACTAGTACACAACAATGGAGAAATAATTTGTTACTAGTACATAATTATGAATTTTGAAATGATTTTGTAAAACGCGACGTGTTTAATGAAGGACGACATAGTGTGACACATCGAGAGGCCTCACGTGATGAATGTCCGTGCATTATGTTAATCGATAGGCCTACATATACAGTGCCATCTGTCACTAGGAATTCAAAATAAGGCTAGATCGTAAAATGAGCCTATATTCTCTGACCTCAGCAACCTAATACTTTTTATTACCTAATTAAAGAATATTATGGATCATTAATTACTTTCGCTTACAAATTCCAGAATAACCGTTGGCACTGAAATTAAGCAAGAAATTGTGAGTTTTCTTCCCAATGTTCAGGATAGGCTACATGCAAGGCGGAGAGAAATAATCATGAAATTTATATATTTTCAAAATTGTCACTAATCCTTTGGGATGATGTTTGGAACGGACATTTTAGGAGTCTTTTTCTGTGTTCTTTTTTTTCCCCTTTCAGTTAATAGGCTTTTTAGAGGTATTTAAATTAAAAGAAAAACATATGAGGGTATTTAGTGTCCATGGAGCTCCAGGTCAATTGCAATTAAGCCATATAAAAAAAATAGCATGCCGGGTTTTTTCACAACCAAGACCGTGAGAATCGCATCCAGTTAGCCGTGTACTTCTTTCATCACGACACGTCTGAAGCTCAAAACTCTATAACACAAATACTATTCTGTTCACCTTTTCACGACTCCGTTATAAAATGAACAATACAAAATACCTGCCACTTTACAGCCGGTTTTTCTAAGCCTCAAGGCAAACCCGCGTTATTCTTAAGCTAATAGTGACAAGTCGAAGTTGGTTCTCAGCAAGGTACGAAGAAAAATAGGTGTGGAGGTTTCTTTTATGCTGCACTTGTGAGGCATTATTAATGAGGATTAGGTTGGAGGGCAATTTCAATTTTATCGAGGTATAGTCCTTGGGTGAGTCATTGAGCCCGCAGTGACGTACCCAGACACGTTTTGTTGTGAAGAGACAATAGTTTTTCTCTAGGGTTTTTCTCAGTATCTACGGAATATCATATGCCATTCTTTCGTGATTAATGATGTGTGAGAAGAAATAGGTACTGGTACTGGCTAATGTGCAGGCGTACACCCGATGAAAAGTATATTAAACATGCACATGCAACAAGAGAGTTTGGCTCTGCTCGATGCACTGATCTCCGTGTAGACAAGTGTGAGTGTTCAATTAAAGCTCTGGTCGTCTTGCATGCAAGTCAGAGCTTTTAAAAAAATGCGACGCCCCAAAATGCGACGCCGATGGCACATATGGAATACCATACTTTAGTTTTATATCGATTTGTGATACCTCGTGACTATAGCATTACTGCACATATTTTGTCTCCATCGACTAATTTTTCATAAACTTGTGTTCCGAATTGTTGACAATTTTTAGTAAATATTAAATTTGTTTTGTTTGTTTTTTTGGAAAAATAAATAAATTGGTAGTTAATTGTCATGGGAAACTTACATGCTTGTTTTGGTCAAGTTTCGGGGACAGAGATATGCAAAATAAACGCGCATGCGCATCGATTGAAACGAAAATCTGTGTTCCGAAAACTGTGAGCAAGAGTGTATTTTATGACGAGGACATGGCATTTGGTCAATTATTTTTGGTCGACTTTTCTTGGTCAGTTATTTTTGGTAAATCATTTTTGGTCAATTTTCTGTGACAGACAGACAGACGAACGTACCAACCGACCGACCACAACGTGATATGCAGAAGCTTCCGCCAGAGCCTATTCAGCCTAAAATGTAAATGTAAATTAAATGTTCTTGTTGGAGTAGTATATGGTGGACGATGCATGACTTCACTTCTAACTAGTAAAAGCTAATGGGCCATCCAGATTTTTATATGGCATATGGATTGTTATATGTGATTCGAGCTGGGTCATTTTGGGATACAAACAGACGTTTATTTAGAGCATATGAAATACAAGTTTATTATGTTTCAAGTCAAAAATTACATTTTATTATCTTTAATTTCTAAGTCAGGTTATGTTTCACTGCTTCAATAGATGGGATTTCTACTAGTGTTTGTAGTTTGTACCCACAAAATGGCGTCTTTACAGCGCCCTCATCGCTCAAAAATATGGCCAATTGCTCAGCAAATGTATGTGCTAACCAAAAGTCAGCTAGGACCAGTCACACGACGTACACAGTGCATGGAAATTTGGCGGGTAATGAGCGGTTTTTGCTAAGACAAATATTTTCTGTGCATAGCAAAATTGTCACGCTCGAGCAGCTCCGTAAATACGCTCTCTGTTGGCCCATGGAGGAATAAGAACATTGTGTTCTTATTCCTCCATGGTTGGCCTCTCCTTTCAAGGTACGTTGGCCCGGCCTCCAAAATTGAAGTAACAAGTTTGTGCCTAATTTCTTGTCAAATTCTCACTGAACCGTTGCGTGCAGCCGGCACCCTGCGGTTCATACAAGCCGAAAGGAGGACAAGTGTTAGGTTAATCGTTCAAGGTCTCTCCTTCAGCATGAACTTTTGCACGGACCTTGTATTTAATCGGCTGTAGCACTGAGCTGTTACGAGGATTGCCGAATCCTCTCAGCAGTACTGATGCCCTTGGCTTCTGGCCAATCTGAAATTTGTCAGTTGTGAGACCGAAACTTCAAATTGGAAAGTGTTACTTGCATCTACCCTTAATCTTAAAATTAACAAAGTCGATTTAAGTCTACAGTAATTTCAAGGCAATTATTTAAATTAAACACTGTGACGTAATTTTGAGAATTACTGCTTCCTTTGAGAGAGCCATTCTTCAGCAATTTTTGTAGTATTATTTGCTAATTGTTGTATTCTTTTTGATTTCTACTTGTGCATATTCTGATCTATGTTCTTCCTTGGGTTTTTAATGCGTCCCATCCAAGGTTAAAGTTTTCCGTCAATGTTCAAACTTTTAACGTGTAAATTGACTTCAAGTTGGTTTCACATTAAAAAAACATTACCTTTATAAACTTTCTTGTTGCAGATTTCTAGGAAAATCATTAAATATTCAAATAATATGAATATTCAATAAGACATAAATATTCATGTAATAGCTAGACCGTTGAATTTTTTTTTTATTCCCAGATCCATCACTATCTCAGCACTCCGACTCTTCACTACCAGGTGAGTATTAAATACGTTATTTTCTTGAAGCTTTACTTTAAAGAGAAGCACACGTGTTGTAACAAAGTGCGCAGCGTGCGGGTCCTATAGTGGATCGATGTATTGATATGAACATGGAAGGGACTAAGGTCTATGTACATGGGAAACAGATTCAGAGAGGAGCGATTCAGAGGACACATGGACGTGAGGAACGGTTCAGAGGACACATTCACAATTTTAAAAGTTCGATTTTTCAGAACTGAAATTTGCGACGTGTTCTATGTCAGATATTGGCACAAAGGCGAACAGGGAAAGGAAAAACATAGCTTCGAAGGAAGGCAGTCAAATGTTTGTGTTGGTTTTTATATTTCGCTATTTTGTCATTCCAACAATATAGACGCCAGAATGCGTCCGTTTCGGCTCTAAAATGCGTTTATCACGAAATGATAAAAGTAAGAAGGATCTTTACCAGTGGCGTAGCCACGGGAGGGGGGGGGGGCATGGGGGGGGGGGGGGGGGCGACAGCCCCCCATGAAAACCTTGTCGCCTCCCCCCCCCCCCCGTCACCCCCCCCCCCCACTGAGATTTTTAGTTTAAAAAAAAAATCATCATTGAAATGTTCCAGCCCCCCCCCCCCCCCCCCCCCCCACTGAAATATTCCTGGCTACGCCACTGATCTTTACATACAGTAATACACACGATGGTCCTTTGATTGGTTCTCAGATGGCACTGTGCGTCTAGCGGACGGGTTCCAGCCCTATCAGGGGCGGGTCGAGATCTACCACGAGGGCGTCTGGGGGACGATTTGTGACGCGGACTGGGGTACCAGTAACGCCCTGGTCCTGTGTCGTCAGCTGGGCTACGGTGGGGTCAGCAGCTCTGGGCTCGACAGCTTCGGTGAAGGCACCGGGCCGATCTACCTGGAGGGATTGAACTGTGGCGGGCACGAGGACGGGCTGGCGGACTGCCCCAAGACGGCATGGGCGGGGCCTGCTTCCTGTGACCACGCCCAGGACGTGGGCGTGACGTGCAGCGTAGGAGGGGACCTAGCTACACCCGCCCCGTCGGAAACTAAAGGTGTGCTCGTCATCTTGACGTGACCTGTTGCGAATTTCGAAAATTTTATCTTATATAGTGGCACTTTTTAACGGAAGGTGCACTAAATACCATTCACTTATCTTATAAAAAAAGGTATGTTTAACTAAAGGGGAATAAAAACGTGTAAAATATCTTTGTATAGAACCATATCACCTACAAACGTCAGCTTTCTCCTGTTGTCCACCATTTCTCACCTTTAGTTGGAAATAGTTCGTCATTACACTTATATTCATGTTGACAAATAGAAATAAATAAGTTGAATCCGCAGAGTAAAGGCAGAGATGTTACCAAGTTATCTGAGTGAAATTGCAATAATGGGGTTCCCGAATAACGGTGTTATAAAAAGCTATTCTTTTCTGTTTCTTTTCGTGTGTTTACAAAAAAAATTTAAGTACCTTGTATTGATCACATTTCAATATACGCAGTAGCTGTGTCGTGTTTTTTGTCCACTGGTTAATCTCGCGATCACTTCTTTAAAAAAATGCTTTTGGCTTTCTCATCATAAAAAGTTTTCATTCATATTTAGATGGTTCACTTCGTCTTGTCGGTGGTACCCATCTGCACAACGGTCGAGTGGAGATCTACTACCAAGGAGTCTGGGGAACCATCTGCCGTGACGAGACGGACGTGCAGGCACCGGACGTAGTCTGCAAGCAGCTTGGCTACGAGTCTGCAGACCCGCCCGCTGCTGTGCCTCCTGGGGGGTACGGACTGGGGTCAGGGGTCATCCACCTGGGTCACGTGATATGCGAGGGGAACGAGGCCAAGCTGGCGTTCTGCGCCCACGACAAGTGGGGAGAGAATGACTGTACGCATGCTGATGACGTCATGATTAGCTGCAAGACATACACTCCACCTGAAAGTATGATGTAAACATAGCGACACTTCATTGAAACCTCAAAATAATTTCAACTTGACAGTTAAATATCTCATCACATTTACCGACAGTTTCTTGTTTTTACTTTCTACAAGTCGATAGCTCTGGCTGAAATTGTGTATTAACCTTTTTTGCAAAACCACCCCTGCTCCCAACGCCAGTGATACAATTTGGAGAGGTTGTCGGATATACCACGTGAACTGACAAAAGTTAAAACGATGTAATACCTCTGTTTCGCCTTGGGATTGCTCTTTTCCTTTAGGGTATTTATTGACCGATATAAGCCTCCAGTTAGGCAGTCAGTTTCTTTTGATTTAGTGTCTTCGAATTTGTAAATGGAACTCGCCCTTTACGAGGCTTAGAGTCGATCACTCCGCTTTGGCTACAAATTTAGAGCAGGTATCACGCCTCAGTTGTGTGGTAGAGGTAGGTGCTATCTCAAAGCATCCACTATGGACTCATAACAGATCGTTTTGAATAAGGAACCATGTACCACTTAGCCAAGGAAGGGGAGATGAGCACATCAGATGTTGTAACTATTCCTCTAAACTAACAAACTTCTCAGTCCCAATTTGTACGGTACGAGCATCATGATCATGTAGAGCATGAAATCACATTCAAATCACCACACCTATCGTGTTATCACCGTTTACAGATGGCGACCTCCGTCTGGTGGCAGGGGGCGACTCCGCCCAAGGCCAAGTCGAGATCAACTACCAGGGAGTCTGGGGCACCGTGTGCGACACCGACTGGACCATCAAGGATGCCACGGTAGTCTGCAGACAGCTAGGCTTCAATCCAGCCCGGGCCTCCCTCTCCTACTCCTACTTCCTAGACGAGGACTCCATCAATCCTATCTTCTTCGATAACGTGGAGTGCGAGGGTTCGGAGGCTAAGCTGGAGGATTGCGTTCACTCCTGGAGGGGTGGGGCTTGCCAACACTTCGAGGATGTTGGGGTTATCTGTGGAGCTCCTTTTGTGTTCAAGCCAGTCACTACGGAAGGTTAGTGGAATGTTTTCCCTCATTTACCAGTCGTCCTATCCACGGACGATGGAACGGCTCTGTGAGCTCTTGTTTGGTACAATTTGTTTTGACGATGACCACGGGTCAACACTTCCACCTTCATTGATCCCACAATGTTTTGCGTTTCCTTCGCCAAATTTTGTTGAAGAGATTTTTCATCACAAGCACCTCTGCATGGGGCGGAGCTAGGGAATGAATGAAGTCTTAAACACAGCAGCCAATTAAGATCGTTCATTAACTTTCTATTTCAAATCTTATTCTGTAAGTTTTTTACTTTTACTCCACTTTGCTCCGTAAAGTTTTTTTTATTGAAATAACAACCAAGAATTAAGGATGCATCTGTTTTGGTTTTTTGTTCATAGTTTTTAATTTTGTAAAATCAAAATTTAGCTGCAAACATTATTTTCACCCTATTCCATGACCCATTTCAACATATGCTATAGTATCAAATTATTCAATATGCGAAAAGAAATGACCGAGTATGGTATAATCGTTCGTTCTTTCTTGCCGTTTGGACAGATAGGTCCTATTGCTAATTTTCAGAGGACCTTGATATTATATTTTCTTTCTTTATTTATATTTTCATTACTTAATATATTCAGTAATTAGTACAGTCAATTACTAACATTTTTACTCATTCTTTTTATCACAGACGGTCGAGTCCGCCTTATTGGTGGCACCTACCCTCATAATGGGCGTGTCGAAATCAAATACCAGGGGGAGTGGGGAACCGTGTGCGACCAAGGATGGAACATGGATGCGGCAAACGTGGTGTGCCGTCAGCTGAGCTACCCCTCAGCGGATAGCACCCTCCCGAGGGCGTTCTTCGGTGAAGGGTCAGGGGTCATTCATTTAGATCAGGTCACGTGCGAGGGCAGGGAGTCCGAGTTGGCGTTCTGCAATCACGCCAGGTGGGGCGAGAATCAGTGCGAGCATAGGCAGGACGCCAGCGTGGTGTGCACTGCGCCGCTGCCGGAAGGAGTGATGTCAGGTGAGGTGCTTGTCTTTTCATCTGATTGTCTGTTTGTTTTTTTGTCTAGCCTGTTTCACAAGTAGGAAGGCTTCTCTTGCCTCAGTTTATTCTGTGCTTTCTGCTCCAATGTAAGTCGAGATCATCACAAGTCTATCACAAGTTCGGTTGGCTACAAGTAAAACACGAGACAATTATTCATAAATGAGTCTTCCAGACAATTTCTCATTTCTTATTTTGTTTTACATACAGCGGGAAGCGTATAGGTTGCTCTTCATTTTGATATACATGTATCACTCAGTTTGAGAACTTGATATATGCAGATATTAAGAATGAAGAGGTACACTTCTCCTTCAATTGATTTCCATTGTGAAAGATTCTGGTCAAAAAGAAGGAAGTTCTTGGATTTGCCATTCATTTTGTTCAATTGGGTAATATATCACTGCTACTTTGAAATCATGCTCTCTCCATTGTAGATGGCTCCCTTCGGTTAGTTGGCGGCGAAGCAGCCAATCCGGCTGGCCGACTACAGGTGGTTTACCAAGGAGTTTGGGGCACAGTCTGCGGTGCCAACTGGCTCGACATCAACAGCGATGTAGCCTGCAAACAGCTTGGCTACAGGTCCGCCCACCCTGCCAGACCCGCCTACGATGATCCCGATCATGGCTCCTCTTCACCCATTATGCTTAGTGAGGTCAGCTGCTCTGGGGACGAGGAGCGTTTGGTAGACTGCTCCCACGACGGTTGGGCCGTGAGTGACTGCACTCACGACGGGGATGTTGGGATAACTTGCATGGATACCAGACCTACAACCCCGGGCCCAGAAACTACAAGTAGGCCTGTTGATGTCATTACTACAGTCAAACCCGCTATCGCAAGTCCTACTTTTGGCAAATCAACCGTGACTGCCCCATCTTCCCCACCAACTCCTTGTAAGTATGTTAATCAAGTTTTCTTTCTGCCTCTTTTCTACAACTTAAAGTTTGTATAGGCGTGTACAACTTAATTTCAAGACATCTATCCTTAAAGTGGAAGGATAGACTTAAGAGATTCCGATAAGACTGAAACTATCTTATTTTCAACCTTTTTATTAATCACGTGTAGAAAATACCACAACTGACATAGGCGTCGCCAGGATTTTTTCTAGAGGGGGGGGCACATTTTTTTTGCCAAAAAGATGCTTGTATTTCTCAACACATTCTCGATTTATCAGTTTTAGAGGGGGGCAGGGACATTTTGCCCCCCTCCCCCAGCTCACTAAATTTACACCACTTTGTCTTGGCGCCTCTTTTTTTTTTTTTTTTTGCTTTTTGCTTTTCCGGGGGGGGAAGGAAGTGCCCCCCTTGCCCCGCCCCCCCCCCCCCCCCCCCCCCTCGCGACGCCCATGACAACTGATTTGTCAATTTCATTTAAAAACAAAAGCGATATAGGGGATTTGGAAGAGCCAGACATTTGAAAAAAAAAACTTAACCCTGCATTTTTTTAATTTGGCGTCATTCCCGTTACCCATCAATTATTCTGTTATCGAAAAGAAGCATAAAGCAGACTTTACTCTCTTGAATTTAGCTGGAAATAAATCTGCTACCGGTGGAGACAATAAAGATGGGTTGGCCGGAGGACTTGGAGGCATTGGGGGACTGCCTTCTCCGACTTCCGGTCCCGTTGGAACGAATCCTAGGCCTATAAAAGGTAACTATTATTTCCAGCTCTTACCTTATAAAAAAGACGACTTGTGATGAGCCTAAGTTGAACCTTTTTGCCTAGCATTATGGTGGTTGGTGCATTCGCATTGCATACAAGTCTCGGTTCTGTTTTATCATTTTTGCCAGACGTCTTTCCACCGATATGGGTCATCGTTGTCCTCGTTCTCATGGTTCCCGCCATCATCATTATATTTGTCATTGGGATCTGCGTAAAGAAGAGACATCGCACATCGTACAAGCCTGTCGACCACGGTGCAATGCCCATGCCGGAGCGTGTTTAGTCTTACTTCGAGGCGCGCTTCTGTCTGGTGACAATAATGGTACTTTGCTTTAAATTAGTAGCTTGAGCCAGACATTTTGGTGCTGGGTAATTGTGCTCGCCTGCATCTGCGCTGCACGCCATAGATAGCTATGTAGATGGGCATTCCATTCTTTGTTTTATGGGCTTTCAAAGATAAAATCAAAATAAAACGTATTGGGACACGTCTAAACTGAAATATAATTACATGTATGCTTTGGCTTTTATCAGATCAGTTGTACAGTACTTCTATCAGATTAAATGTTTCCGCCTGTGCATCCCGTAAAAGCTGTGTCGGTGGCAAAGTTTGATTTCTTATTCTATTTATCGTGGTAAAATACATTTTTGGTAGGTTTTTGTCTTTAAAAATCTAGAGATACTTTGTTAGTGAACATATCTTAAGCGGTTATAACATTAATGTTATTAGTTTGTTGCTAGTAATAATTTGGAGTATTTTTTTCTGCATGGTCATCATCACTCTCAAATAACTCAAGAAACATACTCAACTTTTAATAGCACAAAATGCATAGTGTTATTTCAGTGTATTTCAGCAATTTTAAAACAACATGCACGCTATATATATTCTTATCATTACATAACACCGTATCTAAAACTGTAAAAAACTTTAAGAAAATAAAAAAAGTTAGCCTTGGATTATAAAATTATGCCTTTGTACCCTCCTCATCCGATATGCTCGACCAAAGCCGTGCATGTATAATAAAACATTTCATGCCCTAGGTTTTTAAAGAGAGAGAGCGCGTCGTAGAATTTATTCTACAGTGTGTGCCACAACAAGTGCAACATTCAGAAAACAAATTGTTAAAACTGTTTAATTTCGGGATTTTTTTCAAAGAAATGATACATTGCATTAAAGCCTGACTAATTCTCAATCCACTCCTTTTTACCCCATTCCATTTGGGTCCCTAGATCAAGGAATACAATCAATCAAGTGAAAGGGTGTAATTTTTACTTGGGTCACTTTCACCTGTGATGTCACCAACTTCAATGCCTATTCAATGCTTAACCCAGATTCAGCATGTCGAGATGAGAGTGGCCCAAGTACAATTTTACACACTATCACTTAATTTGATTGTATTTCTGGATCTAGGGACCCCAATGGAAAAAGGATTTAAGGTGTCAATTTTGTAACAAAAAAAAATAATAAACAGTTATAATTATTTGTTTTCTGAATGTTGCACTTTTGTTGGCACACTTTGTATAATGAATTTTGAACATAAAGTGGAACCATAACAAGAGGTATAATAATAATATAGTTTTATTTCATATAGTTTTATTCTTATTAAGGGCCCTGATTAAAAGTAAAATCAGTTATTGAATGAAACCAATAAAAACATTAAACAAAACTAAAATTCTTAAATAATAAAATGAAAATATTAAAAGAGTTTTTAAAATGTATATAATGATAAAAAATCAAAATTTCCGTTAGTAAATAAAAATACTAATAAAAAAAACCACACAAACAAAACAAACAAACACCCCAAAAAGCACAATGAAGTTAAGAAATAAGAGCAAGAAAAAAATATAAATATTTAAAAACAGCAACCACAAAATACATTAAAATATATATAATTAACAAATAGCCCAATTTCTGAACAAAGGGATGAATATTAAAACAAAAAAATGTATAATTAGATGAAGTAAACAAGCAAGATACAAAACCAACCGAAAACGATCAGGCATGCATGGAAAATATCAAAAACAGGACAGAGGATGATTTCTAAATGAATGAATAAGAACTGAAACAGTTAAAGACATTAATCAAACAAACTAAACTAAAATGACACTAAAAAAATAATTGAAAATCATGCATAAAAATGTGTTATTAAAAGGACATGTAAGAATAAAAATATAAACAAATAAAACCAACAAACCTGACTGAAATTAAAATTGCAAACAATAATTCAATAAAAGAGAGATAACAATGACACAGTTTTAAGGTTTAAAGTATAAGAGAACTTTCGAACTTGGATAGGGACTCGGCCTGTCTCTGTGAGGTTTGTAACTTGTTCCATCCCAAGGTCCCTATATATTTGAAAGTGCGTTTACCTGCATTGGCTAATAAGAACAGAGGACACGGATTCCTGTGTAACCTATTTATCTACAAAACATGTATAATGTGAAAGAGTGTAATTACCACAACATTTTTGTTAAAAATTAATTCATTTTAAACACTTTTTAAATCTTTTCGGTAAGCCACTCTGTTTATGTGATTAAATGATGTATATATGAACTTCAGTATTTGTTTTCCGGAGTAATGGCAATTAAGCAATAAGCAAAAGCAAGCATTGTTATTTTTTCATGTCCGAGTATTTGTTCCTTGATGCAACTTTTCGCAATAAAAAGCTTGAATAATCAATAATCAAATGTCTATAGTTGCTCTCTTGGAAATTGACGCCTCTTTGGGTCATTATACGCACCATTCATCAGCGTCTTCCCAAAAGAGTAAGGCACATTCTTGAATAACACGGTTTTGTCCAGATGATATCACAAGAGGGCGGTATACACATTCACCATTAATCACAGTCACGCCACCATCGCCCAGAACACGGCAAAAGTCAAGAGGAAGATGCTGCTTGAAACTGCAGATTTGCTCGAGGGAGTGCTTTCGACCCCTGGAGCTACATTAAAAAAATATTGTGATGATATCTTTCTCAGAATATTAAGTGTTCGGCGGACCAATAAGAGTCTTACAGCGGGTCGCTATAATTACTATGTTTTTATGATATTGAAACACTTTTAGTTTGGTTTTTCTTCAAAGCTTTGTTTTCAGGGGTCATCAGCATATGTAATAAGGAGGACGCCCTCTGGAGGGCCCTATTGCCCGTGTCATGTCACATACTTTTGCCAAAGACGGATGTGATAAGTTACTGGCACCCAGTAATAATTCAAGCAACGTTTTGAACTCTGGACGCACATTTTGTCGTAGATTATTAGCTGGTCAATAATATCAAAATTTGAAGTTTCGTACATCAATCTAGCTATCTCCTGTTAACAAGCAAATTGTTACAAAATTATGCCCAACGTCCCTAAACTTATTAAATTATTAACTCCCCAACTTTGTAGTCGGAAAGTGAGCTTTGTTCGGGATAATTTTGTTTTTACCCAACAGTTTTCATAAAGAACCAAGGTGTTTGTACAGTTTGAAGATTGTAGACGAAATTTTCACCGAACATCCTTTTGGAAAATCCCCAAATTCCAAGGCAGAGGCCTGCCATATACATACCCAGGCTAGGCGTAGCACTGTAAACGTACGACAGAGGCTGTGATCTCACGCCTTCCCAGTAAACGCTTTCCGGACCCTTTACAATGGTTGCCCTAGAAATGACAATAAGAACGATCCTATTTATTTTGCTTTTGCAGAAGAATTTTACGAAGAATTCTGTTTCCTAAGACCTTTTGTGTTTTATTCACTGAGCCGTAGATTTGTGTCAACCAAATTACACAGAATAGCTTCAGCAACACTTACTGGAATGCAATAGATCCTAGATCATCGGATGGCGGCATCCACGTTGCAGTTATCTCCGTCTTGGCATTCTTGTTGTTGTGGGACCAGGCTCCCTATCGGACCAATCACATAAACACGATGGCTCAAACTTTCATGTAAGGCACTCACAACCGATAACCAACCGACCGACCAACTGACTGGCTGGCTGACTGAAGAACCGAAACACGGCTGTAAAATAAAAACCATCAGCAACAGCCACGCAACGAAACAGTCAACTGACAGACCAACCAACAAACAAACGGTCTAACTGGTAAACACTCTCGCACTCTATAAAGAGCGACAATTTGGAGTGGAACAAATGAAATGGAAATCTTATCAATTGAATAATGTAACTCTATATATCTTGTCCCATGTTTTAGTTGGATCATGGAGGAATTCCTCCATTTTGAGGTATGGCGGACTATATTTGAGGTATAGGGCGCGCTGCTTGGTTTGGGTAAATACAAAAGACTTTACCAAATCAAACAACGCCTTCCTATTTTGTCTGTCATACCTCGAATATGTTGGATAGAGTGAATTTGTCACTTTCGAAATAAGAGAACGACCAACTTTCCGACCGCTTATTAAAGCAAACGAAATGACCACTGAAGCATGCGAACAATAAGACATCAATAGCATACGTCGATGGTTCTGATGAGTGAATAGAAAAGTACAGCAATTTGTTTGAGGATAAGTGCTTCAGTTGAAATGGAAATAATTACAGAACTATGTAAGTCGAGAATTTGAGTAGCCTTCTCACCGCGGCAGAGGTGCAGGCAAGAACTTGCGATCCTTGAGGAACGTTGCTGAACGTTCCAAGAGCCGAGTCTGATTGGTTTCTCGCCTGAACGAAGAAACCGGCGAAGGTTACGCCCGGGTTGGCGCGGACTGTTACTGTTGTGACGAAATGAAGAAAAGCAGCTTACTTTGAAATGAAATGATGATGATTTCGTTAAGGATAAGGTTTGGTCAGGTAGGTGCGCATGGGCTGAGTTGAGCTGGAACTGACTCAATTTGGCTGGGCTGGGCTAGGCTGGGTTGTACTGGGCTATGTTGGGCGGGGTTGGTTGAGTTAGGCTTGGTTTAGTTGGTCTGAGTTTGTTTCTGCATTCAATAGGGGACGTTACAAAAGAGAGGACAATTGGGTCCCTAATTCCCGAAGGTCCACAATTGACAATCGTGTACAAAATATATTAGAGGTCTTCCTAAAAAAAGAATACAAACAAAAGAGGGACAACAGGGGGGGGGGGTTCACAAATGCAGGTATACACCCTTGGGTGAGTTGAGATGGGCTGGACTGGAATGGGTCAGGCTGGGTTAGGCGGGCCTGGACTGTGGTGGGCTGATCTGGTCTGGGTTGGGACGGAATGAGATGTGAAGGGATGGGCTTGGCTTATACTGGCGGCGCAGGGCGGGGCTGGGCTACTCCATAGGTTGGGATGGAAGGAACGGGTGGGGCTGGGCTTGGCTGGATGGGCTGGGCTGGGCTGGGCTAAATCAACTGGTTACACTATGTGACAACTCAATCTGAACTTTTGAGGGGGGGGGCAAAAAGTAAAGGGGTTCAAGAAATGCAGGTGCCTCGATTAATTTTTTTCGACACCGCCCTTACCCTGTATGGGTTGTCCCGCGGTATAGGTGTCATTACTGACCACAATGATGTAAGGTGCAGGGCCAGTGGCCGTGTTGCTAGGATGGCCACTTGGTGACATACTAGTGCAAACTGTGCGGTTTACCGGTGGCCCAGTCGGGAAAGCGATGATGCAGTATGGAAGAAGCACTGCCAGGAACACTCTACGAATTGCCATCTTGGACGCTGCAATATTGCAATTCAGAATATATCAATCACTTCTCAAAGGTGTGGGGGAACATACCTTGATTAGAACTAATGTATAGCGAAGCTCTAAAACGGCGTGGTTTCGGGGCCCGCCGAAGAGCCCCCAAAATTTTGAATTCTAGACGCTCTGTGGTGCAAGCTGAGTCAATTTCTCACCATTTTAACCAATATGTTTTAGCAAAAGGTTACCGATTAAAAATCATTTTGGAGTTTGGAGTAATTGATTCAGCGATTCTGAGCTACAGAATCACAATTTAATATAGGCTACATTTTTATTCGGCGACAAAAAAGTGTGAGGAGACAAACGATATGATATCCCCCGGCACTCAGGTGGGGGGACTTGTCCCCCCCCCCCCCCGTGCCCCACTGATTGGCGCCCATGGACTTTTCGGAGGTTATACAGGGTGTCCCCTCCCCCCCCCCCCCAAAAAAAGAACACTTAAAACCCCGCCTTTTTCACAGGGCCCATGTGATACATTCATGGACTCCTTAAAAATTCTCCTTTGTTTCCTATTCAACCTTTTTTTTCAATTTTCTTTCTTTTTTTTCCATTTTTAAGGGCATTTTTGTACCTTTTTTGTGTGGATGCTAATGAAAATTTCCATATTCATTAGCAATATGTCTTGTCATTTCACGCAGAAACCTCAATGTTGATTTCGGCACAAAAATCTGCCCGGAATTTAGTGGGGTTTTTTTGATGTCGTAAATTTTCTTTTCTTTGTTGATTTTTATTGTTGTTTCAGCACATGACAGTAGAGGCTTAAGCCAATGAGCCAAGTTAAATATAGGCTACATTGTTACCCCACGCAAGTCTGGCTTTGCAAAAGGAAGAAGAGTGATTCAGAAAATTGTACATTCTGTCATGATTCTATTGATTACATTGAACACTTTTTGTGGTCGTGTAAAATGGTAATAACCCCTTTGGAACGAAATCGAAAAGATTGCTGCATCTAAGTATGGCAAATCGATCAGTCTCTCCGTGGAAAATATTCTTTTCAGGGTAAGGGAAACATACAATAGTTATCGGTTTCTGAATACTCTAAATAATATAGGTAAACAAACAGTGAGTCGCTTTAAATTTGGCCAGTATTCCAACCTTATCATCCCTTTTGAGCAGGAACTCCAGCTTCGTCATATCAAGTAATCTGTTTTGTTAGAACTTGTGTTGTGTGTAATTCAGTAGTACCTATAGAGCAGACGATTAACTGTACATGTACATAGATTATTGTTACTTGATTGTATCTTTGAATAAAACAGAAAGAAAAGTTTTTCCGCAAATGTTTTCAATAAATAAATTGTGGGTCGACAATTTGAACAGAAAACCCCTCAAGTGAACAGTGTCTTCCTGAAATGACATCACAGCAACGCGCCCTCATTTGTTAGGAAAAGCATGGACAAGATTTAAATGTTTAAAAAAGTGTACTTTCCAATAAAATTAACCCAAAAAGCATGTCAAATAGTTTTCATACATTTATGAGGAGTGGAAAAGTGCACAAAATATGTTCCCATGTAACAGGCGCGGATCCGGGGGGATCGAATCCCCCCCCCCCCCAGTTCTGACTCATTTGTATTTTTTTGCAAAGAAATTCATTAAAAATGATATAAGCCAACCCCCCCCCCCCCCCCGGCGCTGTCACCAAAAAATTAAATACTGATAATAATATAGTAAGATTCATGTCATGGCCCTTAAAAAAGAAAGTCGCAAATATCGAAACACAACTGGAGGGTATGGGTCATTAGCTTTTCAACAACGAAAAAATCTTTTCAATCGGGTCAATATTTATTGAGTTATGGCCAATTCCAAATAAGTGGTTTCAATTGTCCTTTGTTTGGAATGTAATGGATTTTGGGTGGGGGTACTTCTGCTTTCTTTAATATTTGGACCTTTCTTTCTTGTTTGGTTCATGGACATTTCTTTTGGAACTAGGCCTAATGGTAGTCCTGAAAGGACTGTTTGGTTAACTTCTTAGATGTTTAATGTGCTGCTCTGTCTCTGCCCTGCACTTGGTATAGCCTTTTTCACAAAGGCAATTAAGTTTCGGCCCGGTTTCTTGGTGCGGCAGTCAAAATATCCGCAGTCGCCGTGGACAGAGTGAAAAAGCAGTACTTGTTCGTCATAACTCAATTTACCCAATCAGACAGATTTTCGGCGTTGAAAACCAAATGAACTTATACTCTTCAAAGATGTATCGATATTTGCGATGCATTTTTTACAAGCTGTGAAAAAGGGGGCTTTGAGGCTTCGGGTTTTCTGTTTGGGACGCCATCTTGGAGGCCATAGATCCATGGCAAAAGTTGGCAGTGTAAACTACATTATCTCATGACAAAGGAACAAAGGCCTACATGTCCTTAAGAACACAATTTGAAAGAGGTGGGCCTATATTATGGGGTTGGAGTGAGGAGGCGATGGAAATCGGTGGAGTGAGACTGTACAGGATAACCTGAATAATGATGTATTTTGAGAATCAACTGTCCAGACGCGATTGAATTATGCATTTTCATTGGTTTCTTTTCCCGTACTGCACACAGCAGCAGGAGAACGAACGTAGCTTACAGGCCTGCGTAAAACGAAACAATTCATGTGCATGTACATGTATCGCACGGTTAGGAATACAAACGACGACATATATTTCTAACAAAGCACGAGCTTTCACCTTTTTTACTCCTCTATGCCTATGCTATAACCAAAACAATATCTACCTTGGAAGCACTAAATATAATGGGCTGATGAGTGCTGACCTATCCAACGTCAGAAACCTCGAAGTGAGGGTGAAAAGTAAATATCCAAAGGTCTTACACGGACAAAATTCAGTTGACAAATATGTGCTTCAGCCAGTCCCATGTGACCTGCCCTAGCATAATGAGGAATAACCTCCACTTTTGACCTTTCAATTTATGTACATCATGTAAAAGCGCAAATCATCGGCTTTTCGAGTGATAACAAATTTATTTATGTTGCTTAATATATTCCAAAGTTATGCCGCTGAAACTTCAACAGTGTTCAACCGATCTTCGCCTTCGCCGACCTCATTTTTGAGAAAAAAAAGACGCGCATTGCGTGCGTGCTAATTCAGGCGGCGTCGATTACTCAAAACAAGTATTTGGGGGACATTCCTCATTTTGCCTCAGTAGGTCAAATAATGCTCGTATAAGTTACCCTGTCGTATGATTTCCTGCTTTCGACTGGCGATGGAGGTAGTGCTTAAAGCATCAGCTTGCTGGGTAGTTAATAATAAAAAAAACGTTTTGTTAGATTACTGAAACGATCGAAACACATCTTATACTCTCTAAGATTTTTTTTCTCCATTTTTCATCAAATAGACAATAGAGTAAAAAATACAGTGACAAAGTACTGGGGGGCACCGTGCACCCCCCCCCCCCCCCCCCCCCAGCGCATGTCCGCGTCCCCGGGTGCTCGATCCCCTTACCCGTTTAAAATCGTGAACTGAAAATTACATTTGCCTACGGTGCCCCCCCAAAAAAAAAATTATGCACCCCCAATAGTACGTACGTGCCCCCTTAAGTTTATACACGCCACTGCAACTATATGCATGATCATTGAAATTCGAACCATTTGCAACATATCGACAGCATTAAGCAAGCAAACACCATATTAACACGGACAAAACTTTAAAACGATGTGGTTTTTTTCTAATGAATGCAAAACATTTTTCCTGACCCTTACAATTTGAAACCTAAAGGTATTTTAATGGGATTTTTTCTTAATTTTTTTCTGAGATAAAAAGCTATTGAGTTTGCGGTTTATGTAAATTCAAAACAGGTAATTACAAGTATAAAACAACTTTAGCCCATAACTAAATAAACAGCCTCCTTTGATCTGATCAGACACAAAAATCTCACTACAGAATGCTTTAAAAACTTAGCAAAAATAAAACAAGATCAACATATTTTGATCATGCGATGGATCACTGCACCTTTAAACAGATTCTGTTGACCTTACACCCTCTTACACTTGACCTCAGACCTGTAAAATGATAGCAGCGCGCACTGTGAGAACCAGGGAGTTAAAGGAAACTGTACGCCTCCCAATGTCTACTTCATTTCATTAATATTCATTACGTCTGCCATTTACATGCGCAGTGCGCAACAGGACATCGGTCTCCAAGTCATTCAAATTCTGACTGGAGACCAGGGAAGACACATCCAATTTATAACGTCTTTCCTTTTCGTGTTTTTTAGGTAATTATTTTCACTTTTTGTCATAATTTCTACATTTCCATATTTACACTTTCCTTAGAGAATGTGCATGTCTTAACTAAAGTGTTTGCGAGGCATTTTGTAGATTTTTGTTAGTATTTTGGTGTAGTTTATTATAAAGAATTACATGAAGTGCCGGTCTTGAGATATTTCCAAAATCTCATCCATTATCCTTTGGTGATACTATTCCTCATCAGTCTCGATTGCTTTTGTAAATGTTTATTTAGTAACATAGTTTAATATCCTTAAGTTACAACACGGTTTAGGGTAGCTTTTCGTATTTTTCTATGATTTTGTGTCACATTTTCAAGATGGCGACTGACATTTGAGTTTTGGCGGGAACCGCCAAACATAGTCAACGTAGCCATCCTTTAGCCATCCGTTTACGTGATTAATTATATTGTAAAACATTCCATAATTCCAGTCGGTATATGTATTTTATAATTTAATACGTTAGTGATGAGGAGCAGACCGTCCTTTACTAACTGAGTCACAAAGTTGACACTTATTCACGCTTTCTTTGTACTTTAGGATACTCTCTATTTGAACTAAAAATGTAACAATGTATATTTTGGATTGATTAATTAGTCTTAGTTATTATCTTTAATGTCTTTTAATGTTTTCCCTTGATATTTTCTGTAGTAAGTCATTCAAATTCTGACTGGAGACCAGGGAAGACGTACACATCCAATTTATAACGTCTTTCCTTTTCGTGTTTTTCAGAAATAAACCTTCAGCGCATAGTTGCCGTGTCCTCTTCCAAATTATTGACCCCGACCAGCAAGGGTCACACATATACCATATTATATACATGCTGCGGCAGTCATGCATGAACTTCAAATAATACCAGTAAAAAAAATATGATAAGTAGTCTGCCAACTGCAGCTGTCAACTTGAAACAAAATATACAACCATGTATACAATATCGTATAAGGTCACGACATATGTGCCACACGATGCATGTTTTATGTGCATATATGTCACAACGTGGATGCATGCATCCGGCTTTGCCATTTCAGTTCTTTCATTGTAATATTTACCTCAGTAAAAATATCCAAACATTAATTGTATAAAAGATAACTTTGCAGCAAATGCCAATATTAACAACGAATGTTTGATTGTATTTCAAAACAAACATCGAACTCTCAAAGTCGGAGAAGATCGAGAAAACTACAAAATATTTGACAAAGCAATGTCAAGAATGCACAAAGCAAAACAAATGAAGCTAACACAGTACAGGGTGAGTAAAAAAAAGCGAAACTCAAATGTCAGGACTATTGTTTTAGTGAATTTCTGCGTGTAGCACTTTCAAAATCTAGGATATGAAAGCCCAATTCATATAGGCTTTCTTTTAGTACAAGAATCATTCAAATCACTCGGCCATAATGAGATTCCCAGCATGCATTGTAGTTAATCGGGTGGTCAAGAATTGTAGAATCAAATCCAAGTACACAGTCATGATAAGCCTGGGCAAAGAAAACATTGCGTTCTATCCAAAAAAAAATCACATATTCATGGTTTAAAAAATGACAATTTAAAAACTGAACTGGTTACCATGGTAACATTGGGCATCCTTCACAACTGGTTTGGTACCATAATTATTGACCCCTGATAGAATTTTGGAGAGATCACCGATTTAATGCCGATCAGTGGAAGCACTCAGGATTAATTATTATTATAGGATGGGGGGTTGTGACCCCGCCCCCTGATACCCATAGGGTTTACGTTATAAGAGTACCTGCCTAAAAAAGATATTAAGCTTCTCATTACGAAAGGCTATCATATATTTTTTTCACTTTTTGGTGATGAAACAAAGAAATTAACACAATTGAAGTCTTGCTACACATGGTCTGGCCAATGGACCAAATGGAAATGAGGTCATATCTGTCGTAGAGGGCGCTGCACTGGCAACTACATGGATCCCATCAGGACAGTCAGCAGGAATAACGTGATGGTGAGGAGTACCGTAGTCACAGTCACACTGGGTCTAAACGAGTAGGAATCTGTAGGAAAAACAACTAGCCACGAGAAAATAATTATGGCTCTTTCCAAATTACTAAGCTATGGCTTGACATTTCACACGCGCCTATTCTTTTCTTTTATTTCTCACCTCAAAAAAGATCACTTACGCCCTCGCGGTGTTAAAGCTTCTCGACCCCCTTTTCTGAAATGGGTGTTCGGACTTTTTCAAGGAAATGCACTGGAAACCCTTTTCTAAAATTAGGGGGGTCAGAAAAAAATTTTTTTCAAAGGAATTGCACCCGACCCCTTTTCTCAAAATTTTTAAAAGCAATTAACGCACTCGACCCCCCTTTTCTTAATATAGGGAATTTGACAACTTTTTTATGGAAATGAACTCGACCCCTCTTGTTTTAATTGAGGCGGTCGGACAATATTTTTCTTATCGGGGTTCGGACAATTATCTTTTTTTTTCAGAAAATGCATTCGCGCCCCCCAAGTTTTTTTTCAAAGGCAATTAATTATGCTCTCGACTCCGGCCTTTTTCTGAAATCAGTAGCAGTAGAACAAATTGTAGTGGCCCATTTTAGAAAAGCAAGCAAGGACATTGCTTACATTACATTTATATTTTTTTGGTCACTGTATTTCAGGTAAATTTTCTCTGTATTAATTTAGTTATTGTTTTCAAAAAAAGGCTCCAAAACGTTTCATTAAAGGGGGCACATACACCACCATAAACCTGTACATTAGTGTGCACGAGCTCATTAACATGTTGTACCCCCCACAATTTATTTTTGAATGAGAGGTCCTTAAGGCCTATACTTGGGATGGATTGTAGAAATATTTATGTTAATAAAGTATTGTTGATATGTGGCTTCAAACTTTGGCAATTTTATTCGAAATAAAGCCTGACTTGTTGGTCTATTTCGCATAGAGGCCGGGCTTACATTTAGACCTGGGCCCAGGGATTGACAACAATTTTAGGGATGTGTTGGGAGAGAAGAATATTTCCCAAAAAAAATGGCGGGGGACCTCTGGTAAATCTGAACAGAAAATTTAACAGAAAGCATCTTGAATTTCCAGAGAAGCCACCATGGTACAAGAAGAGTCTCGGTGTTTAATACAGTTTGAAGATTATTGACGATTTTTTTCACCGAAAATCATCCAAATGTCAAGGCAGAGACCTGTCGTATACAAATCCAGGCTAGGTGCAGCACTGTATACGTAAGACAGAGGCTGTGATTTCACTTTTCCAATAGCAACTGACGCTGGCTGGACACTTCACAATGGTTTCCCTTGCGATGACAAGAATGATCCTATTTATCTTGCTTTTATAGAAGAATTTGACGAACAATTCTGTTTCCGAATACATTTGTGTTTTAAACACTGAGCCGTAGATTTTTGACAACCGAAACAGGTTCAGCAACACGTGCAATAGATCCTCGATCATCGGATGGCGGCATCCACGTTGCAGTTATTTCCGTCTTGGGATTCTTGTTGTTGTGGGACCAGGATTCCTACCGGAACAATCAAACAAACCCGATGATTCAACCTTTCAACACAACCAATAGCCAACCGACCGACCGACTGACTGGTTGACTATCTGAAAAACCGAAAC